TGTAGAATATATATTTGTTTTTTTATTTGGTTGGAATGGAAGTGCTTATTCTTTATGCAACCATGGGCGCAGTTGCATAAGGCACAGAGGTTTCACTGCGTAGTTTACTACAAGGAATAGGAATTCTACGCAAAACTTTGAAAAGTGGAAAAATCGGTGTCACTTACATAATCGGAACCCATGTGAGAAAGATTCACTTGGGTAAACGTGGCAAGTACACATCAAATGTCAAAATCTGCACCAATTTTACCACCACCACCAGACTGCAGAAAACAAGAGACACTACTGCACAATTCTTGCAGTGTTTCATATTAAATATAAGTGCTTTAGCAGCCTGGAAATAGCAGGAAAGCTTACTATTACTACGTGCATAGATGCTTCGATTTGATAGCAAAATACTGCAGAATTCTTAATTTTGTCTGAACACTGACTACACTCACACATCACATCAATTTAGAATTTGCTCTGAGTTTTCCATTTACTGAACATGTGTTTCGAACTGAACGGATAAAAAAAACCCCAGAATTTACAAAATTGAAATTCCCCTATTATTAAATCAACCAGTTCACATCAGATGACGTGTATACACACAAAGGTTTTGCATTATTTGGAACGGATGATGGATAAACACACAAGGAGCGAGGCCGGAATTATCTGTCTGCGACCCGCTCACAGCGAGTGAGGCGGGAAATATCTGGGCGTGCTACCCGCAGATGACAGCCTGAACCCGTCTGCCATCAAGGTTTGTGAAAACAATCCCGCGCCTGGGTCCGGTCAATATCAAAATATAATCCCGGCATGAACTGGTTAAAACAATTTTTATTTTGTAATGCCCTCATGTGCAACTGTATAATGACCCTCCCACATGTCCACAATAGTTGGTACAATTTTGCAAAAACCTTCAAACACTGTTTTCAAGAAGAGAGCATACCGGTATGTGCACATGCAGCATACATTGTATGTACACGTTCTTTACAAATACAATGTATTAAGCCCGGTTCATACTTCATGCGAAAACGAATGCAAAGCGAAGTTGACGTCATGAAACATTCGCTGCGAAATTCGTCCGAGTTGAAATGTGTTCAACTTTTGTGAATTCGCAGCGCGAATACTTGCCATGTCGTCACAAATTAGCGTTCGCTTTCGCGCCGAGTATGAACCGGGCTTTAGAACTCTGATTCACATTTTCATTACAAAGATATTCACAGCTGCAATTTTGCTAAGTCTTTTTGCTTTTTGTGTAATTTTTTTTTTTTACAGATTGCTTAGTTGTGAAACTGCACACCCCAGTAAAGACACTACAATTCTGATTTACCGAGTAAATGTAAATCTAGTGGACTACACAGTTACCATGGGAACAGCACCATTCGAATTACAAAACAATAGACCTATGTTTCTGTTTCTGCAGAAATAAACACATGAATACTGGCGAGAGAAAAAAAAACTGAATGATTAAAAAAAAATAATAGACATGTCAGCCAAACGTTGAAGCTTATGTGGCTTCACGTACAGATCTTAAACTTATACGTACATGTGAACATGTCGGTCTGGTGTACAGAGGTAGTGTGTATATATTTGTATCGATGAGATATTTTAATGACTTTACAATATTATTAGTTTTCCCATGCACGCGAGTGGAACACGGAATAATGTAGTGCGTCTGTGTCCCATATGCCACAAGGCCAAAGGCAGAGTGGCATATATGGAACACAGACGCACTACGTTTTCCATGTTCCATGAGCATGAGTGGAATAGCAATTTTTTCCATGCAAACCTACATGTTATGCACAATAAAGATTGAACGCACACGCTGCGTGCCATTCCTGCTGCACGCAACTCAGAATAGCACGATATACGGAGTGCGATTTGGACCATGCTACATGTATATGGGATAACACGCTGTTTTTGCCATGAATCAACCAATCAGGATCAAGGATTCAAGCTTGCTTGAAAATAATAATTCTTATGAGATGTCATCAGAACTATAATATACAGTGCAAGAAGTCCCCCAACAGGGATCATTTCGGAATTTGGGGTGTAGCTTCTAATGACTAGCGTTAGTTTTAATGACAGTAACATTTAATTGTGTGATAGCACGCTATTGCTAAACACAAGAAGATGTACAAATTTAATACAATTAGCAGAAAAATTCATTTTAAAAAATCTATAAAGTGCCATTATTTGCCACGATGCAATACAAGTACATTTTTGTACATGTATGAGCATACAGATGTGCACGTACAATACATTTGTATGTAAAATGTATGCTGTGTTGCTACAGGTTCAACAGCAGGTGTTCATGATGATTGTACCTTGTTGGTGTTGTAATTAATTGTACAACAGTGAAAAATAAAATTATAAATCACAATTGGAATTTGATTTTTAATCACAGTTTACCACATCATGCACACTAAGAAGTTCTTCGAATTAGAGAAACTCAAGTGTTTGAAAACGTTTTTTTCTCTCTTTTTTTTCAGTGCATAATGTGTGAATATTTAAAGGCATATAGGATTATTTGCAGTTACCACAAAAAGCAACTTACTACAAATCATGATCAAAAAGCTTAGTTGGATTAAAAGATCGGACTGCTACTAAACACCTCATGAAATTATTCCGTCTGGCTTGCTGTCATTTAGAAGAAATCAACAAGTGCAGGTGATTTCCAGCTATCAGTCAATGGACTGATTTTTGGATATAAAGAGTGCTAAATAAAGAGTGCTATACTTGACAGGTGTTTTGTAATCAAAAGACTGTGCATGGTTATTTCCTGTTTTCTCGAAGAATTGTAATATCCACTGAGCTGAAACTTCCAACAGGTTAGGTTTTGAACATTCCTCTTTGGTTTTGAACGGTATTATTATTATTGGAAACTAACGAAAAGCATGAAAAGCAAATGATCCTCTATTTCTTTAATGTGCTGAATTTAACAACACAAAATAACAAAGGCTCCGATAATCCACCGAATGAAACCAAAAAAAATGGCCTTTACCGCTTCTTGTTGACTGAAGTGAGTGGGGCAACAAGTATTTCTCCTACATGTTTGACATGTGTTTTGAGCACATACATGTGTTTTAAACCTACAAAAATGTATGTACCGTTATAACACAACTTAGAAAACAAACCTGGAAGGAATGTGAGACGTATTTACCCCTGGCTTGCCAGAGTTTTTGGGAAAAGGCACTGATTGGAAATGTGCTGAATACTCACACATGAAACCCTGTCAAAATTCACACTTTAAACCCAACTTAAAGTTCCTTTAAAAAAAAAATCAATTTTGACGACTGACATTTCAAGTGGATCAATACTGGCACTTTACGGAACTGTTTTCCCCCCAACATAAAATCTGCACACTTACACTGTATGCATACCATGCACACTGTGTGGAATTTGAAAGCATGCAATCACGTCAAGTTAGCCGTTCCTTTCAGAGCCACTTGCCGATCTATACCAAACCGAGCTACTCCAAAAATCCAAACTGTGGCAATGTAAATTAGAAAGAATTGAATTATCAAGCCAGGAATTGGTGCCATATAAACCAAGTAACAGCAGTCACTGAGTTGCGGTATGCTGGTAGCCTGAAATGGTAAAAACTACCGTTATGACGGACTGCTAGCCGTCTACATGGTCAGCCAAATAGTAACAATTTATAGCATTTCACCTTATTGAGTAAAACACCCCTCACACTGTACATGAACATAACTGGGACATCATTCCTCACATTAATCTTGACTGTGCAGTTGTTGGATATGGGTATTTGTTTGTTGTGGTGGTCAGAGTTGAGGAAAACACTGACACGATAGGCAACAAAAATCGTACAGATCCATGGGCTTCTCAATACATGAATATAAATCATTGCATCCACATGAATGTTCAGCACATGCACACACCTGAACCTGCCACCTACATGTAGTCAAATTCAAAATACTTCAAATATTGCACTACAGTTACAACTTACATACATACTAATGCTACCTGGGATCTGAAATTTCATTTAACACGATTAAAAACAATGTCCTCTACTCTCCACTGCAAATGGCAACAAACCACATATCTTCCATCTGATTAGGGAAAATAAGATACATCTAGAGACTTAAATGTCTTCTTTGTAAGCGCCAGTAAATGACTGCATTTTCTTTGTTTTTTCTTGCAAACATGATTTCAAGTCATTTTCCTTCTTTCGTTTTGTTCATAAGTTTCTAATGTCACACTGACATCCAGACTTCAGGTAAAATGAACTTTGTTGTCCCCTTCTGAATGTACACAAATTAAGTTGAGACCAACGTAGAATTTCTATTTCAATTCCTTTGATCATGGGTCACGTTTTATAATTCGGAAGCATTGTTACTTCTTGTCATGAGTAAAGAGTAAAGAAACACAGCCAGAACATTTTTTTTTTGGAAGGAGTTGATATTGTTCGTAAACACAGCAATCTTGAAGAGAAAACAAATTGCTTTGTCTGAACCATTTTCCTGACTTCATTTCGTCGGTTGCACCACGAAGTGACGTTTCGTGTGCACAAAGTCCATAGACGTATCGTCACTTCGTAATGCACCCGACGATTTGAACAGCCCATAGACTTTTTGTAATGCTGTGCAAAGTACTGTGTGTATATGGAATGCATTTGGTTATTGCATAGTAATACAAATCAGTAAACACTCCTGGACTACACAAAAATAATAATAATAATAATTATGAAAAACTCGACAGTAAATCATATCTGTTAACTACATTCCTGAAATTTTCTTTAAAAGGTGATTCCTGTGTGTCGGAGACAATTCATCCACAAATCAATTTCTGGTCTTTAGGAATGTAACCGTACATCCGTGGCCACTTCGACGAGTTGATTGTGTTACTTGCATTTTAATCCAATTATCGGAACATTCCAGGTACATGTTGAGTGTACAACAAAAGTAAGTAGGCACTTTATTGTGTCTTGAGATAAGACATGGCAAGAAAATACGGGAGGATTCTTCAAATTTTCACTGACCACTAGAAGCGAATTTTTTTTTTTTTTTTAGATTCTTCTCCCTCCACTCTGCATAAGGCAGTTTTTAAAGTTGACTAGAATTTTATTCTGTTGACTTGTGAGGTTCATTACTTTAAACATTAGGATCAGAAAAAGCTGCAGGTACATATACAACTGTATCTGCTTTTTGTTGTTTCGCAGTAAACCTTTCTCGTCAATTGAAAATTCTTGGTAACGATGGCACTGACAATTCACTTAATAGCTATACTGTTGCTCTCTGTGGAGACCAACTACTACGTCATTGTACATAAAACATCATACACCTACAAATTTTGCAGATGAGAGAAACCTACCGGTACATGTATGCGCATGTTACACATTTAGCGTAGTTTTGTATACGTTTACCATAAAATACACTCTGGACGGTGCTGTGCAAAACATAATTGTTATACTTCCGTTTTGGATACTGTATTCTTATTGGCCTAGAACAATCATGTGTTAAGTTTATAAAAAGTCATGGCACACTCCCTGTGGGATATCACGTACATGATATCCCAAAGGGACTGTGCTGTGACTTTGTATGTACGGTACGTACGGAGTGAAACACTTGCACCGTTGGTACCCACGCTATTTTCATCATGTTTTCACACATGAGTGGGAGCAGTGAACTAGCAGACGATCAGCTGTTTTGAGCACGCGACATGCATGCGAGTTGATGTTCCATTGTCATGATTGTTGCGTTCACTGCTGTTTGTTTTGCGATTTTTACATCAAAATCCAAAGAATCCAAGACAGAGGTATAACAAAACGATAGTTGACTGCTGTGATGTGGGAAACGACATTTTGAACACCCCCGGGACGCATAGTATGTTCAAAACGTCATCAAAGCAGTCAACAATTATTAAAGGTCAAGTTGGTCTTCCAACTCACAAAACACCTCTGACTGGAAAACAATTTTTTTTAAAAAGGTGATCAATTGTATATGAAACACAGCAATGAACACTAAATACGTTCATTTTGTAGCCCAGCTATGGGGTTGGCAAAAGAAAACAAACAAACTTCAATTTCAGTACGACGTCAGCATGATGCACAACACAGCCCTGCCCACTCAACAGTACCATTACACTAATACTTCAGATTTTTATAAGACTTCTTCTGTACAAAAATATTGTGGTTACTCAGATTAAGTATCTTAGAATTTCAGTCATTATTCTTGTCTTCTTTTTTTCCCTCTTAAATTTCTCCCTGGCAGTACAATTTATTTTACACATTTTGTTTCTTTTTGCACTGCGAGCACATTGCACAAACTCACACACTTTGTTAATGTTAAACTGTTTATCAAAGTAAGCCTAGCTGGTGAAAAGGTGCGCCCCTGATTCATAGCAGGAAAACAAATAACATGAATAAATTGAGAAATAAACAGCCAACAGCCAGACTGTAGGCTATCACTCTAAATTGAAATAATAAATTCATTTCTATAAGACACATACTGTAGGTGGGTTGAAAGCCTAAATAACTTGCATTTCTATATTTTTTTGACGAACTAATTTGCCCACTTTGATGCTGAATAAAGCCTCGAATTCTTGGCAATCTTTTACAAATGTACATCTAAAATAGAGCTTCATAAGCAGTTGACTTTGATATTTTAGTACATTATTTTGAGCATTTTTACAGATTAAGATTTTTTCACTGATTGCTTTCATTTTGATTTATTAATTATGTGTTAATCAACCGAATTAATCACTGGCAATTTGTTTTCTAAGTTGTGAACAGTAGAGGCAACACTCTGGTCAAACCCGGCCCTTAACTTATTACCTGTATGCATAGTGAGTAAACCTTTTACTGAGATGTAGCAGCAGAAGCATTGATGTCATCTAGAACCTTGTCGATATCCATGACGGAGGAAATACTGTAGTTGGGGCTCGGGAAGAAGATCTCTTTGTTCTGTCGCTTGGGGTCGATCCAGACGGTTGCCAGGCAATTCGCATCCAGGCCGCCTTGGATGTCGGTGCTCAGACAATCGCCGACCATAATGCAGCGCTCAGCGGGCACTCCCAGCATCTGGAAGGCCGTCTCGAAGATGGAGACGTTGGGCTTAGGGTGGGGTTGCTCACCGCTGACGATGATGCCAGTGAAGTAATCGTCGGCGCCGCAGCGGGCCATCTTGAGCCTCTGGATGCCTGAGGGCCCGTTGGTCATGAGCAGGAGCTTGTAGGTCTTACGCAGGCGTAGTAGCAGCTCCTTGACCTCAGGGCTAAAGGTCATGTGGTCCAGACGACCACTCATCCAAGTGCGGTACAGTAGCATAGCTGCGTCCTTAGGGTGGTGGCTGTTGAGGGCTCGCTGCCACAACTCGGTGCGCCATTCGTCCACAGGAATGACTTCATTGGGATCCTTCTCAGCCTCGGCAAGGTATTTCTTGAAGGCCGCTACAACATCATCAGCATCGACTTCAGCATACTGGGAACGCAACACATGTTTCACCTGAACGTAACACCGAAAAATCAACCATCATAACTTTAACTGATACAAAAAGGCAATTTTAATGTCCTTAAAGCTACATGTATGTAAGTATTGAACATGTACTGCTCGTTTAATTTCGAGACTTTAAGTGGAAGGTCTCCAAATGGGCTTTAGAACACGTCTAATGCCCAGAGATTATTAACGGAGTGTGGGCGCGGCTATGTAGCAGAGTTGTAACGAGCCACTGATTTTTGCGACTAGAGTCGAGTCGAGTCATTTCAAAGAAGTGTCTCGAGTCGAGTCGAACCTTTAGGTCAAGAAGGTCGAGTCGAGTCGAGTCAAGTCAAACATTTAGCTCGACTCAATTCGAGTCACAAATATTTGAACACTATATAACAAAAACTTCGGTCTTATAGGCCATCTGGTCTGGCTTGGGATCTAGAATATTTTTCGCTGATCCCTGACAACATCAAAACAAACTGCATTATACAAAACTATTTCTGATTATTTAAAAGTGGGCATGTATTTTTAAAAGGAGGGCATAAATTTAGCCGGCGTTCGAATCCAAGAGCTTAATAAGAAATCGCCCAAAACCAATGATGAAACCACAAGTTGGAAAATGTGTTTGTTTGAAGTCCGGTTCTGAGATAGCATTTTGTGCGATCCACTATGTGCGAGTCTTTGACACGTTGTACGTTTGTACATGACAAGCGGCCACTGTACCGTACTGTATTAGCAAAGTGGCGTGAAAATAATGTTTGCACAGTAAGTCATTGGAAATATTTTTCGCAAAGTTTTGCTTTTATTTTTGGGACTCGAGTCTTATTAGCCTTCGCTCGAGTCGAGTCGAGTCTTCTGATGAGGGACTCCAGTCGAGTTGAGTCATTTGCTCGCAGTGACTCGAGTCGAGTCGAGTTGAGTCGAGTAATTTACCCTTAGGGACTCGAGTTGAGTCAAGTCACCAGATATTGAGTCCGACTCGAGTCGGACTCAAGTAGAGTCAGTGGAAATTTAAGTAATCGTTTGCTTTCTATGGCAACACACCAGCCCCACTAGCGGTGCTTGAAGGCGGTGTGATACCCACATACATCGCGCCCATAGATTTTTTGATTGTCATCACGTGATGCATTACATTTGCAGCCGTTGGAATTTGACGTTTTTTATGGACAAGCCACCGAAATCATCAATATTTTTCATATTTTAGTAACTTTTGTTCTGTTTCAAGTCGATCATTAGCTTCGTGAATGACTGCTGAATGGTAATATGAGGTACGTAAATGGAATCTGGGTTGGGATAATAGAGGGAAAACGGACCATTTTGTAGAGGCCGTTTTTTAGGGTCTCTTAAGATCTCACTTTTATGACGTAGTTCTGTCTCCAACCAGCGTTACATGTGAATTCCTGATGAGCATGTCAGCTGGAGTTACTCAAGCTAGGTATGAGTGTACCAGTCTGGGAATCCATAGTCTGTACCAAACATTTGTATTTATAAAGTTATGATAAAAACAGTTACGATTTACCAAGTAGATTTTATTTTACACGGTGGTTTAAATGAAAGTGCCGGATCACGCGGTAATGTTTGGCACAATCATGGCAATCTGTCGATATGGAAAGCGCGAGTTGGGAATTCGTTTTTCTCATCCAAATGAATGCAAAGTTCCGAATGAATGTTTTTGATAATATAGGAGTCAGTATTCCTCTTGGTAGGCTATCAGGATACTATTTGTATTTTTAGAGTCATGTTGATACTTATTAGCATGATTTGAAATTGACTAATTTTGCGTAGTTACATTATACGGCCCCAAACCAACCACTGGACTCCCTAAGTATTATTAACAGATTAATACAACAAACATTTGTCATGATTTGATGCACGAAAACTGACGAAATAATAGGCCTAGCCTACAACGCTAGAAAATATTCGGATGTGTTGGACAAAGGACGAGTCGGACAAAGGACGAGTCGGACAACGGATGACATGACTTTTCCAGTTGAACGCCCAACGGTTGAGTTGGTTGGAGTCAAGTTGGCAAATGGTCGAGTTGACCGGATACTGATTCGGCGCAACCTCGTCCCCGGTGCTTACTTTATTTCCAACCTCATTTCCAATACAGTAAGCCCCGGATAGGAAACTTTCTTCCTGTATCCTGATTCAATACCGCAATTTGCTAATAATGGATTTATATCGTGTAGTTGGTGTTATTATTTCCAACGTGCATTACGTGGTTTCACGATCATTGTAATTATTGTTGATGTACCCTAACGTGGCGTGGCCCCCAACGTGGCGCACTTTGATTTGTCGCCTGTAACGCCTTGCTAGAGCAAAAGTTTTAATTGAAATTTCACAGAAAGTGGAATTTCATTAAGTTCTAAATACTTCCGTTCATAAATCACGAGTTTATCTCAGTTCCCATTACAAAGTTAGAAGAAAAATTTATTTCGGCGAGATTTTCCGATTTTATTTCGAAGTGCACGGTGAACCCTTTGAAAATGTCCCCCTAAAATAGAAAATAATTTGCTGACAAACTTCTAGTTGGGTATGTAAGTAGAGATAATAATTGTTTATCAGAATTTATCAACTTTACAGAAATTCTTAAATGTTAATTTGGAATATTCCGAGATTTATTCAAGTGCGCCACGTTTTTGAATTTCAGATGAAATTTCATGAAACCGAAATTGTTCACGGAGGTTAAATAGCAAGCATTAATTAATTAATTAATTAATAAGGTAAATGTACCAGTATTTTACTGAATGAGTTTGAAGTTTGTCAACAAAGAAGTTTGGCAACACTGATGTGGAAAGTCGGGGTAAATGTTGAAGTGCACCACGTTAGGGAACACCACTATATAACATCCAGGCTTTCTCAAAAATAATCCTTTCCTTTCCTTGTGAACATTCATATGAAATGTGATACTGCATATTGGCACTGCATATTGGCGGGCCATATTGTAACATTTTAACTTCCAAAAAAATTGTGTTTTCATAACTCAAGGCGCAACGAATTGATGGTGTTTTTACCACAGACACCGCATACAAAAACAAACGCTAAGGCCGAAAAAAAAAACAGTTCTGCTTCCGATTACATGCCTTTCAAAAATAGGGTGGGTCGGTCGGAAAATTTTTTTGGGGGGCCAATTTTTTTTATGCAGATTGAATGGGGTATTCAATTATATGCGAAGTTTTAGCCCGAACTATTTCCATTGCACTACGAAAGCTATACACAAAATGGCCACAAAAAGTGAATAAAACCTACCTTAATTATTGTCAATATATTTAAGTTCGATAATAGAAAATTCAGGCCGTTCGTATCATATGCACAATGCTAGTCAAGACGGGAAGCTGGCCAAAACTCCGAAGTGTGTGATGCACTGTGCACGGCGGCCGACAGACCTCGTTTTACGGTCGAAAATTTCGGGAAACACGCTGCATGTATCACTCCAAATACGAGTAGTGCGATCTCAAAATGAACTCTTGAACACGGAAACTACATACACGGACAAGATATATCAATTCTGTGAATTAACTTGCAAAAACATTCTTTCTCCATCGGTGTTTTCTTGGCATTTTTACGATGTCGAATCCGACCAGTTGACACTGACAGTGCACGTGCCTAATGCATAGCCATATTCATGCTAGCACTAGCAATCGCATAGCCATGACAGACTGGTTACCGCACTTTCATCATGTCTTCTAAATTGGCCCCTGCGCGGCGCGGCGGGAACCAGTCGTCACTGCATCGAGCAAGGTTTATGCACGTGATTATAGTCACCGTGACATCGAATTGCGAGATATGATGACAGATCGCGAAGCGAATTTGGTTTCTTTTGAAAAAAATAGCGAATGAAAGTAAGAAAACAAATAAATACAAGCATTTTTTGACGCAAATGGGTTGTTGAGAGGTATTTTGTGAAGACAAAAAAGACAACAAGCTTTTATTTTTATTTATCCAATCATTTTAATTTTTTTTGTGTGGAATTGCCGATAAATTTTTTAGGGTCGCAGCCTAAAAATAGGGTCAGTCGGGTAACTAGCCCCATAAATGTGGCCTTTTTACTGGACTGCCTCCGTAAACATAGGCCACACATCCACATGTACAAAAATCGTGTCGACTTTGCCAAATTTTGATTTTCACATTTAGGCTTAGTTTGTAGGATTTTTTTGCTTTAGAAGCATACTCACCCTCTTTATAGGCTAGTCAGAAAGTGCTGCCTTTTTCAGATGTCTAATTTTTGTGAAATTTCATGTTGAAAAAGGCAGCACTTTCTGATTAGCCTACAAAGAGGGTGAGTATGCTTCTAAAGCAAAAAAACCCTACAAACTAAGCCTAAATGTGAAAATCAAAATTTGGCAAAGTCGACACGATTTTTGTACATGTGGATGTGTGGCATATGTTTACGGAGGCAGTCCAGTAAATAGGCCACATTTATGGGTCTATCGGGTAACCAGAAGCAGAAGTATTTTTTTTTTGGCCTAATGTAACGCACATGCAGGCACCAGACTATTCCTCATTTGCATACGTGTTCAAATATCTTGCACATATATGCAAATGATCCAATATTGTTGATGTACCCTAACGTGGCGCGGCCCCTAACGTGGCGCACTTTGATTTTTCGGCTGTAGCGCCTAGCTAGAGCAAAAGTTTTAACTGAAATTTTACAGAAAGTAAAATTTCATCAAGTTCTAAACACTCCCGTTCATAAATCGCGAGTTTATTTACCCGCTACAAAGTTAAAAGAAAAACATTATTTTGGCATGATTTTCCGATTTTATTTTCAAGTGCAAAGTGAACCCTTTGAAAATGCCCCGAAAAATAAGGAAATAATTTTCTGACAAACATCTGGCTGGGTATGTAAGTAGAGATAATAATGTTTTATCAGAATTTATCAAGTTTACAGAAATTCTTAAATGTTAATTTGGAATTTTCCGAGATGTACAGTCGTTTTCCTAGTTCCGGATAGCAAACATCATTCAAGCTGCTTTCGGCTCAACTACCCCACGAATTCAAGTGACACTGGTTTAAAAGTTTACCTTGAGTGATGGAGAGACTACAAAATAATTTCCCAAATTTAAGCTCTTTTTACTTTGACTTTACGACGTCAAAAGTACCGATGCCGCTTTTCCTAGTTCCGGATCGGTTCAATCAGTTCCGAATCGATCAAAAACTGATTCGTGCGAAAAAAAAAAATCACGCGAGAAAATCAATTTTTCAGCCAGAACCACCCCAAATCAAGCACATTTTCTGACGAAGTATTATTAAATTTTCCAAAAAAGTTCATTCAAGGGATATTCCAGCAAATTTTCAAAAGAGAATTAACGTAAATAATTGTGAAACTTTTGTCTGCAGCGCAACGGCATGAACTCACGCACGGACCGAAAACCTTGCACACGGCACAGAATACGTCACACAAAATCGATTAACGCGCGTGTAGTTGGGTCGTAAGTGCACGCGCGATCCGGAACTAGGCAAAAGCATACCGTCATTCGTTGGCGAATTTTCAAATATTAGAGACGCTACAAATTATTTTGATTGAACACACATTCGATGGAAGAGTTTATACGACTGTAGTGAATGAAAAAAATATTCGAAACCACACGGTACGAGAGAAATACCGAGGAGAAAATTTATCGTCGATTCGCAGCTCCCATGATTTTCTACAAACGGTCCAAACATGTCAAAGTGCGAGTCGGAAATCTGGCCAAAATTCCTTTTCTCAAAGTTTTATCGAAAAGACCTGTGTGTATCAGGAAGCTTACATTTTCCTTTTCACAATGCACTTCATCAGAATTTTTTTTATTGGAGACTAGTCCAAAAGAGGTAGGTTTTTATTTGAAGCGATCCGGAACTAGGAAAAATCCGGAACTAGGAAAACGACTGTATTCAAGTGCGCCACGTTAGGGAACACTCCGCCAATTTGTGCCCAATTTGAATTTCCGGACGCCACCGTTTTTTAATTTCGGCTTAAATTTTATGAAACCGAAATTGTTCACAGATGTTAAATAGCAAGCATTAATAAGGTCAAAGTACCAGTATTTCACTGCATGAATTTGAGGTTTGTCAACAAAGAAGTTTGGCAACACTACACGAGGAAAGTTGGGTAAGCTTCGAAGTGCGCCACGTTAGGGAACACGACTATACTACCAGGGTGAGAGAGCAGGTAGTGGTGGGCACGTACTGCTCGACACCCTGGGGACGTGGTTGGATTCGGCGATGTTGAATGTCATGAATGTTGGACGATCGAGTTGGAAATGTTGGACCTTGAATAACAAAATCAATCTGTTAGAAGTAATCATTAGTATTTAAAGAACAAATCTGGTCTTAAAATAACATTTAATCATCTAGGATAATATTCTACCTGTTTGAAAGCGAAATAATCAGCGTTTCTTGTATCAATTAGCGTGTTATCTAAGTCGAAAATTATTGCCGAGACTTTCCTAGCGGCCGCCATCTTGGAAGATTACCCACAATGCATCTAGAAATTGGGAATCGCTTCGAGTCGAGTTCATTATGATCCGGGTATGATGAGTATGCCAATGAACATGATGAACAAAAATCATTGAAAAGAAACATTATTTATTGTATTGTGATGTCAATTCATATGAATATATATCGTTTTATAACAAACGATAGAATTTTTTGCGGTATATTGCTGCAAAAAAAATCGAAGAAATATGGACAAACTTAGTGCCGAAAATATTACACCCCTTGAAATAATAGTTGAGCTCTTTTCCCGCGCGGGCCGCCTGAACTTGTTTTTTTTCCGTCATTTTCCGAGTCCGATACAAGAATTTTGCAAAAAAACAGGTTTTACTACTTGTTTTATGTTTATACAGAGTCTTAAGAGTAAGTATTTGCTTACCTACCATACACGAGGATTTCTACTTCTAAGTTCTAGTATTATTAGAAGGCCTAGAACTTAACTAGAAAGTACAAATTTGGCAGTCACATTTTTGTAGGCCGCTAGGGCAGCTAGCCTTCCTGTAGCTTGAGTAACTCCAGCTGACATGCTCATATTCATTCACATGTAGCATGTGAATGAATATGAGCATGTCAGCTGGAGTTACTCTAGCCCCATAAATGTGGCCTATTTACTGGACTGCCTCCGTAAACATAGGCCACACGTCCACATGTACAAAAATCGTGTCAACTTTGCCAAATTTTGATTTTCACATTTAGGCTTAGTTTGTAGGATTTTTTTGCTTTAGAAAATTAGAAGCATACTCACCCACTTTATAGGCTATGTCAGAAAGTGCTGCCTTTTTCAGATGTCTAATTTTTGTGAAATTTCATGTTGAAATTTTGATACGCAAACGTGTAAAAATGAATCTGGAAATTTCACGAAAAATATACATCTGAAAAAGGCAGCACTTTCTGATTAGCCTATAAAGAGGGTGAGTATGCTTCTTAAGCAAAAAAACCCTACAAACTAAGCCTTAATGTGAAAATCAAAATTTGGCAAAGTCGACACGATTTTTGTACATGTGGATGTGTGGCCTATGTTTACGGAGGCAGTCCAGTAAATAGGCCACATTTATGGGGCTAGAGTTACTCAAGCTAGCCTTCCTGATAATTTTTGGATCTGAGCTGGAACAGTGGAAGTCTATTGCATGCAGTATTGGCTTGGCTGCGTGACCGGCTTATGAAACTTATGACTACCATACTACTGAGTATATATACTACCACTCCAGTGATAGTGATACCATGGAGGGGACTTTGTATGAAGGTGGATGTACTACTGATGGAAAGAATGCAGTATCCTTCCTGACGCTACTTTAGATGTTTAGTGGTTTGCGAACAACCATGATCATTCATGATCATGATTGGTGATGACAAACCAGGCTCAAGGCTCAAAGTGAAACTGAAACTAAAGTCTACGGGGACCCTTCAAAATTTTCTCACGAAATAAAGATTTCTCAGCCGCAGAGTGACTGCTCTCAATTTAGACCTATTACCGGTAGACAAAATGATGTCACGCTTTGTTACATGTGCGCTTTCCTATGTGAGTCAGCATGGTCAGGTGAGAATGCCAGCCAATATTGTCCCCACCTGGCTCCCATGGAAAAGCGTGCATTGTAAACAAAGCGTGATATGTTACGTGTATATTATTGAGTTATATCATGTAGCCTATATGAACTTATTTTAAAAGGAATAGTGTTAGGGTTTGCTAAAATTATGGAATTAGGACCTTGTTCACATAACCTTAGGCCCTATAAATTGGTTTACGCTGTGGCTATCGTTACAGCAGCTGTAACGCGACTTTCAACTGCTATCGTTACGGAACTATCTGGTGCCCTGAAGTAATAAGACGAGTATTCAACATCATGATCTTTGGCTGTTGGAACCACACTATCAACTAAGTGGTTCTCGGACTTTATTTCCCTTTTCAAAAAAATCCTCCAAAACCATCAATTTCAAGGAAGAAAATGAAACATACTACTTAAAATAAAAAGAACAATTTGATTAAAAACCTGAAACTTAAGAAATCTATTCCAAAAAAAGAAGAAAAAAAAGGAGTAGCGTGGCAGGGGTGTAAACCAGGGTTCCCAACTAGTTGAGCTAATGTCTGTACCAATCGAGCTACGGAAGCACTCTGGTTCCATGGGCAGTTGTAAATCTGATAAAAGTTCGCATTGTGCTTTTACAATGCCATAACGATATTATTTGAAAATTGCGTTATGGCTGTCGTAACGATAGCCACTACATTTTTTTTTGCTATGTTGTCCATTTGGTGAAAAGTTTCCTGATTATATGCCTTGCCAACTATATTATTTAGAATTACCAAATGAACAGCACAGACTGAGACAGGACTGAACTATATCCAAACATGCTAACAAATGTAAAAGCCTGACAAGGCCTCAATCAATAGGAAAATAATATTCTCATGAAACTCGGGAACAATAATTTTTTATTTAAAAAACAATGGGTTTTGTCATGGCACCATGCTGAAATATAAACAGCATCCAACAACAGTAAAGTATGAATTCTATTGAATCAAATTCAAAAGATCATTTTTTTTCTTATTTATTCTGCTTTCTCTGTTACTTTTTTTCTTCAGAATTCATATTTTAGGACATCCTGAGACATGCAGCAGCAACAGCAGAACGCCACAGCAGGTCACGTGGAGGAGAGTGAAGAAGACTTTGGGCCCCTCATGATCACCCGTCTAGAGGTAGGCCCCTAAAGAAGCAAAAAGAAGAAGAAAAAACCTGAACATTTCAGTCTAAAAAAGTAAAACCATTTTCACCTAATTTCAAAAGAACAGAACTCTGCGCACTCCATTGTAAATTCTATTCTCTAATTGTAAATTCGGGAAGAAGACTTTACATGGACATCACTAAAAAAAAAATCCCTGCAGTGACGTATCAGCCATCAGAAAGCGATAACATGTCCTAAAAAGTCAAATTTAGCAGGGAAAATATTGAAGTATTGACTAAAAAAACACTTGGACTTTTTGGGACCAGTCTCATAGGGTTTGTGCACAAGGTGTGAAGTGATTGAACTCTTTCCAAAATGTAAAAAGTAATAGACCTAAGACCTTATGACGTAATGGCTTTGTTTACAAATGCGCTTTCCTATGGGAGCCAAGTCAGGGTGCCAGACAAAGCAGGGACCGTCTGCCATATACATCTAAGCGCACATGTAAACAAAGCGTGACGTCATTAGGTCTCAGGCCTAGTAATCTCCCAAATGTTGGACTTTTTCCTTCCATCAGACCTATTGCATTGGTGGGTTGATTTTGTTCCCTTTTTTGGCTATAAAACCATTGCAATCAAACTTTCTGACTTGATCAATGCAATTTAGTGCAATTTAGTTTCTAATGACACATTTGCCTGATTCATGTGTCCCTTCCAGCTCTGCACTTTGTCTTATCTTTTTGCTGTGTCGCTTGCAGAATTGGAAAAACAACAGATACTGCAACAGATATCAGGCTTCACAACACCAACTGCATACACCTTCAGCAGTTAAAGATGTCTAACTACATGTATCTAAAGAATATTTCATTTTTATCATTGATAGTCTCAAGGCATCAGTGCTAACGATGTCAAGAAGCTTGAGGAGGCAGGTCTGCACACCGTGGAGTCGGTAGCTTACTCTACCAAGAAAGAGCTGTGCAACATCAAGGGAATCAGTGAGGCCAAGGCTGACAAAATCCTGGTACAACAGTTGATTTGACCATCCAAACCATTCATAATCATGTCAGATGCAACCATTCTGTTCCCTGTACCTATCAAGCAGCCAGGATAGTAGGGCTGTGCACTTTTTTTCGAATAACTTAGTATTTGATTAGTCCAACTTGTACTTGATCGAAAAATTTGAATATTCAATTTGAAATTGTTATTTGCGTGCACCTGTGGTTCCTGTCGACAATTGACAAAGAGTTTATTAAAACCATATAAACAACAGGTACGTGTAGCAGAATGGCTGATATTTAACTGATTTTATAGAAGAAATTTGAGCTAATTTTCCTCGTGGAAACTCTCAAATCATGCTCAAATGTGGCTTTCAGCAAAAGTGTCACTTGACAAACAATCAAACCATGCGGTGATACAATTAAAATAACATCATGGATGTTTTTCCTCATCACCTTGAGACCTCTCACATTTTTTGAATATTTGGGTGCATGATCCAATATTTCAATATTTATTATTTTTAGCACAGCCATAGAGAACAGAGCTTCTCCGAGTCTTTCATTGTTATCGGGTTCGTTAGTGTGACGTCATCTCAACAATGTAGCATAGCACAGATGCAACCGGAAGTTAACGCAACTTGAGTGCTTAGCCAATGGGCGTTTGTAATCAGTGGTGCGCCCACGTGAATGACAAAGTCACTGACAAAACCGGATAGTCTCATCATAGAGGTCCAGCCAAAAGCAATAATCAATGTGTGGCATTTGGCACGTAATATCTTCCTTTTTTTTGGCTAACGGTTTCTGTACTTTGCAAATTTGTGTTTCCAGCATTATTGATGTCGCCCATGGCCTAATTATATAGCCGAAAGAAAATGGTTTTCTTTGGTAACGGAAACTGTATTTCTAATTATGTCTTTAAGGTATCAGTGAAGTAATTTCCATAGTTTAAATCTACTTTCAAATACATGCATACAGCGCGTACATGCACTCTTCACTGTAACTTAATGCTGTTATATTTTCTTAACAATGATTGATCTCTCAGAATGAGGCCATGAAGTTGGTGCCCATGGGTTTTACGACTGCCACCCAGTTCCACCAACAGAGGGCAGAAATCATTCAGATTACCACTGGCTCTAAGGAACTGGACAAACTTCTTCAAGGTACTTAGCAGATTTTTTTTTATTTTTTTTTTTTACTTTTACAATAGAAGATCAAGATATTTTTATCTTCAGCATATGTTACTGGTCACATTTATAAGTAAGAATGTGATTGTACGCATAAAAAAAACCACCTTAAGGCCAAAAAAAAAAAGTCTCCGGTTTCTGGTATAGAGCTTGCCCAAAAAGTGGTGCGGCGACACGGCTTTTTTTTTTTTTTTTTACCTGATTTTTTTTGCTTCATATGTGTGCTGATGACTGCAAATGGTGCCCGACTAAACTTAGTGCAAATATATGGGAGTCCAGAGAGGCCACATAAAACTTATTCTCGACCATAACCCAATCTAAAAACACGTTAAAATTGTGCAGCAGCAGGATTCCAGTCAAACCAGTGAGTTTGGCGGTTTTGAGACATCATCTTTCATTGAAAAAAAAACTTTTTCATTTTGCCGACGCGCATGGCTACGGCGACGCGCGCGCATACCAGAAACCGGAGACTTTTTTTTTTTGGCCTAATTCCCCAAAGTAAGATTTTCTCACTGTGTGGGGCCAACACAGAGGTGCACACTCCCCCTAAGATAGACTCTCTGGCTGAATTTATTGGTAATTTGACTCAACAAATTAAGGATTTCTTTGACACAATCGCTGGGAAGACACATAAAAAAAACTGCAGTCACAGTGTGAAATTCCTCTGCAGAAATATGTTTATGTTTGTTATTTATCATATATGCTTCTTTATTTCATTTGTAGGCGGTATTGAGACAGGGTCCATCACGGAGATGTTTGGAGAGTTCCGCACGGGGAAAACACAGCTATGTCACACACTAGCAGTCACATGCCAGGTTAGATTTTTACCATGAGCCATTGCATTCTGGTACACGGTGCCCTGTGGAGACATGCGTATAATAGGGTACAAAAGATTGTATGCGTCTCCACAGGGCAATTTCTATCTATAGGTGAATACGTCTCCACAAGGTTATCACGAAAAAGATATGTGGATTTTACTCAAAAACTAGGAATTTCCAAGGTGTGTTGTTCTGTGGCAAATTGAAGTATTTTATGTAAGGGATATTAAGTCCGAATTTCAGCCCAGGAAATTAATTTTGGTTAAAATAGGAGCATTTTGAAACTAGATTGTCAAACTCAAATTTTTTAGCACTTTTTTAGAAATGACTCCACAAGGATACAGATTCCAGTATGCGTGGTTGTGAAAGTGCATTTCTGTGTTTCCTATTTTGTCAAAATCCAAGTTCCTTTTACTTTCAGCTCTAACTTCTTCCTTAATCTACAAAACCCCAAGAGATCACACATGTAGCAACACAAGGCCAAAAAAAAAATTAGTTCTGCTTCCGATTACATGGCATTCAAAAATAGGGTAGGTAGGTAGGGAATTTTTTTGTTTTTTGCCAATTTTTTTTGTGTACGATCATATGGAGGCGTCTGCGTGTAGTCAAGAGTAAAATGTAGAAATTGATGGTTTGGGGTGTTTTTTCCTCATTTTTCCAATAAAAAAATTAGGGTAGGGGCTGTCAGAATAGGGTAGGTAGGGAAACCGGAAGCAGAACTATTATTTTTTTTGGCCTAAGCAATGTTGCAAACCTGGCGAATGGCAAACAGGAGTTGATCCTCATTGTGATATTGGGTTTCATTGTCATTGAAATCTCATGCACTTTCAGCCTTTACACTTTCAATAGGGCGTTCCTTTTTATTTCGATGGTTCTAATATTTTGTTTGTCTCAGAAGTGGGGTTGGTCGGTTGCCCGGCAAAAATTAAAAATCTAAAGAACACAGAATTGCAGTTGCACCTGTTTAGATGGCTAAATTAATGCCAAGTACATGACAATGATGCCAAGTGCATGTCTCTTGCTTTGTTTATTGGACTGAGATTATCATGAGTTGATGTATGTCACCGAACAAAATACATAAAGCCATCTTGGGGAAGAATTTGTTGACTTACATTATATCTGCACAATTACTAATGCTTTGGATGTAGTGGCAGCCATGACATAACAGTAAAAGTAAACCACAGACCCCTGATATGATGAGAGGCAACACCCTCGCATCTTCTGGGATTGCGTTGGTTGCTATATACATACGCCATTCTTCTAGTAAAATTGGATATTATTTTCAATAGCTTTCAAATAACACATAGCCTGATTGCCTTAATTTGGTATTCATTATTTTTTCATGCCTTTAGTTTTTTTGTTAGTGGGGGGTGCCCATAAAAACAAATCACATATAGGGATTGTGCAGTATCATTGCTCGTCCGTGTAAAAACAAAACTAGTTTTCAAAAATGAAAAGACAACATTTCTCTACCCAACTACTGAGTTAAATAAATGAGTACTTTCCCACAGATCAGCTTCAAACGAGCCAGAAGTGGTATTGTTATAACTCTGTCTTGAATACTGTATTTTCATTGGCCTAGAACGATCATGTGTTAAGTTTATAAGAAGTTATGGCACATTCCCTGTGGTACGTGATATCCCACAGGGAGTGTGCCATGACTTTGTACGTATGGTTCGTACGGTGTGAAACGCTTGCATCATTGGTACCCACGCTATTTTCACCATGTTTTCACACATAAGTGGGAGCAGCGAACTAGCACACAATCAGCTGTTTCGAGTACGGCACGCGACATGCATGTGAGTTGATGTTCGATTGTCATGATTGTTGTGTTCACTGCTGTTTGTTTTTGTGTTCTCAAAGTCCAAAGAATCCAAGAAGTTCAAAGTCCAAAGAACAACACCCTTGGGGCGCATAGCACCCTCGGCTTCGCCTCGGGTGCTATGCGCCCCTTGGGTGTTCAAAATGTCATATCCCACATCACAGCAGTCAACAATTGTTAAATGTCCATCTTTCAGTATTTACCTGTTTTTATAAGTGTTGGCAATGTGGCACATTTGTATGCTTGGCACCTCAATGACATTTCCCCCCTAATAACTTTCCATCTTGACATTGATCTTCACAGTTACCAATCGACAATGGTGGAGGGGAGGGCAAGTGTCTCTACATTGACACAGAGGGTACATTCAGGCCAGAGAGACTCATTGCTGTAGCTGAGAGGTAAGGTTACGTTTTCAACAGATAGATTTCCAGATGCATTGTGATTAAAGGCATATAGGATCATTTGCATTTTTGGTAATTTATTGAAATGAACTGATTTAAGGGCCATTTATTCACAGAAGACATCGTTTCACCGAGCCGCTCAATGGTTTGTGTCCATTCGTGCTGGAGAACATTTTAAAAAAACGCTGTCCTTTTTCAAACGTAATACATACATATACCTAGTGTACCTGAGTGTATGCATGAAGTCAACAGCTGGCTCACAGCCGTTTAACGGAATTAGTATTTGAGAAAAACTGTTCTCAGTGATGTTTAGGTCCTAACCATAATTAGTATCGATACAAAATTCTCTTTTTACTTGAGAATGACAGCGTACCAGGCTCACTGATTCCACAGGATGTTTCATACTAGCATTCACTTACACTCAAGTGAGCTCTTTCGTTGTATTTTGGCAGTTTCAATTTTGAGTCATGTTGCTTGCTATTTTTCCGATATGTGCTCTTTCAGTCTACTCACAAGGCCGTCATTTTTCGAAGTTTTGCTCACAGCTGCAATTATCATTCTGGTGCATTGTGAATGCCATATGAGCTTTGAATTTTGAACAGTTCAATTTGGACAGGTTTGTGATGTGACTGTTTCTAAACCAAGAAGTGTGTGAATCGGGGGAATAATTAGTGGGTATTTTTCACTTTTGTTGTCCCTATCCCAATCTGGTGATAGGGCCTTTTGTCATTTGATGATGTGCAATCTGTGTTGCTTGTTTGTATTGTGTAGCATAATACATATAATAACAAAAATTTCCAGACGTTTTTGTTTGTACAATAATCTGAACATCATCAGAAAAAAGAGGCAGGGGTGAGATTTGTCAGGATTTTTTCCTGATTTCAAGATTTTTTGTCAGGATTTTCCCCATTTCAAAAGAATCCCTTTTGAGATGAAGAATTCCTGAGTTGTTACCATAATGGTGTTTTTACCTAAAGAAATGGGTATTTTAAGGGGTGTTGTTAGGCAAATATGCATTGTAAACATATAAACCCTAGACCCTTAGTTGCTCTGAGGCCCGTTGCAGCCCTCAGACCCTCTGCTGAATATTTCATGGATTTTCATTGTCCCCAAAACTCGCCCCTGAAAGGGCACATCATATTTACTGAAATGCCAAGTTAATACAACGAGTTCTCCTCAGTGTCTCACGTCTGTTCTTTATAGAAAAGCCACTTCATGTAGTGTATCTAAAAACGTATCACAATCTGGTCATTCTGTTCGGTTCGTCAGATACAACCTGTCCAGCAGTGATGTATTAGATAATGTCGCCTACGCTAGAGCTTACAATAGTGATCACCAGGGGCAGCTACTCCTACAAGCGTCTGCCATGATGTCTCAGTCAAGGTGAGTGATTAGGTCTGAAGATTTGGACTCTTTGGATATGGATTTAACTTAACATTGAAAGCAAGAACCTCAATGCTCTCCTTCCAGGAAAATATGAAGAAGAAACAGGAAATCTCCTCCATGATTTAACACTAAGAGCCTCCACGTTGATGCAAATTTGAAATTCTTCTTTACTTTTTATTGAGGGTTCCCAAATTTTGTGAAAACATGCAATAAAACAAAAGAGACTGGTACCTGAACCCAGTCTAACATTTCTTCAGAGCCGTGTGACATATGAAAAGGAAAGTTGCCAGACTTTAATTGTAATTATTGTAGTAGCTATGCCGCATAAAAAAATCCAATCTGGAGGGGGAAAACCTCAAAAACGAAAGCATGTTAGAGATGAAGAATCCGCCGTGATTTTGCATGTCTTGTACATGACGTGGCGCCTCTGGAGTGGGTTCGTTCAGAAATGTCAGTTTTAGACTTTGGGGTTTGTAAATACTATGCACATGTACACAACTCTTTTTTTAAAATGGAAATTGTGGAAAAGGTACCACCATCATAATGATGCCCAAGGTACTAGATAAGATATCCCTTGCTCATCACACCCATTAAAGCACTCTTTTGGGAGTAAAAACCTGATTTACTGCCATTTTGACGCAAACATTTTGATTCCAAAATCATATCCAGACTCACTGATCAGAGTCAATACTAATCAGAAATTTGCGTTAAGTTCTTTTATAACTTGGTGTTTTTGTTGCAGATATGCTCTTCTCATAGTGGACAGTGCCACAGCTCTGTACCGCACAGATTACAGCGGGCGCGGGGAGCTTGCTAGCAGACAGATGCACCTGGCCAAGTTCCTCAGACACCTCCTAAAAATAGCCGACCAAGTAAGCATTCCAAAGTTAAAAGATCGTAGGGAAAGGAAAAAAAACGAGGCTAGCAATAGAGCTCATGAATCTTTGCTGAGTTAGTACTGTTAACTGTCTTTAAGGCCCAGAAAAAAATGTTGTGCTTCCTATTTCATTAAAAAAATAGGGTAGGTGGGTAGGTTAAAAAATACTTGCTCTGAATTTTTATAGCCAGCAATGTTTCACATTCTCTTTGCTATGAGAAGGTACTTGGACACAAGTCCATTAAACTGGTAACTATTTCTCTGTTTTGTTCTCCTTTTGACCGTATTTTGACAGTACGGTGTGGCGGTCGTCATCACAAACCAAGTGGTAGCCCAGGTGGATGGCTCAGCTATGTTCTCAGCGGATCCCAAGAAACCTATCGGGGGCAACATCATGGCCCACGCTTCAACCACCAGGTAAAGATTGCAAACAATTCTGTGAGTGGGAGCCAGTGTCCGTACTCGGGGAGTCATAAGTCATTCAACCTCAAAGTGAACTGTGGCAGAGGCGTGTCCTCGCTCATCCCTTGGCCTGACTTGTGACAGTGTTGTAGTCAAGTCCAGTCACTAGGAAATCACAGGTCCAGTCACAAGGAAGTCACAAGTCCAGTCACAAGGAAATCACATGTCCAATCACAAGAAGGTCACAAGTCCAGTCACAAGGAAATCACAGGTCCAGTCACAAGGATATCACAAGTCCAGTCACAAGGAAATCACAAGTCCAGTCACAAGGAAATCACAAGTCCAGTCACAAGGAAATCACAAGTCCAGTCACAAGGAAATCACAAGTCCAGTAACAAGGAAGTCACAAGTCCAGTCACAAGGAAATCACAAGTCCAGTCACAAGGAAATCACAAATCCAGTCACAAGGAAATCACAGGTCCAGTCACAATGAAATCACAAGTCCAGTCAAAAGGAAATCACAAGTCCAGTCACAAGGAAATCACAAGTCCAGTCACAAGGAAATCACAAGTCCAGTCACAAGGAAATCACAAGTCCAGTCACAAGGAAATCACAAGTCCAGTCACAAGGAAATCACAAGTCCAGTCACAAGGAAATCACAAGTCCAGTCACAAGGAAATCACAAGTCCATACATAAGTTATTTGATTGTGACTTGACTTGGGACTGGGTGACTTATGATTGACTTGTGATGGAATTCATTGAACATGTGAGAATTTGTGATGGACTCAACTACAACATGTGACTTGTGATGACTAAATTACAACTCTTGTGGGATCTGTTGGTGCATGGTCTGTTTGTGGTCTTTGACAGTCTTCTGGGCCTGAAATTTCTCTTCAAGGGCAAAATCTCCTTTCTTTTTACTACTACTAATAATAATTTGGGAGGCTAATCGTCCTTACTCGCAGCTGAGAAGCTGAATTGCGAAGGACGTGGCTACCACATGGTCGAGCCGAAGGCCATACGACCCATGTATGACCATGGAGCACAGCCAGAGATCGAAAGTGTTTTGTCTTTTTTTGCGGAGGGAGGAAAACTGGAGGGCGTGGAGAAAAACCCTCGTGGCACAGGAGAGAATCAACGCACAACTCTACTCGCATTATGGTCCGAGCCGGGAATCGGACCCAGGCCACAGTGGTGAGATGCAAGTGCATTATGCACTAGCCACCCATGCCACCCATAAGTGGCATTTGTAAATGGTGCATCCAGTAACTCTGACTAGCCTGAATCAAATCCACAACCGGGTTTCACAGTATTTTGATACAAAGCATAATTTTTCAAGTAAAGGAATCTGATGATGATTTAACAATAACAAGACAAAGCAGCGATTGTGTTTTTCTCTTTTGGATTGAACATTGTCCTTTTTTCCCGTTGCTTCTTTCACAGGCTGTACCTTCGAAAGGGACGGGGTGAAACTCGAATCTGCAAGATTTATGATTCGCCTTGCCTGCCGGAGTCCGAGGCCATGTTTGCTATCAATGCAGACGGTGTGGGTGACGCAAAGGATTAAAAAAAGATTCAGATTATTATTTAACTTTTCAGCTGACTTTTGAAGAAATTTCTTTGCCTTTGATGCATGTTAAAATCAGGCACGCAACTTTTCCTCGGATCCGCTGGTTCCTTTTTTTTTTTACTCCTCATGAATGCCATTACAAATTGAAAAATACTGTGCAAAGTCTTGTGTGGTTTGGAGTTTCCTTGTTTTTTCTAAAATTCCCAGTTGCATGCCTGTATAATGTTCAGCGGTAAGCTCCATTGAGACTCATTTTGGAAAGTCCCGTTTTGTTTTTGTAGTAAAATTTGGTTTCAGCAAAAGCATTTTGCCCCGACGCTAAACTTCAGCGGCAACACATTCCAAATCATGTAAAAACGCTCTGGCTTATACTTGTTGAATCTCCGACTTTACATTCAGGAAAAGAAGTACTTAACCGTATACCTGTAGCAAGAGATTACATTTTTCTGAGTTTTACATGAGGCACTGGGAATTTAGTTGACAGGCCAAAAACAGCAGAGAAATATAAACTTTAAAAAGCATTATATTTCATTCTTCGTAGATAATTAGAAATAAAAATACCCTTTTTTGGTTCAGTTGCTTTTGTGATGGCATTAGAAAAAATTGTGATCGTTGACAACGCATGCAGTCCTATTTGATGACAAGCAATTACAAAACACAAATTGGACAAAATGGTCTCACACAAGCAGGTTACTGGTTTATTGTTAGACACATACACCTCTGAGATATAGTCCAGAGAATTTCAGGAAACCTCTTTGTGTACATAGTGTACAGTATTTCTTCATGTTTTGCACTTCGTACTTTTATTAAAAGCAAATGAAATCTACCGTGGTGGTAAATGAGTTGTAAACTATAACACACAATGAATGGAAGTGGCCAATGGGCCTTATTCACGAGTCGGCCATATTGGATTGAGAGTAAGGTAAAATCTTGATTTTTGGAACATGTGTAGAGAAATGAAAGCAAGTTAATTACTTATTAATTCTAGTCTGCTTCAATGAATAATTTCAAATTGGTAATTAAACGTCTCCTAATGTTTAAAGCTAGATTACAACAAATTGACAGTAAAATAAGGCTGCATTGTGCCTGCATAAATAGTCTGGCGCCATCCCATTGAACAGTTAACAATTAATGAAATACATTCAGGGAACTGGACAAAAATGGCCAACTCGTGAATAAGGCCCATTGGTGCAGCATACTTTGCCCTGTATATGAAAAGAACTGTCTAAACTTATTTAACAAGAAAATGTACTACTTAATAACTTAAACATTTTGTATAATTTTTGTTTCGAAAAATGATAAATATTTCAATTTTGTATTTACAAATAAATTTAATCAACATGTACTTCCTTTAAAACTCTCGCATGTCTAAGAAGCATAATATGTATTGTAATTCAAATAAAAATTGCAAGGTGCCTGCACACTACATAGTGCCAAATATTCTCAGAAATTAAAGAGAGTGCCGTCTTTTACAAAGCACACAATACATGTAACTTTTTTTTCATATGTAGTTCATTACTTTTGTAAAGTGCTCGTTTTCCTTTGAATATAAATTTTGTAAATGTAAATGGCAAAACATACATAAAAGAAAGAACGGTGCTCTATGGTCTTGTCTTTGAATAGGCTGTGTAAAAAAAAAAACTACCCCCACCTCCACCCCCCCTGCCCCCTCCCCACTCCCTACCCTAAGTGAACAGTTTGTTCTTGCATCTGTTCAGAGTTTTAATCAATCATCCAGTACCCAGTAAAGTAACAACCTACTGAAATGAGCTGTGATAAAGGCATTGCCTATGTCATGGTTCATCCCTGGTTACTTCTGGTTCTGTTTCTGTCAACGCCCCTGAAAGGAGCAAGGTTTAGGGGTTAAATATCATACTTGTGATTAATTCACTGACCACTGTTCATCTGTTGTTAAAGTATGACAAATTCAAGCTGCTACAGGCTAATCCAGCGGCAGCCGTTTTCTGCTGAGGCTCAAGCGAGGCGCACTCGGCTAATAGGCACGGGCTCTGGGCTCCTTCGACCAATAGGAATACCAAAATGCATGAGCGCCTCGTCTTTAAGAATGTGTGTGTACGGGTGTGGCACCACAAAAACTGCTTCTAATTTTGTACGCCGAATTACACAATATGTACATACAGCCATAACTAGTCTTATTTATACTATGTAATGTAGAATGTCACTAGTTGTGAAATATAGCTTTCATGCTAGTGCATAATTGTATAACCGTTACTTGAGTCAGCTTTGTCCAGCCTTGGGTTTTCGGTAGCTCGATGTCTCATGGTCTTTCAAATCAAATCCATCATGGCCTTCCCTGTAGACATGCAAATAATAATTTTAAAAAATCAAATAATGATAAGAATTTCAGTGTTTTGAATTTATGTTATCTGCAGGTGGACACTGAGGGATGTAAGCTATAGAGATCATGGGCATGCACTAAACAGTGGTTCATGTTTCCATTGTCTCAATACCTTGCACAAAATATACACAATATTCACTTTTGTGGAGCGCTGTGGTCTATGGTTACGGTGTTGTCCTCGTCCAGGCATTTTGACAAATATCACAGTGGGTTTGAACCCTGATGGGGAACATGGGTGCTTGTGTTCTTGGGCAAGACACTTAACTACAATTGCCTCTCTCCACCCAGGAGTATAAATGGGTACCTGTGATGGTAGAGACCAGAATGCGCTGATCTCGAGCTGCTGCAAAAACTGGTCTCAAGCCTTATGAACAGGAGTAATTGTGAAGCGCTTTGAGACCTTTGGTATATAAAGCGCTATATAGGCACCACATTATTAATCAACATTTGATAATAATGTTCAAGAGTTGTAGTTGAGTCCATCACAATTCATATTACACGAAAAGAATCAACAGGGGAGGAACAATCACAAAGGGAATTCTGTTTTCACAGCTCCTTTGAATAGCTCGTGAGGAGATTTAAAAGTCACATCCTGTGCTTTTTCGAGTTTTACCCCGAAAAATAGATTTTTCTTTTTTTATCAAAACAATATTCACTTTTGCAAAAAAGCGATCCAAAATAATACCATATTTTCTGCAGGTTGGACAATTCCAAAAATAGACAAAAGTAGCGTTTTCCGTTTAAGAAATAAAAAAGGAACTTGTGTCCGGACTTGAATACAAAGTCTCAAAATTTCACTGTTTAAACTAAAAAAAAAATGAAAAAAGTAAGACTGGTGCAAACTGCTTACTGACTGGGTGGACCTGAAATATATAAATCTAAAAATTAATGTGGCCTGACGTTGCGAACTTAGCAAGTTCTTCTTCAGAGGCTAAAACAGAAATGACAGAGGTACATACATTAACATGGGGGTGCACACAAACATGCAGGGATGAAAGAAGAAACACAAAAGGAGGATTAGGTGGGAAAGGTGTGGAAAGATGCAGGGGAGGGTGGATGAGAGAACAAAGAAACAAAGGGAGATGGCAAACCACAAGGGGTCTGGTATGAACAGGGGAGGGACCAGAAAGGGGAAGGATCAAAGGTCACAGGGAGTGGGAACGGACAAAAGAGTGTGGGAGAGAAGGGGGATTATGCGGGGGGGGGGGGGGGGGGGGGGGGAACAGTATGGAGGTGGAAAGGGATGAAAGATGGGGAAAGATGGGGAAACACAAACAATGAAGACCAGGTGGATTATCTGTAACAGAAGACAATGGAGGAAGAAAAATATTAATCATTTCCAAGTTGGATGTTGAGACCATGTGGTTGAATAGTTAAAACTTTGGAGGCTGTTTTGCAGCAGGTTACTTGCACACTAGTTATAGGAGTCATTGCATGGTTTTCCTTTCCAAAGCAAGACAAAAATTACAAAATACAAAAAAACGAGCACTTTTGCAGCTAACCTGAAGCATCTTTTGCAGTAGAGGTCATCATCGCATCCGTGGCATCTCAACGTGGCGTCTTCATTACAGATGCAGCACCACGGCAACTCATCTGGGTCCGGCAGAGCACTGCCTCCATGGAATGGCTGAAATTGGATAGCAAAATAATTGCTGAGACACCAAAAAGAAAAACTGGATTTTGTCTAATAGGCAGAAAATTTCGAAGGTTCTGCTCGGCATTCATCTTACTCTGAATTTGGTCAAAAGAAACAGTGGATGAACAATAACAAAGGAATGCTGAAGTTGTCACAGTTCATTTTGAATAGGTTTTGACTTGGGAATGGACTTGAGAGGACTTGTATAGCAATGGAAGGCTTGTGATGAACTTGACTACAACACTATTGTAAACTGTATTCTAAAATAAATTGCCCATGACAACAAAAAACATGGACAAGGGGAATACATAGGCATGATGGAAAATGCACTGAAGTTATATATGTGCAAGAGGCCCTTCCTTGAGCAGTGGGGGGATATAGGGACAGTGGTTTAGGTGGTCATGTGGTGTAGCACATGCCTGCTACCCCCCCCCCCCCCTCCAACTGCTCAGCTAACCCCTCCCCCCACAACAACAACAGCTGGATCCGCCCCTGTTGAGTATGCCACACAACACAATCCTCGTTCCTGAATGGAGTCATTTACCTTTTTTGCTGTGGTTGACTGAGGCTGGATGTCCTGTGATGTAGAACCAAGCGCCCCTGTCCTTGCCTCCAACTCGTCCTGCTCAAGAAGCTTCCGTTAAAAAAAATCAAAGAAAAGTATAACCAATAGGTTGATCTTAACTCCAATGCATTTTCATTTTTACTAGGAATCTGCAAAACATTACCACTTTGCAGTAAGCCAATGGCACATTCTAAATTGGAGCATAAAGTAATGGGGGGGGGTGCACATAGGCCATACTGAACCCATCAAAGTACGTTAGATTATTTCGACTGGCATTGAAGATTCAGTGAGAAAAATGAATAACAAAAGCATAAATATTCCATAAGAACTGGATACAATACTGATATAATATTGGATGGCTTTGAGGGGGATACAAGAATATATTGCAAGAGCTAAAACAATATTGCACGAGTCAAACATATTCTTGTACCCCCCCCAAAAAGCCATCCAATATTATTTTTATTTATATCAGGCTGACTTGATCCCCAAGATATAAATTTCAGGACACTGTCTTTATTTCTCATATTTCGTCAAATGTTCTTTGCTTACCGAAGCAAATTTCGCGCAGCTCGAAGATGCCATTGTGATTGTTGACAACAGTGTGCGTATACCCAGCTGCACCCTGCATCTGCGTGCGACGCCACCGCACTACGTTCTGTTGACTGGTTGACAAATGTGAGTTACTACGCTCATGATTATGTGGGAGCCAGCGAAATTTGTCAAAATGCCTGGATGAGGACAATATCAAAAGTAATATTGTCCTCATCCAGGTACTTTTACTGACATAATATTGCAGTCATTCGGGTACTTTTTATGAAAGCATACAATACGTTGAAGTATCTTTACCAATGGAAGCCCAATATATTAATATTATTTTTTTGACAAAAATAAATTTAAGAAAACCTCATCAAACGGGAGGTACAAATGTTGGCCCTCCACCAGTAATCGCCCTATTCTTGCTGTATTCCCTCATAATCACCTGTTTGATAAGTCGCTGGCTGGCTGCCTCTTCATCTTCTTCATCATCAGCCTCCATCCCCGCACCTCCACTGGGTCCCCTCTCACCTACTACGGATTCAAAAATCACAGTGTAATTCAGCAAAGTTTAATCCCAGGCAATCACAGCACCAACAAGTACATCTGAAGTCCACTCCAGGCCAAGGGTCTGGGCCTGGCCACGCTCTTGACACTAAATGGCACTATCGGGTCTGATCGTATGACGTCAAAGTACCACATGACCATCCAGTTTCCCCGTGATCGGCCACCATTGCAGTAGGCAAGCATTTGGTTAGCAACCACATTGCGGGCTGAAACTATACAATAAGTCTTATTTTCAGGAAAAAAAATTACCGCAAATTCTTTATCACATGGCATAATAGTCACTACCTGTGCTGTGTTCAGATGTCATAATCATGCCGACCCAGCACTAGGTGTTGGCTCCACGTTTTTCTCAACAGTTTTTGCCATGCATTACAGCATTGAAGACTTGCCTACTACCTACTGCGTGGTGCGCTATACGATCTTTGCCTACCACAATGGCGATACTGACTTTCCAGTACCAGGATGTAGGCCGGGTCAAGTGAGTCATTGAGAGAGCCCTATTCATCAAGGCATATTGGCCAACAGTGGCATGATTTTACCCACAATGCCCCCCCCAAAAAAAATGGCGGGAGTTTTTAGAGCTAACCTGATGTTGTCTTTCCTGTGTTGAGCTTGGCTAGCCTCGCTGCTATCTCCACATCTCGTCCCAACCCTTCCTTATCCTTCTTGAGTTCCTCTTTGGCTTCTTGCATCAGTTTCTGCATCTCTTGCTCCAAGTCTTCCTCCTTGTTGCCTGGGGGAATCACAGCTGTGTCTTCTGCTTTGCATTGATCAAAAGGACAATAGAATAACCAAGCAGTTTTACAATACCTTTGGGGAACAGAAAAAACAACCTGGCACAATCTAACTAGTTAAAAAAGAAAAACCAGAAATTTCTGTCCATGCCAACCACTGTGTAAAACCCTACTGCAACACTAAACTGTAACCCTTGACACCAGGATCCCTCAAACTCCACAAAGATATTGGGAGAAAAGTGCAGAATGCGCCCCCCTCCCCCTTAACTTTTTCCGCAATAGCATTGCAATTTTTTTTTCGTGACCAGAGCTGTTATGACTTTTTAGCCTCGAGCCTTGCGCATCTTTTGATACCAAAAACATGAAAATCGGACCATCAGTACCGAGTTTCAAAATTTTTCGTCACTTGATGGCCGAGATCTTAGGGGAGGGCGGAATCTCCCCCCCCCCCCTCCCCTGGCTGAGAGATGGTCAAAATAACCCGGCCCTTTTAGGGTTAAGGAAAAAACACTGTTGGACAATGAAATATTTAAACACCTGACCAGAAAATGCAATATCAACATGTCAATGTCAACCATCGTGTGTAACCTACTGTAATACACAACTAACCTTTGCCTTCAGGGAACCTTCCAAATTGACCAGGAGGTTTTTTCAGAAAAAAATCAAGGACAACTCACCAGTTATTTCAGTTCCGTCCATCTTGGCATCGATGGCAGCTTCCTCGTGCATTTGTGTCAGTAGGTCGTGGGTTTGCTCATGAGGGGTGCGTTGATCTGGCGGCTGATGTGTCTGTCACAAGTAAAAGGTATATCAATGTTAGGTTTTGCCCTTCACCGACGTATAAACACTGTATACTCAATGTGTTACCTCCCGAGTAAAAGTTGGAAAAATCACTCGGGTGGGACTCGAAGCCCCGACCTTCAGACGTCTTACCACTCGACCATCGAGCTTATACGGGATTGGTTGGCTGGTTTGAATCTGATGTACATAGCAGTGGGTACCACATTTAACTATTCATAAGATGGAATTTTGCGTCAGGTGATGTAAATCAATATTAGGTTTTGCCCTTCACTGACATATAAACACTGTATACTCAGTGTGTTACCTCCTGAGTGAACAGTTGGAAAAAATCACTCAGGTGGGACTCGAACCCACAACCTCCTGCTTTCTAGTGCAGACGTCTTACCACTCAAAAGTAAAAGGTACACGTGAAGGTTCACGGTAACACCATGTGGAAATCTCTTTTGGGAAGATGTGTAATTCCAAAAAAAAATTGTTGGTTGAAAACTTGCCAGTCAATATATCTTTACTATTCACACCATTACGGTCTATGGCCAAGTGTATTGGTGAGGAACAGAAAGACACTGGCCCTGCCTACTCAAGCAATTAGGCTGCCACAAATTTTACCCCAAGATTGCGTGGCTCATAACATCCTCAATCACTCATGGCTCTTAACACGCAAAAGTTTTGCGGTATTCAGAACGGACGACGGGTAAACACGCAACGAGCGAGGCCGGAAATATCTGTCTGCAACCCGCTCACAGCGAGTGAGGCAGGAAATATCAGGGTGTGCTACCCGCAGATGACGGCCTGAACCCGTCTGGCATTGAGGTTTGTGAAAAACAATCCTGCACCTGGGTCCAGTCAATGTCAAAATAATCCCAGCGCGAACTGGTTAAATCAAGAGACTGCCTTGTTACTTACTGGTGCTGTCTTACTGCCAGTGGATGCGGGAGCAGTTGGCCCTCCTTTCAGCTTGTGTAATCTGTCTTCAATCTCCTCGGTGGACAGTGTGCGACCTTGGAATAAACAAATACACGTATAGTTTGATATCCACCTTGCTTTCAAAGAGATATCATGATCCATGCCACACAAAATGGGATGGTATTTTTCGACCCAGTGCTTTCACACAAAAGGGAAAAGGATTTCTATTCTTCTGCACTTCACAACCCTTCAAGTTTTTTCAAAACTACTTTTTGCCCATATAATTAGCACCCACACTTCAAATTCCTTAGAGGTAGGCCTAATCTTCTTCTGTGGAGTATAAATAGCGTACAATTCCTTAGGGAGGTTAAGCTCAGGGCAAGCAGGCAGATTCAGTCACGCTTCACTGCTCTCCACAGTGCTGTTTTTTGGGGGCAGTGACTCTCTGTGTGACACAGTTACTTTAATACTTCATATCCCTTCACCTGAAACAGACCTGCAGGGTTCTAAAGGGTATTTACACATTGCTCTGAATATTGACTTCCCACTAGGCGGATTAACCCTAACCCATCTCACTCCTCCAAAATCCTCCTGGCGGTTTTGGAGGATTCTAGAGGATTGAGGATGAATGGTGATTGAATCAAATGAGGATTCTGGAGGATTGAGGATGAATGGTGATTGAAGCACATGAGGATTCTGGAGGATTGAGGACGAATGGTGATTGAAGCACAAGAGGATTTTGGAGGATTGAGGATGAATGCATTTTGAGGCAGGACTGTCTGATGATTTTGAAGGATTTGGCGTTGGTTATCCTTCATTTAAACACGAGTGCAGAGTTTTGGGATGAGGAGGATTTTGGAGGATTGAGGATGAATGCATTTTGAGGCAGGACTGTCTGACAATTTTGAAAAATTTAGGCGGAGTTGCAAAAATTTGGAAAATTTTGGAGGATTGAGGATGGTTGTAAGCAACAAGGGCCTAGGGGGTTAGGGTTAAGACTTCCAAGTTCACCTTGCCCTACCTTAATGATTATCATAATTAAGTTTCAGTCTACAAGACTGTGATGTCATCTTGTATGTGTTATCACCTGATGCATACATTTGAGCACAAACAATTATTACTGGGTGGTCAATACGTGGTTGCTCTAGCACAAGGCAGTCATTTAATGAGAAAATTGTTACAATGTTAGGGTGTAGAATCCCTGATCAGGTGAAGTTAGTGCGTGAAGTGACATTATAGCAACATTATTTCCCCCAACCTCCAAAAATGCAAGTCTCATAATCTTCATACAATTCAATGTAATGGATATCTGCACAACCTACCGTTTTAGTGTGAAATTCATTTCATGGCATCTATCAATTTCAGTGTTGTAGTTTAGTCCAATTGTAGTCCTCACAAGCCAATCGTATTTCATCCAGATCCCAAGTCACCACTCAATCTATACCAACGAACTATGTCAAAGGAAAGGCACTCCTTTCTTTTGTTCATCCTGTTACTTGTGAACGGACTTGTGAATGTACTTGTGATTTTGTAGTGACTGGACTTGTGATGGACTGTGGATGGGCTGGACTACTGATAAACATCTGATAAATATCATGAAGGCTTTCCTTTTTTTTTTCAATTCCCAGTGAGAACAGCTGTTTGCTGTCTAGCCCCTTACCTCTCATTTTTTTCCTGTCCTCTTTCAGCCTTTCCAATCTCTCAGCAATGTCCCTGTCTTCAGACTTTGCGAAGCCCCTTTTTCGTGATGCTTCAGACAATGAAGGGTGGGACTTCTCATTCTGTTTCTTCTCAAGGGCAGCGATTCTCCTAAACGAAATTGAATATAATTGATAGGTATAGATCTGTTATTTGGAAATGCTCAACTCACCGTAATGACCGTAGCAACTGTATACAATATGAACGATTTATCGTCTGATTTGTTTAGCAAGATGAAATTAAAGGTTTGTCAAATATGATCAGATCGGGTATTAGCCCTCCCTCTCTGGCTGGCAAATTCAAAAAAGCCATCCCAGCAGTTAAAGGGAATGTACTTCATTGGCTTTCGCTGTAATTTTCAGAAATGAACTATTTAGGGGGTTAGTATAATAGATCAAATATTGTTACACTGACATGTTTGAAGCTTTGTGTTCGAAAATGCTGGAAAAACCAAGAAAAACAAAATATTCAAGTAGTCTGGTTCCCTGACTCCACTAAAGATGAAATGGATCAAACATACCAGAAAATTGTAAGGGAACCAGTCTAGCTGGCCTGCACCCGTTAATGAGCATGGAACCAATAGCTAGCAAAACAAAATTTAGACTAAAAAAGAAAATGGTAAATTTTGTGCAGTAATTGAAAAATAGTTAGGTTTTTCCAACGGTGGTCGGCCGACCAGCGTTGGAAATGTAGACAAATATACCATTTTCTTGAAAATGGCTTCACACCAGGTGCCATAATTTTACAGGATGCTTAAGCATGTCATTTACCAACATCCTAGTAAGGTATTTCGTAACAACTTGGTAGTTTTATTTTTTGATGTTTGCAAATGTTGTATTTTCCCTTTAAACTCAATGAGTGACTGTTTTTAAAAGTTGAGTGCTTCCTGCCTACATAAATAAAGCAGGATTGACTGGCTGTGACTGTTTCTGTAACTTGATACAGCTATGCTTTGACTGTAGGTGATGGATAAGTCAGCTGTACTTACAAGTTACTTGCTCTAGTCTGTTGATGGAATTTGACTAGTCACAGCGCCTTCATAAAATGCGATCCGACTGTTGGTGTCTAGACTGTGTATAAGTTATGGGAGGGGAAGTGGATTGACTTTCTGACTGTCTGTGACTATGGACTGGAGGTAGGTTTACCTCCAAGGTGTGACTGACCAAACAGTAGCAGGGTTGTTAAGCTTTCAAAATAGGTAACAGTTAATGTATGATTATCCAAGTTTTGAGGTTTAAAAAAGTTACAAAATTTGTCTCATTTAGTAAATGTGCTGGGAAACAGCATTGCACACCAATAAATATGTGACCACTAGCATTCAATTATCGATGAGATTTTTGTTTATCAAAAAAAAAAAACAAGTTACTTGGCAAAGAGTTGAAGATAATCACTATTCTCTTATATCTCTTGGACATTTTTTGAACCTTTCAATAGACTACGTAAAATGATCTGTTTACTTCTTAAAATTTTCGGGTGGTTCTTGAAAATGCTGGGATTCTCCAGTGTCTGCTTTCTCGCTAGGGGGCGCCGTCAGCTGCTTGTAGCATTTATTGCAGACGCTCTGTTCCTTCGGGCCTTTTCCTGGGATCACAATGGACTTCTCCAGGCATTTGCTACAGAAGGAATAGCCACAACTCTTGCAGCCATGCTATTAAAACAAAACAAAACAGAGAAAGACTTGCAAGATTCTTAAAAATGTGAAATAGGGTGTACCACTCAAAATCCAGAAACACACAGTTTTCCTTCCAACATATTATTAGTGGCTGCATGATCATCAGGTCCAGACAAGGCTCTGGAGTGCTCTGAAACATGCAAAACTAAATCAGGCCCACTTTACTCACAGTTTAGCCAGCAAATTTCTCCAACATTTCCACTGGGGCGAAGAAAATGTCCTCAGTATTGCACCAACCAAGTTTGCAGACTCAATTCAAGTTTTAAAGGAGACTTTTCTTCAATATTTTGCACATGAGAGGGAAGTCAAGTGATTTCAAAATGGGGCTAAATACTAGACTGGTACATGTCCAGCCATGGTCCAACTATTTGAAAAGACTGACCTCTTCATTCAGTGTCAATAAACTGGTGGCTAATTGACTATGGAGAAATGTGTAGTAAAGTAAATTGAGACTAGTTCCCACTTCATGCCACGTTTCTTAAATTCTTTTGGCATGGTTGATTGCTGCAGTACTGAAGCTGTGTTGGACTGGTTGTTTTAGGTGCCAGTCTATTTTCTTGTTTTGCATGTTTTCAATACCTTAAGGCAAAATAAAAAAAAAAACATGTTTAGCGTCCTGCCTCTTTGACAAAAAGGAAGGAGGAGGCCCTTTTTTTTTTTTTTTTCCTTTTCAAAATGGCCGCCCGACACACTTTTCAAGACAACGCGGCCGGGCTATTTTTCAAGATGGTTACCAGCTTTTTTTCAAAATGGACGCCACTTGGACTCATTGACTATTTCCACAGCTTTATACACGGTATAAAAGTCTAAAAATATGATTTCTTTCGTCAGAGATTGTTAAAATTTATCAATTTTTGTCTTTAAAAAAAAAAAAAAAAAAAAAAAAAAAAAAAGGAGGCGGCCTCTAAAAAGGAAGCGGGCGGGGACGCTAAACATGTTTTTTTTTTACTTCGCCTAAGTTTGGCAACTTCGCCTAAGTTTTGGGACTCTCATACACAGTATTGAGAGTCCCAAATTTTCGGACTACATCAGGTCCTGAACCCCAAACTCCCTTGGCACTGCTACTCCCCAATTAAAGCACAGGCCCCAACTACGGCTTGGACAGTCCCAACTATAGGTGGGGGAGTCCCAACTCGGACGATATGCAGCAGTACTTCAGCGTATCGTCAGACCCCCTAAAGCTACGCCGTGCTATCTCTACGCACTCGCCTTCAATTTGTGTGGGACAACTCGCACGCGTTGCAAGCGTTACCTGCGCAGATTATGGAGGCCAGGAGGGTCGAGGATAGTAAGCACATGACAGAACTCTAATATTTTCTGGTATTTGGTACCTGCATACATAATTTTTGGGCGATCGTGTATCTACGGGCCCGGTTCCTAGTAGGCTACTATATTAAACTATAAGGGGAAAAAATCCACTTTTAAATTATTTGACCTAGGCCTACCAAACTAGTTGGCGACATCCCAGGTAGGCCCTATGTCATAGATAAAGGGCAGGGTTTTGAATTTATGAGGAAAATTTGGGGGTAAAATGACGATGACAACGACAAAACGCAACACGAAAATAAAGATGGCAACACTGCGCGAAGTACCGTGAGCGCGCGATGTACCTTGAGCGCGCAAGGCGCGCTGAATCGTACAGTACCAACCGTAAACCGCATAGGAGAACTGTAATTTCTACCCCAAGAAACTGTTCAAAAATTTAAAAAACGGTGTCATTATATTGAAAGAAGTCTGCTTAAACTTTAAAGTTTAGGTTGAAAATGTCATTTTTGATTAAGAAAAAACACTAGCTGAGTGACTCTAATTTGATTGAAACAAAACTGGGGCCCTACACTACACCGTACACGATCGCCAATATTTGTTGTTCGTTGCAGTATGTGGTACTTTACCCTAAATGAACTTTTTGGGGGTTAGGGTTAATTCCCCCCCCCTTTCGCGCCCCGCCCCCTCACCCCGATATGGCCTAGCCCGACTGCGTCTGGCCGTACAGTACTATCGCAAGCTCTGTAGTACGGCCAGACGCCCGATGCTTCCACAGAGACTGAATTTTTTTGGCCGCCGATGTAGCGATTTTGCTACATCTTTCGATCGCGATTATCTTTTCATCCAGGACACAAATTTCCAAAGTTAAGGTTCGTAGTCGTAGAGCAACTCATACCTTTTCGAAAAAACGTTCTTTGGTCTCAATATTTTCATCCATCTGGCCACAAGACGAATTTCAGTCATCAGATTCCACAAATATCGTCCCCCATGCGATCCCCCATGCGATTTCAAAATGGCGGCCGCGCTGTAATGTATGCATTATGCGAGCGCGCTTGGGCAAGATAATGAATATGCATCATAGTTTATGACGTTTGTCGGACACTCAGCGCGGCTGGCCATACAAACACGAGGTCATGAACTAAATAATGCATATTCATTACTTGCCCAAGCACGCTCGCATAATGCATACATTACAGCGCGGCCGCCATTTTGAAATCGCATGGGGGATCGCATGGGGGACGATATTTGTGGAATCTGATGACTGAAATTCGTCTTGTGGCCAGATGGATGAAAATATTGAGACCAAAGAACGTTTTTTCGAAAAGGTATGAGTTGCTCTACGACTACGAACCTTAACTTTGGAAATTTGTGTCCTGGATGAAAAGATAATCGCGATCGAAAGATGTAGCAAAATCGCTACATCGGCGGCCAAAAAAATTCAGTCTCTGTGGAAGCATCGGGCGTCTGGCCGTACTACAGAGCTTGCGATAGTACTGTACGGCCAGACGCAGTCGGGCTAGAGAATGTCAGACAAGTCGACCGTTGAGACAACTCGACTCGGGACAAGTCGACCGTTGAGACAACTCGACCGTTGAGACAAGTCGACCGTTGAGACAAGTCGACTCGGGACAACTCGACCGTTGAGACAGCTAACGTGCACGGCACGTGCACGGTATGGCCACGCGGTTGAGCGGAGATGCGCGCACAGGCCCGGCAAAAACGAACGATGTGCACGGACAATCACGCTGCGCTATATTGGCTCTGCTCTGTTACGTGTCATAACTCCCAAACGGCGATCAGCCGCCGTCAAAATCCCCAGTACTATCCCCAAAACTAGGCCCAAAAACATGCGAGGCGACTTGTCTCAACGGTCGACTTGTCTTTCCATTTATCGCACATACGGTCGAGTTGTCTCAACGGTCGAGTTGTCTCAACGGGCGACTTGTCCCGAGTCGAGTTGTCTCAACGGTCGACTTGTCTGACCCCCGGGCTAGATATGGCCAGGCATAACGATTAACGTTACCTCTCTCCTGAATATTCCAAACTTTTCTGTGCAACTAAAACACTTGCCGTCCATTCTCAGTTTTTAACCATATCACAATGGCCCGCTAAATCGTGGCATAAATCTAGACCCTACACAGTCTCGAGCTGTTCTAAACATCAGCAGTAGAAACGCAAAAAAATTCACGCCCGAATAAATTCTCTCATCTCGACGACCGGTCTGGCGCCCTCTCGCCTGTATGGATATTTTTGGGTACGTGCGCGTGCGTTGTTATTGTTTTTTACTCGGTCAATCACCCCTGCACAGGCTCTGAAATATCTTATTAATATAAATTAGTTAATATTCATTAATAACGCTAATAACTAATTGCATTACCTTAATTGTAATATTTTTGTCAGATATGTATAATTGTAAATTTTGAATTGCAATACTAGGAAAAATCACTTTGAATATCTATATATAGAAATTATATCATCTGAGAGAGGATGATTTTGCCGTAAAAAATTATTTCGTTGTAAAAACCGTCGTTTCCCAATACAGCAGCCGAAAGGTATTATATCTGATTTTCTTTCCCTAACAATGCTTCTTTATATCATTATATTTTGAAAGTTCATTTTAAGACATGTATGATAATGTATTCATAACATTTTTGTCAAGTTTTTACTTCGTCGGTGATCAGTTTTGTCTTTTTTTCGTTCGTCATTATTTTTTCGCAGTGGCTATTGTTACGGCAGCCGTAACGCATTTCCCATTTTCTATCGTTACGGTAGACTACAACTTTTATAAACCAACATGACTATAAAATTAGAAGGAAAAAAGTGAATATGAACGTTATGAAATTCGGACTTTATTTCCCTTTAAAAAAAAATCCTCCAAAGCCTTAGGTTAGAAAAGGAAAAAAATTCGAGTGCAAAACTGAGATGCGAACCCGCAACCTCGCGGTGCAAAATCCTACCCTCTATCGACTGAGCTGTCGCACTGCTCGCTAAAACGTGGGGAAACAAATAATTATATACCTGCGTGTGTATCAATAAAGTATCGTAGAGGGCGCCAAACAACGGCCGCCGTAACGATAGCCACTTCGTATTTTTTTGCACACTTCCAAAAACATGTCAACTCAAATTGGATTTCCCTTCACATTAAACAATTAAACACTAGGCCTACAGTAAAGCACTGACACCATGGGAAGAAAAATGGCAAAATGTCTGTGCCTTTCCTCATCCCATAATTCTTTTTATCCATTGTTTGTACAAATTGAATTGAAATTCACTCAACTGGTATTGCAATAAGGCTTAGGACTACATTTATGTTGTCAGGAACTGAGGAAGAATGTATTTTGTATGTTGCTTGAGTTGTTGTGTACAAAGTCAAAGTCAATGGAGGGTCGTGTGCATTTTCAATGTTTTTTTCTTGGAAGTGTATATTTAGCCGGCAAGATTTAGCTGGCTGTTTTCAGTAAACGATATTATAAAGCCAGCTATACAGCGCCCTCTTTGACACGTATGTAGGCCTATACGCATATACAACATTTGTTTATAGAATATTATTATTATAGCCGGATAGGCCTACATTTTCTTTTTCTGACTCATGGCTCTGGAGGATTTTTTTTTAAACATGTTTAAAGGGAAATAACGTCCGAAATTGTAAAATGGTCTGATTCGGTCTCGTGAATACGAAGTCACAACGGCAATGTTGGTGAGGAACCAGACTAAGATTTGTCACCGTAAAAATTTCTCTTACGTCCCCAAAAAAGCCACTGCGCATGTTCAGTGCCTATCCGGCAAAATATCATTTTCTAAGTTAAAGAAAGACTGCGCTGGCTAAATATTCACTGCCTATTTTTTAACAAAATTGGAAATGTTTCACAGTCCCAGATTCATGTCTTTTCAATATTTTTGCAATGACTGACCTTCATTGAAATATATGTTGAAAAAAGTGGCGTCGGGATGCAACATTATTTCTGGGTCATTCTATAAATTTGGGGTCCACTTTTTTCCCGTCCCTGTTACATCTGACATCTATGATTGTATAATTCTGATGCACTCCTTAATGCAGTCATCCTCCAAGAGTGATTATGAATAGCAAACTACCTACCCAACAAATAAACAATCATTTGAAGTCACTTTTAATGATGCTTGAATGGCAAATTACAAAGTACCAAGGTAACAGGGACGGGAAAAATGTCACACTTTGGACCCCAAATTTATAGAATGACCCTTCTGCAAGTCACAGTTAGACCGTTTCAGGGATACCAGGTGGATCACGTGGTAAACTTTGGGGTATTTCAATGAAAATATGATGTGATGGTGGAGTGCGATCAACCAATAAAGGCTTCATTCCGTACTTAAATTTTAAGCTTGGACTCTTGTGTTGAAATAGCATTTCTCTCGCAGCTCTATAACAAGTCCGTAAACTTAAGAATGCTTTTTTTTAACGAAGTGTTTAACCCTAACCACCCGAACTCCATCAAAATCCATCCCCCCATTTTGCTGGATTTTAGGGGACTTGGTTCAGGAGGCCTGGCGTGACTAAATATTGATGGAATATGATGGACTTGGACCTAATGGCCTGAAGCAGTGCTGGGGGTATCCAATTGATTTTGCCTAGCATCCTGCACTGCTATTGTTGTGATAAAAGCCATGTGTAGCAAGTCCGTGAATGTCAACCAGTGTGTCAGTGGTGGATTCCATTATGTCATGTACAGTTTTGTATTGGAAGCACAGTGATTGATGGATTTTGATGAACTTGGTCCAGTTCCTAGTAAAAGACGCTAGGGAGTTGGGATTAAAGAACTGTGAACCGGTCCTACATTTTTTCCCACTCTTGTGCCGGCAATTCCTCTGCATTTATATTACACATTTATACAAGCACATTTATACAAGCAAAAAAAAAACATGTGAAGTCCCAATTTTCCACAGCTTTCTCTGGAGCATATTGCTCAGACTTTTTAAAACAAATCTCAGCACCGAGAGTTTGTCCAGAAGGGGTGGTTTGTTTTGAGGTTTTACACTGGGGAGACCGTGAATTCCAGCGGACGCAGAGCACAGAGCGACGCCGCTTGACATTTTGCAATGTTTTTATTTTGAGTCACATTAAGCACAAGTTGCCGTCGAGTTTTATTTAATTATACAGCAAACGTTAAACACAAAGTGAGAAATTGCTATCAGCGATATTGATATCAAAATAATATCGAATAATCGAGTAATATTGATATAGCGATGGTGCTTACCACGTTTGTGATTAAGAAAGGTACCTAAATGTAACATAGATGCCTATAAGTACAATGTAGGAGTTAAAGAGGACTTGATGCTTATTTAGTATCTCACAAGTGTCATATTTCAATTGTTACCTTTCTTTAATGGTTGACAATGTGTTCATGACAACAGAACCACAGGATGTGCGTCCTTCCTCCAACCTCACTGTTTATTAGGAAACTGTTGAGGTCACACAATTCTTTCCTGTGTACGCGGACATGCATTGTGTTTGTTGCAGCACGTAGTACTGGTGTCATGTGATTTTCTATGGAAACTTATAATCAGTGACACTTTGTTGTTTGGTCATTACTTGGAGGATATTGGTCAGTTTAATACGTGGTACTTGAAATATTGGGTTGTACATTCTTTGACTGTGAAGAGGACTCTGATAAGATACATTTCCATGAGGTATGTGTACATCTAATACATGTTCCATACAAAAGTCAGCCGTCTACATAGAAGAATGACAACAAAATCCTAAACTACTAACACAATCTTGTGTGAAAAGTTCTTTTATTGGTTAGTATACTATTAAATATAATGCACGTGTGGTCTAGCAGTTGAGCATAGGATTCGTGATTGTGAGATTGTGGGTTCGAGCCCCGCCATGGCCATGTGTGTTGTGCCCTTGAGTAACCCTGAATTACTCCTTTCAACCCAGGTGTTAAATGGGTACCGGCATTATTCAATGCTGGGAAGGTAAACAGACTCACTGTGGAGGAGGTGGGGCGATCCCCCCACAGCAGCATTTCATGGACTCGAGTCTGACCCAATCACTTCAAAAGAGAGATGGGCACTCCGTTCCTGTGAACACAGCTTCATCCTCCTTAAATATAATGCAAAACCGTATAAAGTGGACGTAACAGTCGGTTGAGATGCTTGCAAAAACTACAGTTTTTTTCCCCTCTCCCACAGAAGGAACAAACTAATCAATCATGGCTCGTACGAAGCAGACTGCACGTAAGTCTACCGGTGGGAAAGCTCCCCGCAAGCAACTGGCCACCAAGGCCGCGCGTAAGAGCGCCCCGTCCACCGGTGGTGTCAAGAAGCCTCATCGTTACAGGCCCGGTACCGTGGCTCTCCGTGAGATCCGTCGCTACCAGAAGAGCACGGAGCTGCTGATCCGCAAGCTGCCATTCCAGCGTCTGGTCCGTGAGATCGCTCAGGACTTCAAGACCGAGCTGCGATTTCAGAGTGCGGCTATCGGAGCCCTGCAGGTTAGTGTAAAAAAGGGCTGCTAAACTCGGCAGAACACACTTCAATGTGAGTGTCAACTGTCAAGCAGATCTCTACTTGGTTCTTAACCCTAACTCCCTAGGCCTTTTTGCTAGGATGTAGCCTGAATCCTGCAAATTCCTCCATTATTTCTTGAATATAGTCCATGGAGGGGTGACCACTGCCTGAATCCTGCAAAATCTTCCGGCTATGACTGTCAATAGGCTGAGGCAGAGGCAGTGACATCCTGGAGCAGTGCGGAGGATGTCAAGTATAATCAAGGACTAAATTTATGCACGGCTGAGCATAAACAACACAAGGCCCGGCCCAAGACCTTGACACAGTGCATACTCCGAAATTAGCAACGCACTTTCGCCATGTAACCTCAATCCTGCAAATTCCTCCAATTTGCAATTTAAAAGGATTTTGGAGGATTCAGGGCGGTTAGGGTTAATTTAAGCTTAACTCACTTGATGTGTTCAATCTGAAACTCCCTAATATCTCAAAATTACAAAATGAGGCACTTCTTGTACTTCTTCAAAGTTGAGACATTATCCATTAACCCTAAACCACCTCAATCCTCCAAAATCCTCCTGGCGGTTTTGGAGGACTTTGGAGGATTTTGGAGGATTGAGGATGAATAGTGTTTGAAGAGGAGGAGGATTGAGGATGAATAGTGTTTGAAGAGGAGGATTATTTTGGAGGATTGAGGATGAATGCATTTTGAGAGGCAGGACTGTCTGACGATTTTGAAGGATTGCAGCCCTTTGTGTCCTTCATTTGAACATAAGTGCACATTTTTGGAGGATTGAGGATGGCTCCTAGCAAAAAAAATCCTAGGGGGTATGGGTTAATCACCACGAGAAGGATTCCGGGATCAATTTTAAATCCTGTATCACATTACGTTTAGATTTTGGAAGATTCAAAATAGGGTGAATGTTGTCTAGTGGAGGATTCCTCACACAAAAAACAGAGACCCAATTACTGCACTTATCAAGAGATTATGAAGAGAAATTATGTTCCCTGTGAAAGTGGGAGAAAAGCACAAGGTGTTCATGGTACAAAAAATAAAAAAAGCCAAAAATGGGCTGATTCAGCATGGGTTGTGGCAAAGTTGTGGGTCAAACTGAAACTGAAACTGAACGTTATCTTTGGCCAGGTGTTCTAAATCTTGTTTTTTCCCTCCCATTTCCTTGGTTCGTTACATCATGCAGGAAGCTAGCGAGGCCTACCTGGTTGGACTCTTTGAGGACACCAACCTGTGCGCCATCCACGCCAAGCGTGTGACCATCATGCCCAAGGACATCCAGTTGGCTCGTCGCATCCGTGGCGAGCGTGCCTAGGCTCTGATGGCCCCGGCAGAGCGTTGCCAACTCAGCCGCTCCTTTCTTGGTGGTGTTTTTTTTTTATTTTAAATAAATTCCTTGGCAAATTTCTTCTTGTAGCCTTGCCAAACCGATAGAGTATTTTTACAATTTGACGTTGTGCGTATGTGTGTGGTTTCGTGCTTGTTTGCCCTCTGGCTTCGTGAGTAATTAATATGTTTTTCCCTTCATTTTGTACTTTTTGTTTTTAGATTTTAACTAAAAATGTGCTCTTTGCTTAAAATCTTACAGTCTCATTGCCTCAAGTAATACACAAATTGTGCTGGGAAAAAAATCAACATAACGGAAATACCATTTTGAATTCAAATGCAACCTCAATATCAATCTGGGAAACTGATGTGAAAATCCCACCCTGTCTGTAATTGGATATCACGCAAACGTACCAATCTTTGATTTTTCTTTCTGTACTACCTGAGGTAATTATGAGAACACATGTCATTCAAATTATGTGAGTGTTGTCATTTCTAGTTAAAGTATCGATGTTTATCGCTTGTAAGTAGCTTTCTCGCCCTTAATTTATCAAAAGAATACACTTGGCGTAAAAACAAAAAGAACATGCAGCATATAAATTGCATTTGTTAGGAAGTTTACAGACTGAAATTTCCCCAAGACTCTCGTTAATACGAGGTTTTATTTATGTCCTTTTTACCAGCATACCAAGACAAGGCAAGCCTAATAGAGCTGGTCCCAGAGTTCACAAAACTCTAGTTTAATTGATTCAGAACGGCTTATTCACTGGATGCCCATTACAGTTGATCCTATTTGATTGCAATGCCGGGCTCTCTTCAACATCCTACAACCAGTCTCAGTCAGTAAGTCTGTCAGTCAGTAAGATAAGTACAAAGATAGGAAAGAATGTTGCAACCTGACGCCACTTCTTTTTTCTTCATACATCATCTCAATAAAGGTCAGACATGGCAAAAATGTTGAAAAGACATGAATCTGGGACTGAGAAACATTTCCAATTTTGTTGGGAAATACTTGGAAGATTGTCTTAACTCTTCATGGACTTAGTACACAATTGCTCAAGTGGAGTCTGGATACTACATTCTTTTCCTAAGATAATTACTAGGCTGACCCTCACAGACAAGCAGATGCATTACATCATTTTTGCCTTTTTCAGAAAAAAAGGAAAACAATCTTTGTATTAAACAAGACTTGAAATATTCACCGAGGCTACATTTGTTGTTTGTAAGTGGTAATGTTAAAACCGTATTTTACTACATTCTATAAAAGGGGACCAAACAACTTATTCGTACTCAGACAAGTACACAAAATGTAAAACTTCGGTGCTGGCAATGTACGGAAGTTCTATCAGGGATTTTTTCAACAAGTTTTGGATTGTATTTTTTGGATGTGTATAAGTCCCATATACCCTGCGTGAATTATTCTATTTCGTCTGTTTTAGTGTCTTCAATTGATTAGTTATTAACATGTAGCCAGTAATATGTCTGTGTCAATAAGGAAATTGTCTATGTAAAGTATCTTAAGTAGTTTGTTCCCAGACCCAGGTAATACTATTCACATTCATTGGTGATATAAGGACTATCTTAAAGGCATAAGGATCATTTGCTTTTCATGCATGTTGTTCGTTTACAATAATACCACCACTCAAAATCCAAAGAAGAATGTTCAAACCCTATTAAACCTGTTGAGGTTTCAGCCCAGTGGATACAAAATGCATTACACTCCGATAAAGCAGTGAAAACCCATGCACAACCTTTCGATCACGAAACACAGTTTCGTCCACAGAACTCTTTCTAAAAACCAGTCGATTGACTGATGATTGGAAATCGCTTCATTTCTTGATTTCTTCTAAATGACAGCAAACCAGACGGCTAATTGCTTGATTATTATTCGGTAGGTTACTTTTGGAATACATGCAAATGATTTTTCATGTATATGCCTTTAAATATGAAATATTACATAAAAAAAAACTCTCCATGAAAAATGCCATCCGAGACCTCAAGTATTTGGAGGATTGTATGCTGCCCTCATCATTTGCGTAATTGTAATAAAATACTCCCCAATTGGAAAAAAAATGGTTGTGTGTTTTGAAGTAATGTTCCATTTGTTGTACTCGCATTGCATGGATATCCTTTTATATATAGAGAAATGAATATTGAGTATAATTGCACAGCTGTATTGAAGATTATTTCTATCAGGTCAAGTGGGTTGGTACAGAGCCAGGTTATTACTGGGGTACATAGGTAAAAAAAAAACAAAGACGATTCAAAATAGCTTATTTCTCTTGCCAATTTTAATACAAAACATTTTTATATACTTTGTGATGGAACTTGAATTTAAAACTACAAAATACAGTTGCAGAACTATTTAAGATGAATCATATTTTGAAAAAAAGGGGGAAATACATCCGGCTTTCTTTGAAGTTTCTTATGTGTTCTACTTCTACAGTTTTTTTTCAGTTTTATTAAAGCCCAAACGGTACTTGCCACATCACAATTTGTTTATACAATTGCCACCTGGTCTCAACTGGTGGGAAAGGCCGTGGGTATTTTATGGCACATATTAAATTTGCCCTTCAAGCCTTAATGGTGAATAACTGTTTCAGACACGGCCCAAAGATGAGTCAAACAGGCTGAGTAGTCAGTGCAGAATCTTGCATCAGCAACTCGCGTTGTCGAGCAAATCAGAGTAGTTTTGGCACATCGAGCATATATATTTACATCGATTAGACCTAAGACGTAATGATGCCATGCTTATTTACATGTACACTGTTCTATGGAAGCCAGGTGGGACGAGAGCCAGTCGTCCCCAGCCGGCTCCCACAGGAAAGCGCGCATGTAAACAAAGCATGACGTCATTATGTCTTGGCTCAACAATGAGGGCACTATCAAATTTAAACTAGCCTGTGATATAGTGCGGCTTGGCCATACATGGGTCATCATGGGTGTATTAACTATGTAACCACACGCAGTGCCTCACAGTAGTAGTCAAATCACAAGTCAATCAAGCAATGGAATGAAACGATGACAAAGGAATGCCTTTGCCACAGTTCATGTGACTAGCTTATGATTGACCAGAAATAGCCCCCGAAACAAAACAATGTCACGCTTTGTTTACATGTGTGCTTATGGGAGCCAGTTGGGGATGAAGGAACCTCAATCGTCCCCACCTGGCTGCAGCATTAAGGCCGGCTCATATTTCAAGAGAAAAACAAGTGCGAAGCAAAATTCATGTCGTCAACAATGGTGAACGCCTTTCGAACGTATTGTTGACGTCACGAAGTTTGCTTAGCGTGAAGTATGAACCGGGCCTTAGAAAGTGCACATGTCATGTAAAGTAATCTCAGGCCTTTTGACTTTGTGAGGCTTTGACCACAGAGCTGCAGTGTCTTTGAAATTGCCAGAACCACCAGCTAAAATAATTCCAAAATGAGCAGCTTTTGCTATAAAACATGAATAAGAAAATAGTAACTGTTTGTGTGTGCATTGAACTTCCAACAAAAAATTCCACAATTCTTGGATAAACAAATATTAAATAGAAATTAGTGTCCAATCCAGCAAAGTGAGTCTGAAGCTGTAAAATGAGCATGCTTCTGACAATGATCCAGAAACCGACTGCTTTCAAAACACAAATGCTAAAAACTCTCCTCATTCCCCTACCCATATTTTGTTGTATTGATCACTTAACATGTAATGTCAATAATGAATCTAAGGCCAAATATACAAGGTACATCACATGGGAAACTTCCCTGATTCATAATGACTTTGAACTGTGTTGTGGTCGAGTCCATCACAAGTTCATCACACACAAGTCCAGTCACAAGAAATTCAGGGAAGTCCATGCACAGGTCTGGTAATGAATTATAACAAAGGAACACCTTTGGCACAGTTTCACTTGACTTGGGATTGGAGGACTTTTTGTAATGCACTCATTAGGACTTGTGAGGACTTGTGATGGACTGATGCGATTACAACACTAATTCTTATTACACAAACCAATGGGATAAAAAGACACACATATACTATAAACAAAACGCGACACCATGATACATTTGTAGCACGATATGGGACAGAGGAACCCCCCCCCCCAACACCTCTTTTGTGTGTTTTTTATGTTGTCAGAATCTCAGGAATTCTTTTGAGATAGGGGGATGTGGTAGATAACATAGTCTAGGCCAGGGTTTGCATTGGGTATAGGGAGATTGGGGGGGGGGGGGGAGGGACCCGTTCATCCCATATCGTGATGGGTATATCATGTTTCAGTCCTATTCCAGCATCATGTATATATAGCAAACAACAGAACAAGTGAAAACCTCTTTACCAAAACAGTCAATGGTTAAAAAAAGGAACTAAAATTTACACAAAAGCAGAACAATATTATATCAAACTAAAAACAACAATGAACGCTTCTCTCTTCTTATCGTGGCAACGTGAGAGTAAAATTTACTACAAAGTAAAACAATGGGAGACTTTTGAGACGTTGGTGGCAGCAAACACACCGGTCCTTTTTCCATTGTTTACGTCATGTTTAAGCAAAAGCGTGCATGCTCAAAATGATGTAAACAATGGGAAAAGGACCGGTGTGTTAGCTGCCACCAACGTCTCAAAAGTCTTCCAATGAAATCATAAAAATGTCTTTAGTTTTCACTTTTGTGTACAATCATTAACAAGTGACATTCATTTTAAATTCTTTCATATTGAGCACTATTAGAAATTTGAAATTGGTCTGAATATTTACATGTATAGCTGAATGACTGACAGTAGAATTAATAACAGTCTTCGAGGAACAAAAACAAAATAAATCTTGACCTCTGCTATTAAAGAGCACTATTAACAAAAATAACATCAAACTGTAGCGAAACTTGCAAAAGTGTTATCAATTCAATTTCTCAACCTTAAAATTATTCACAGCATTATTCACTTTAGATGTCAAAGGTTACACAAGACATCCCATTAAAAGCATTTCAGATGAATGCTGTTATAAAACAATGACAATATTTACAAGTAATTCTCTCCAACAAAACGTTTTTAACAGATAAGGTACAGTACATGATTGAATGAACTAACATGATGCCAGTTTTTCTTGTGAGGGAGCGTACAAAATTTGCATTTTTCAAAATGTTTAATGTATAAAATCTACTGTCCGAGTCTGGGCCCAAAAACATTCCTCAACATTTTGAGAAAAATTTAGCTCTTTTTAATCGGTTACCTTTCTTGCATTTTTTTTTTGAAATTGCAACAATTTTGAAATCCGAACCTATTTTGAGACAACTTGGAATTTTACAAATGGTCTTCCAGAATATTTCGATGTTTGATCGTTGATGGTAAACATCAACACTTAGAAATTAAACAGTAGAATTCAAAGAAAAAACCTTTGAAGTTTGCATTTTTGAGACACACTGCCTTTTTGCTTCACAATTACACTACATGAAGTCAGATACTTTGTATAATGCCTGAGCAATTATTGTCAAGAAACCTTGGAGTTAATTTCATCAAACTGTTACCAGATTTTTTTACCAACAAAGCAATTTCCTTTAAAAAAAAGTTTGGAACAGGCTCTATTTTGCAATGGAACGTAGGCATCATTTTTCAAAATGGCGATGGCCCAAAGGACTACTTTTCAGGGTTATCATCTTTGGATGGAACTTTCTCCCAAAAGTCATCGGATTATTGATCAAAAATTGACCAGAAAATTAAAGATGATGAAATAAGCTTTAATTTGATGAGTGTATCAAACACTTTGGAGAGTTGTGAGTATTTTTAATAATTGTCGGAAGTACATGTAATTATTACCGAGGTCTATGAGAGTCAATGTGCAGGTCTGCACCCATTTGGAATTATGCTCAGCATCTATAGCATGTACCAATCATGGGATATGAATAGTTTGCATATTCATTAGGAACAGACCAAGAAAGAACAAGCTATTAGTTGAAGAGTTGATCTTGGAATGCTTAATTGAAGTCGATATAGTAACCAAAATTCTGATTTTCATTCCATCTTTATCAAAATCATCATAACTGTGAATTTAGTCTGAAAAGATCGATGCTGGAAAATGATATTCATATTTAGATTTCCCCCACGATTCTCCCTCTGCACATTGAACAGCCCATTATGTTACCAAAGTGGGGCACAAATGCAAAAATCTGGGAACACAAACCGCACCACATTCAAATATTTTCTTAAAACCCCTTAAAGTCTCAAATCAGTCAAGAATGTAATCCATTAATTAAAAAAGCATAACCTTTAGGTCCAATTTACACATTTAAACTGAAGTTTTGGTTAGACCAGGGCCTAATTTCTTGGTTCTGCTGTCAAATGAAGTTTTCACGCATGTTCATAATTAGGCTGTCAGTTCAAGCAAAGAAATAATGCACTGGCCTTCTTGGCACAAAATCCCCAGTTATCCTGATTAACTTGTAAAACTGTAAAATGTTGGCACAAATGTTAGGCTGTGTAGTTAGCAAAGAATTTACTCTCTTGGTAAGCAGAGCCATGAAATACATACTATGTACATGTATATTCCAGCATGTCCAGGCCCAAGTTTAGTTCCTTATAGATACAACATGAACTTAAAAAAAACCTTACAGAACACCCATTATCTTAGCATATTTAGCATTGTTTGTGTATTGAATCACTGATTAACATATTTTAGATTTTTTGCACAATGTTGTAGTACAGTCCATCCCAAGTCAATCACAAAACAGATCACAAGATTTTCACAAGTCCGTACACAAGCCCACTCACAAGCATAAGTAACAAGGTATATAAAGAAATGCTTTTGTCACAGATCAGTTGAACAGCTTGTGACCTGGGCCCAATTTCATGACGCTGCTAAGCACATGATTGTCTGCTAACAGAGCTTCCATTTATTTCATGGAGACTGTAAGCAGCAAGCACAGCAAAAGCATGCTTACTTCAGAGGAAAAAGTTGCTTAATTCAGCGACTTACAATAGAAATCTCCATGCGTGCGTAACCCTTAGCACATCCACGCCATGAAATAGTGCTTAAGGTTAGCACAATTTTCTGCTACCATGGCTACAGCAAGCACAGCTTTCCTGCTAACTGTTAAGCAGCACAATGAAATTGGGCCCTGGTATAGGACTGAATGATTTGTAAAGTTGTGATGGGCTTGTGATGGAATATAGAGCTATATTAAATTACTAGAGCGCTAACTCCCATTGTTGCCCGCAGAGACGCTTTGAAGCCGTCCTGGGCGCAGACATTTTGAATTCATGTGCGTGTTTGTAGAACATAATGAAATTAGATGGACTGAATTTTGAAAGTGTACTCTAAATGCAACGCACAAGTAGAACGTATGCAAACTTCTTACGCGTGTTAAGGTTACAAAACAAAAGAACCACGGGTAATCATCTGCAGCGGATACGCACACGTGTTGCGCTGTTTGCGTAGAGCAAAATGACACGCTCATTTGCTGATCATGCGTTTCGGTTTTTGGGGTATCGGCTTCGATGACGCACCGGTATGGAATACAAACGCAGATATGCATATAGACGTATTTTCTAGTTCTCCATAGGTTTGTGTACAAACATGGATGCGCCCAGCAGGCATCACTTTGTACACGAGTCAGCGCTCTAGTCAATTAATTTAGCGCTATGTGATGAACTCATTTATTGTTCCGATTTTACCCAAGCAAATTTCAGAATGCCTCCCACATATTCCCTAGTTTTCAGTCAAAGCCCAAGTAACACTGTGGGAGCTGACAAACCCATAGTTCACATACTCCTGTTTGGGCCGATTCCTATTCAGTGCCAATGCAAATGCAAGCCAATTTGAGATGTTACGTTTCGTATCCACACTCTGTAAAAGTTTAGCAACATTTCAACTGTGCAAATATTATCACAAATGTTCAAAGACATCAAATTCACTTGGCATTTGCATTCGCATGAACCAGCCTTACTTTCACAAAGTTTTAAACAACTAGGTCTCAATTTTTCCTCACCACCATAAAAATCATCCGACAAAAAAAAATAAAAATAAAATTGAGGTAAATCCAATGTTGGTCTTTTTCGGGGATAATGCTGTGATAAAGCTAGGGCCTTGACTGAAGGCTATCGATGGCTCCATTAAAGTAGCCAGGTTGGTTGAATGCGTGACTTTGCGTAGCTGCAATCGGCTTACTGAGAACGTGTCCCAAATGCTGATTTTGGGCGCTATCCAAAACATGACTCATCAACTTTTGAATTGAAATCGAGGTTCCTAGCATATTGTTTTCTTGGAATATACATCATTCACCGAGTTAAAACTTCACCAGGTTAGATGTTAAGCACCCGTCTTTTAGATTTCGAGCACTTTTGTAGCTTCAAACAAACAAAAATTGCACAAATGACAAAATGATCTACCCTACCTTTTAAACTCTGCGTCATGTCTTTTTTTTCCTCAAAAGTATGTTGTCTCAGAAATCTAATGACTCCAGAATATTGTAGCATCACAAATGTACATTGTGTAAAGTGCCCGCTTATTGTGTGAAGTTGAAATTGTCATCGGGCAAGGCTAGCTTGCAAATGGCAACGGGCTTTGTCGTAGAGGAAAAACTTGAAATACAAGCAATGGATCGACTATGTCATCAAGCATTTACAGTTTGTTACAATACAATTCACATTTCTGTGTTTTACAACCCCCTTTTGCTTTAGAATCCCAATAACAAATGTTTTTATGCAAAAATCTGATCAAGTCCATCATTCCACAAAAATATTTTTGGGCATTTTTATCAGCTACTTCTTCAGAACAATGTCCTTAAGAAGACACTTTGAACGTTTAACACCGTTGACGATATTTACAAATACCTAAACATGCAAGTTTCATTGTGTGCTCTTTAATAGCAATTTAAAGTTTAATTTTTTTCCCATGCAAATTATTTTCCATGCACCATCCTAAAACGAATTCCCTTTATGTTGATTTTTACAATATTTCAACCAATATTCATGGCGATTGCTTTTCAGTGCCATTATTGACTTCTTATCAATTGCCTTTTCCATTCTGAAAAAGATTATAGAATTCAGAAGTTTTGTGTAATTTAGTTTTAGTTAACTTTACAGGCTTCTCAGCACCCAAACTTAACATATATTTTTTTAAACTTAAGGTCAGTCACTCATAACATAAAACTCAACTAATCTTTTGAATGTTCTAACCATACCTGAGAATACAAAATTAAAAATACTTTGAAAAACAAGCTGAAAAGTGTGAAGATTTAATGCCAAAAACGATTTGTTTTGAAAAAAAAACACCACCAATTTATCGGCCTTACTTTTAGTCTCTTTTCAAGTTGTTGCAACTGTATTTCAAAAACATGATTCACCGCCACAAGAGGTTGCTATTGTCAATTGTTAGCAAGCACTAACTTGATAATAGCACTCTCTTGAGTGGTGGATCATGTAACACAATTGCAACGTCTTGAGCCAAGACTAATTGCACATATTGAAATAAGTCGTGTTTTAAAGAAATTGTACCCATATCCTCCCCAGAGCAAGCAAAACTGCAAATACCTGGCCACTCGAAACTCAAAGAAATTTATGTCATTTTAATTTTTTTTTTAAATCAACATAGACTTTCTCATTAGAAAGCTTGATTGTTTAATAACAAGACTATTTTTGTTGTGATATATGGCAACTATGGCAGTGCAATGATGACTTCAACTTCGCAAAAAGAAATAAATAAAGACAAGATCTATCAAAAGTCACGGCTCAGACTTATTTCAATATGCACAACCCCCACTCCCCGAAATCACCACCTCCGTCCCTTGTACCCCATAAGCCTCCCAGCCCCACCCCAACAGCCCTTTTCTGATCATATTGGCCCCCCTCAACCCCCTTATCCCCTCCCCCCTCCCTCACCAACACACACAAAAAAACGATTAAAGAAAAATCAGAACCCCACCCCCCCTTTCTCCCCCTCAAACAAACCCCCACCCCTCCCTTCCCCCCCCCCCCCCAAAAAAGGTCATGGTATTTTGGCCTCTCACAATCAAACACTATACACATTTCTCTTCTTTCTCTCTACTTCATTTACAAAACTAATTTACAATGCTAAGCAACAATCAGTTCACCTCGTTGTTGACAGGTGTTCTGTTACAATTCTTGGGTTCACTTGACAAATGCCTCCACTGGTATCTTGCCTGCCCTCTGCCAAAAAAGAAAGGGTAAAGCAAAAAAGAAGGTCAATTCACCGTTTAGGATCCTGAAAGCGTCTGTACAGGGATGAAGACAAGGACTTTTAGAAGCATCTAAAAAAGTTATGCACTTTTGAATGAGACATCGACTGAACAGAAAATCGGCTCATGTTTAGTTATTGAATTATTACTTTGCAATTTCAAATAATTAGCTGCCAGACAATAATTTCTGTTCTCACGGGGTAGGCTGGTTCCCGCCCCCGATTCAGTATTGATAACGTACAGACTGGGAGCCAGTCTGCTCGCAAAGCCGATCTGTTTGTGTCAAAACGAAAACCTTTTTTTTTTCCAGAGGTTTGCAGACGTAAAAAAAAACGGAAGAAGGGAGGTTTTTGGTTGGAATAAAACATACAAGTTGAAAATTTATTAACAGAAAAATATAGAATTTTTTGAAGAGCAAGGGCGACGCAACTTTAACTGTATTATGAGTGAAAGTACACCAGCGACTAAATCCTTAAGGAAGGTAAGAAATGAGTACTGTAGTTAAAGTAAAGTGGCCTATTTGTATGTACTCAGCAATAAACAAGAAAACATCAAGTACATAAGGAGATGAAGACCTGTGGATAAATATAAATACAAGGTTGTGAAGTATTTCCAAAACGACTTACTTGCAACATTGTGAATGAAATGCCAGCCTTTTCGTAATCCCACTCATTCTCGACTAAACATCTGAAATAATTCAAAGGAAAGAAAGAAAAACACATTTTAACGAAATCTTTAGAATGTAGTTGCAGTGGGCTCATCTCTTCTCCACATTTGATTTTTTTTTTTTTTTTGATTATCAAATTCTAGTATGAATGGGAGTTAAGACTTGGAACTGTTGTTCAAAAGGTCAACAAAATATGGGATGGGGCTATTCTGGTATCGTTGAGTCTTGCACATCATTTTGGATAAGTTGTGACTGTTTCTAAGCTGATATTGCACATGACTACTTCTCGGCTGAGGTAGCCAGTCCTCAAATAGGCTAGCGTTTTTTAGTTTGTTAGCAAAGTCAAGACAGAGATCCATTCTACGGTTCTGAAGAGAAACTAAATTGCATTTCATTAGGGCATGCTCATAATCAACATAATCAAAGCCCAGTATAATTTTGAGGGCAGGTTTTTGGATGCTCTCCAGTTTATCAACATGAACTTTTAGTATACATTTTGATATAATTTGGGTTTCTGAATTGATGTCAATGTATACATCCATGAGTACAACAGTGCTGTAATCAAGTGAATGCTTCCTTTTTACAGATACTGCACAGAAAGAGAATTTAGGTTCTTGTTCTCTTGAGTCACCTTTTATGACCATTTTGGATTCTTTGTGACTAATTTTATCACATCTGGATGCATGCTGCTCAAGAGCTAAGTTCCCTTGACTGCATTAGTAAAACCCAATGCAACAATACCATTTGTGCCAGAAATACCAAATCATACATAGATATCATAGGCATAGATTTCTATGCCCATGATTTGCTGATTTCATTGAGCGCAAAAAACAGGCAACCTATCAAACTGTTGTGTGATGTATATTAGCTTCGACTGGTTCCCTGCTTATTTCTATTTTCCGGGCTAATTTGCTGGTAAATAGATATTTCAGGGAGGTATTAAAAACACAACTTTACGAAGGACAGAAAATACTTGCTAGACAGAATGAGGAAACCATTCAAAATATCCTGTGATGCATATTGTCTGTTACTGCTTCTCAGCAAATGTGGGCTTAGCACATAAATATGTTGACCTTTTAGTCACTGTACTGCCCCAAACTGCCCTGCCTATTACTCACTGTTGCGCCTGAAATCGCCTGAGCACTCTATGGTTTTATTGATTCTTTGGCGAATGATCACAATGTAATAACACAGTGTAGTACAGATTCGAAAGCCGCTGTCTTCAAGGCAACTGAATGAAATCCGGTCCAGAAGCGCGTTCAACATACACAAACAACGCAAACGTTGCCAACAATTTCCCACTGGCTATCCGGTTTGTTAGTGTGACGTCATCTGAATTCAACCATGCGTACTTCACACGGTGTAGCATAGCACGAATGGAACGGGAAGTTAACGCAACTTGAGTGTTTAGCCAATGGGCGCTAGTAATCAGTGGTGCGCGTGTGTATGACGTTTTTATTAACGAACCCGATATATCAAAAGTTTACTCAAGTGGAACGCAACCCAGATAAAGGTCACTGGATGGTCTCCTGATTTGAGATGCTGCTGCTGATACACTAGTGATGTGTATTTACGGGTTGTACAGGAACTGGGTACCCTATTGAAGTAAAACCGGGTATCCGGGTACCCGTAAAAGAAATCCATGCCCAAAATTCAAATCCTGGAAGTTGTTTGAAGGGCTTTTATAGCTTTACGGCGTAAACTGAAAACTTTTGTCAGCGTCATATGCCACGTGTTAACATACACATAGACATAAAATCTGTTTTTGGTTTTCCATGTAGCCTGGTTTTCATTTCGAAAATTCCTCACAAATGGCATTCAAAACCTTTCTTGTTCAAAGTCTGAGAAATTACTGGGTAATTTTTGAAGTTGGTTACCGGTACCCGATTCCATAATCTGGAACCGGTTCCTGACATTGGCGGTAAGGTACTTGGGTACCTGGTTCCGATCCACACTCCGATGATTTACTCACTTGATAGACCACTCGGCGTTCATGTTGGAATCCTTGATGAACTTGGCTACCATCTCTTGCTGTAGGGCTGTCAGGCCGTGGCCGGGGGAAAGTGATCCCTGGGGGACCGTCACTGGGCTAGGGGAAGGGGTGGGGGCAGGGGAGGCAAAGGCTGCCTGCAATGACATAAAACAAAATTATAGACTGAATGGTTTGAGCTCATAGGAATAATGACTGTGCACTGTCAAGCATTGTAGCTTCTATGGGGTCACGTATGAGAAGTACCACAAATCATTAAATGCATTCAGTTGACTCACAAATAATGACCAATAATTTTTTATTGTTATAATTACTGATTCTCTTTTGCCCTGATAATTTCCATTGAATAGGTCTCTCTCAAAGACGGCCATCTTGGTAGGAGAACTGCAGCTGCGCATTTTACGCAATCAAGCACGCATTGGGCAGTGATGAAAATGTTCCAAACACGTGGCTTGTTGCTCAAAATGTGTTCAAAATACGATGCAGCCGATCAAAGTTGAAGATCAAAATGCCGATGCACATAGCTGGTCTGTAGGAAATGACGTCATTTGAGAGAGACCTATTTGCAAACTAACTTTTCCTCATTTTTTGTGTGTGCAATGAATTCATCTCATGTCTTTTGCTTTCCCATTCTATTGTAATTCAGCTCGGCAACAGTTCTGTTGGGATCCAAATGCCGAGCCAGTGTTGTAGTCCAGACCATCACAAGTCCATTACAAGTCCGGTCAAAAAGTCACAAGTTCCAGGATGAACAATAACAAAGGAATGCTTTGGGCACATTTCATTTGAAAAAAGCTTGCGATCTGATGGCCTAAACTATAACACTGCGTTAGGCACTACTACCTTTTTTCAGTCGGTGAGCAGTTTACAGCAAACTGTGATTTCTTATAATCTGACAAGAAAACAAGGAAACATATCCAAACTTCCTTACCTTGAGCTGAGCGCGCGTTGGCTCTTTGATCGTCAGGTGGTCGTTAATGATACACAGCGTTGGAGGCTGCATCACGGCTAGGAACATGCGACTGAATGCAACCAGATGAGATGAAGACCGGTTGCTGCTGACTACAGTACAAAATACAAGGAAACAGTCAAACTTAACAAACACAAAATGTACAGGAAAAGCAACGATTGTGATAAACATATATTGTACTATTGCCCCTATTCTAGTCTGGGAGAAACATTTGAACGCATTGCTGATGCCCGATGCTCACGTGAAGATGCAATGGTTTTGTTCACATTCAGAATAAAAGAAGAAGTCGCGAGTACTTCGCACTATACGCATGTAACCAGTATGCGCATGCGGTGTGTCCTGTCCACATGGTTCTAGAAAGTGGTAAAATAATTCTAACTCTCTAGAGTGATTAACTACGAACCTTCCTCACTCATGCAAATTCCAACACCATGTGGTATTAAACTGTGCACATAAACAGTTGGACTCCACCAAACCCTTGTGTTGGAGTTTGGCTGGATGGGGATCGTTAGGTTTAAGGATTTTGGACAGTAGAGATGGGCCACTTTTACTGTTTATAGGAATTGATGCCACTTGAAACTTTTAAACTACAAACGGTACGTCGTTGTTTTCATACATGGCAGATTTAATCAATTTAAGCACTTTTTAACAACTTATTGGGCAAGAAAAATGCAGCAACAAGTGTTTTTGTTCTTGCATAATGAGAAATACTAGACAGAAATATCTGAACTCACACTCTTTGTAGATGCCATTCAGGGTGAAACTAATCAGATTGCCCTGAAACAAAGAAAGATTTATGATGAGTTATTTAGCAGGTTACTTTTCAAACATTGTAATCTTTTGAGATCATCAACATTTACATAAATGCGAAAACAATTTATATATGTGCAAATTTGAAACTCAAAAATTGGGAGCATTTTTTGCTAGCAACTGACTAATGACTGATATTCTCAGTCGAATATTTCATTTTCAGTTTGTTGGGCAGTCGCTTACCTGTGCCATGAACAGATCCACTTGGAATGAGTTGGTGTCGTGTTGTGTCGGTGGCATCTCATTCAGATGGGCTACCACAGACAGCTTGGTGTACTTAAACAGTTTCATCTCAAGATCTGTTACCATAGAAACACCGAAATATGACCTTAATAAAATACTTTCTTAAAAATTTGTTATTTGTAAATCGAGTCAGGTGGACTCGGGGAATGTATATATCACATAATGGCTGATTAGTTTTTGTTGATTTGTTTTTCTCTGTATATTCTCTTCTATGATGCACAGGGTGAGTAAAAAAAAACCCAAATGTCGTGACCATTGTTTTAGTGAAGTTCTGCATGTAGCACTTTCAAAATCTAGGATATGAAAAAAGCCCAATTCATAAGCTTTCTTTTAGTACAAGAATCATTCAAATCACTCATGTACTTTTCAAGTTACGGATTTTAAAACACAACCACCGTTTTAAAGTTCTGTCCACGGACCACAAAAAAAGGTGTGTGTTCTTTCAGCAAATTGAAAACAATTCACACACATCCTTATGTGATTTGTTTTTGTTTTGCTGAAAGAACACTGAACTTGTTTGTGATCCGTGGACAGAACCTTAAAACGGCAGTTGTGTTTAAAACTCCGTAACCTGAAAAGTACATCAGTGATTTGAATAATTCTTGTACTAAAAAAAAGCTTATGAATTGGGCTTTCATATCCTACATTTTGAAAGTGCTACATGCAGAACTTCACTAAAACAATGGGCCCGACATTTTTTTTCGTTTTACTCATCCTCTATAGTTGTTATCAAAATTCTCATTATTTTGTTTTTAATTTTAAGGGACCACATTACCTCTGATTTTTGTTGGTGTCTACATAGAAATAAAATCAAATCCTATATATTGTGTTTGGTAATTAAAGTAGGGCTGTGCATCGGAACCGGGTACCCGAGTACCCGACCGTTAATGTCAGGAACCGGTTCTAGATTATGGGATCAGGTACCCGTAACCAACTTTACAAATTACTTAGTTACCTCTCAGACAATGAAAAAGAAAGATTTTGAAGTCATTTGTGGGGAATTTTCAAAATAAAAACCAGGCCACTAGGGGAGAACAAAACATATTTCACATTTATGACACTCACGAAGGCTGCAGTTTACACCGTAAAGCTATAAAGCTCACTGCGCACACTTGTATCTTGCTGTATTGATGCGCTAATGCCGTAGTATTGTCGTGCGGACCTTTGTAAACTATCTGAATAGCAACTTCCGAGATTTGAATGTTGGCATGTTTGGCGTTGGGGTATTCGGGTACCCATGTTTTTTTTTCAATCGGGTACCAGGTTCCTGTACTACCATGTAAATGTTCACCCCTAACTTAAACAGGTATTTAATCGTTTTCAAATTAACTATAAAAGGGAAACTGAATGGATGCAATATAATACTTTACTAAAAGTAAACAAACAAAAAAATGGCTAGAGCAGGGTTTGAACCTGCGACCTTCGGATTACCATACCGCTGTCCTTCCAACTGAGCTATCCAGCCCTATACTGACTATTCCCAATACGATCAATGTCTTTGTATTTATGGTGACATGGAAACAAAGTAAATAACTTGGCAGTGTTTGCTCATGCAGTTAGCAACTTACTAGGGTCCCTTATCTTCAGCAGATTGCGGCTCTGAGATAGGTATTTCCTCATGAAAGGGCTGGAATTCGAGGCATTCTGAAACGTCATTGAGAAGCAAGCCTGAAAAAGAGAAGAAACTATGCGTCAAATGCTAAAGAGAATACATAGATTTTTATGTATTCAATGTGGTATTTACAAATGATGTAGTGTTCGCACTCAATAGGTCTGTTCCTAGAAAACTGCCAAAGAGTTCAGATTATGGCTTCACACATTTAAAGCTTTTTCTATTTTATCAACACTTGACACCCTCCAACACACCCACGATTGTTTATGGTGTAAATCAAGGATTTTCTATTGTTCCATCAATCTTTTGTTTCTACTCTTAAACATTTTTGCAACAGTTCCCATTGGTTTTGTACACGTTTTCTAATCGAGGTTGTCCTCAACTTGAGTCCTGTCCTCAATTACCCGATGATACTTCAACCGTATTTTTCTCAAAGCTTTCGAGACCACACACATTAATGATGTGCATCGGGTTGGGTTGACCAGGCCAAACCGACCCGAAACATTAAAGATATAAACCGAATCCAAACCGAAACCGATCTTAACTCCCTCAATGGTTGAAAATCTTGCCACAAACAAGTGTGAAACGATGCGGGGTTGAACTCAGGGTTGAAAATTAAAAAACTCAACCCAGGTGTCACTGGGTTTGCCCAGGGTTGAGTTCAACCCGGGTTGAGAGGCTCTAATGTGAAAGCGCCTTAATGTGAAGACCACAAACCAGGTTTGCATTGTGAAAATCAATGGTTATAAATTAACATCGAGTAGAAAAAGCTCAAGTATGGTGCAGGGCGCGGGGGCGCAGGGCTCGCATGAGTTTCGCTCAGGTATTTCACACGCATCCGGACTCCTTTGACCTCTAGGAATGCCAACATGCATGTGCGCCTCGTCTTTAAGAACGCATGCAGCATGCGCGTGAGTGTGACACCACCACAGTAAAAGCTTCTGATTCTGGTCGCTGGATTCCACTATAGACGAATCCGAGCATGCCATTATTATATATGCTTGGAGGCCCCCTTGAATGGCAAAAGCATTGTGCTAGCTATTGTACAAATAATCCATCAGGAGCTAGTCGCTTTGTACAATAGCTAGCACAATGCTTTCGCCATTGAAGGGGGCCTCTGTGTGCATTGATAACATGCTCGGATCTGTCGATAGTGTCATGATAATTGTGTCATCGGATCACCATGAATAAATGAAGCATGCATGCACTACATACCTGGTCATGATAAATCTCAATGAATGGCTGCCTGTCGCCAGAGTCAAACACTGTGAAATATCTGCAAAATTAAAAACAAACAAAATCTCTCAAATATCAGCGGTCTTAAAGGCATAACATTTGCAGCTATCCAAAAAGTAACTGTAAATATTGTTGAAAAGGTTACTTGGTTTAAAGATAGTAATGGCAGTAAACTCCCTGTGAAATTATTCTTTCTGGCATGCTGTCATTTTGAAGAAAACAATGAAAGAAGGCCATTGCCAGCGATGCGTCAAGTGACAGTTCATTAGAAAATTTCCGTTAGTAGTTGGTTTTGTATTTCGGTGCATCCGTGAATGGGAGGGCACCCGCGTTGACACGACGCACACAAGCGCTCGGTTGCTATTATTCGTCAGCTCAGCACGTGACATCGCGTAGCTGAAATCGGCTGAATGAGAACCTGTCCCGGACGCTAAATTTTGAGCGCAATTCAAAACATGACTCGGCAACTTTTGACTGGAAAACGAGATCCTAGAATATTGTTTTCTCGGAGTATACAACATTCACAGGGATAAAACATCAGTAGGTTAGTTGTTAAGCACACATCTATAGATTTTGAGCACTTTGCTTCAAAGGAAAAAATGCACAACTAACAAATGATCTACCCTACCTTTAATTCTAAAATATTGTAAAAAAAGCTTCTTAAAACAATTGCCAGGAAGTTCATGTGAAATGATGTGTAGGCAAGACCGATACTCACTGTTCAACAAATCTCACAAGCAGTTTCTTGATAGTGCTAGTCCCAAAGTAGCTGTGTTGTACTGGCGGTAAGACCGTGGGTGACTCCAAGTCAAAGGCAATGGGCGGTGGGAGATCTTGTCCATCCTAAGCGAGGTGTAACATGAGGGACAGAAATTTTATAACTTAAGGGGGAGAAATTTCATGCAGTTAGGCTGGAAATACAAGCGTCGGTAGAGCTCAGTGAATCTTCTAGACCACTGGACTGAGTCTATTGGTTTCAGTGCCACCCTAACAATCCCCATCCAGTCAAATTCCAACACCAATCTGTTTGTTGGAATCTGTTGGAGTGGGTACTGCACTAGTAAACTGATTACGCTTTACATGGTATCAGGCATACCACCATAATCAGAGTCCAACAGTTTAGGTGTAGAGTTTACCATAAGGTGTTGGAATTGGCAGGAGTGAGGAAGGTTCCTAGTAAATCACTCTAGGGGTTAGGGCCAGTGGTGTTGTCACTGCATATATCACAAGTCCACCGCAAGTCCGGTCAAAGGTAAATCACAAGTTAATTCAAAAATCTGGTCCAAAGTGATTGTAACGGGAGATAAATAATAACAAAGGAATGCCTTTGTTACGCTTCAGTTGAATAGCTGGTGACTTCACCTGGGACTGGACGACTTATAATCAAAATTGTTGAAAACTTGTGATGGACTCACAAAAGTGGGAGTCAGGTTGGTGCAGTGGTTACTTTCCTTGTCTTCCACCGCTACGGCCCAGGTTTCGATTCCTGGACCACGTGTGGATTATGTTTTCAGTCCCTACCCGATTCTGTGGGTTTTCCCCAGAATATTCTTATGGGGTTTTCCTCCCACCACTGTCTTTGTCTTCTCTCTATAAGTTTCTTTGGGCTTTCATGCTACAGTGTCTAGGGCATTTTTGAGGAATCCTCGTTTTCAATACCAGAAATAAATAGAATAAACATCACTGCAGTCTGGTGCGCTCTATGACCCATGGATAAATATTCATCTTGCAATTACAACTTGTGCTTCCCATTTAAAAACGCACAAAACTGTCTGGTAAATATATTTTCAACTCGGCAATCTGCGTTGTTCGCACCAGACTTGTAAAACTACATCCATTCTGGTTTTCACCTACTAGCATAATTTTGGTCAGTCGCTGTCACATGACAGTTAGCATAATTGACTGAAAACTGTACTCACTAGTCTGATGATCTTGGGGAACTGTCGCCGAATGATGCTGGAGAGGTGTGGAAAGAATTAAAACACACAGCACAGGAAGGGCAAGTTTCAGAAAAGGATCAATAGTGAGGATTATAAAACTGTTACGGATTTTCATTGTTCAAAACCAAAAGTTCAAAAGTTCTGTTTCAGAGACTGTGTCACTGTTGTTTCTTTTAGTCAATTGTTTTTTAAATGGAACGGTAAGGGGCCGATCTGCAAGTTGCATATAATAAAACCTGGTAACGCAAAACTAAGAAGATGGCGTCAATGAAATTCCATCCAACATGGCCGGTGACGGTATTTTCAGCTCAGCCACAGTATGGGCTCCCTGCGCAAATACCCCCTCAACGGAGATAAGGGGAGAGTTTGGGGAGAGACATTCCAATGCATTGCCAACGACGCCCTACGCTCACGCGAAGACGCTATGGCTTTGTGCACATTCAGAATAAAATAAGTCGTGCGTACTTTGCGCTACATGCGCGCCCTCCAGTACACGCACGCGGTGTGCCCCGTCTACTGGGTAAAACAGCGCCCTCTCTTGTTCACGCATAGAGCCCATACACGGGAGGAAATGTTCGTTTGAATGAACATATAACAGAAACTGGTTGCTCAACATTTTTAGGCTTGCATGACCAGGACGGTCCGGATGGAAATGTATTTACGCAAATCTACCACGCTGAGCAACAACTAGTTGAATGTCATTACCAATTGCGGATTTACGACGATGCCTTTTTCAGCTATGTTGAAACGCTTTCCATTTCTTACTTCAGTGAAGTTGCAAACAAACTATATCTCCTGCAGAATATACCTATTTGCTTTTTGACGTGTTTGCCAAATTAAGCAGCTTTCAGATTTGATCATAATGTAATTTGAAGTGTATGTAATTCAACTGACAACGATGCTGGAAGCATTAGTGAACAGATACACTATAACGGGCCCAATACGTTAATTTGCATAAAAACGTAGAAATTGGGAATTAATCATTTGAGTGTTTAGGTGATAAACAAATCCAAAAATGGACTAAATTATGTGACCAATGAATACAATGGAGGCGAAATAAAAACAAATCTGCAAATTATTATCTCTGTTGGAGTTTCTCAAGAAATTTCACCTTCTACATGTATCTATAACAGCAAAATTGTCTACAGCGAAGAGTTCAGGAAAGATATGCTGTGATATGATAACACAACTCTAGTGAACAAGTAAACCATGGACTCATGCTGCCGAGCATACATGTACTTACCGCTCCCCTGACTGGCTTTGGCATCAACTTAAACAAAATACCAACAATCTCTTAAACTCCAACAAAAGTGTTGAAAAGATCTATAAAGAAGTGTGTGCTTTTAACTTGGGGACTCTAAACAAACATACACACAAACACAAGATGGGGATCACAAAACAAGACTGACTACAATGAGAAAGAGCAGAGAGTACATGCAGCAGCATGCAATATGAAACAAAGGGTTGTGAAACAAGAGTTACAAATGAAAGGGTGACAAATGAAGGCGAACAAGGAAACTAACACCATTTTTAGGTGTATTCAGTCTTTACATTCATTAAAAATACTTGCAGAGAGCTTAACTACCAAATGTGACTAATATCCTGACGAAGTAACTCAATAGGAATGTAGTTCTATGCCATTCCCAGGGTAAAATATCAGTTCTTTTCCTGTTTTCCACTTTTATTTAGAACCAATCCAGCTTGATTCCAATTCAAGCAAATACCTCTCCATGAGAATGTACAGTTGGTCACTGACAAAAACAATGTCCGTGTCGCATTTTGATGACTCAACACTGCTGTATAATTTCACTGAGTAGGTTGTTTTTCTACTGATGCTAACGGCTGACTGAAGACTCTGTGGGTCTTGGCCATTATTGTCTGACCTACCGGAAGTCCAGTTTTGAGTTTGGGGGGCCTGCTGGGTCCTACGCCTGGCTTAGGTTGTCTGCCGTAGCTAGATCTTACCCGTCATTGGCTAGCAGGACTCGCGAAGCCCCCCTGTGCAATGCTGACAAGGCACGCTACAAGAGGATAACATGATCCTGTTGCCCCGAGTCCACACCGAAGGGTGGAATTTGATTAACGCAGCACGGCTGCGGTTAACAATGCTGTGCTCATGTCCCAGCATGCACTGCATACTTCCGGCTTGAACTGTACAATTTCGGAGGCCGGAGAGTGCAGCCATCCTGCCATTGTCAAACAATCTATCTTTTTTTTCTTCAAAAAATCGGATGATTTTTTAGAACGTTGATTGTTTGCAAGGACAGCCTGTCCAGTCTGTCGATACAAGCAGACAATGCTAGTGGGTATTGGGCACTATTGCTCCCTTGTCATTTGCACTGGTAGGTTTGAAGTAAAGGATGTTACCAGTGTGTTGTCACATCAGATGTAAATGGATCCATGGCAAATGGCGGCATACATTGGCGACTATATAAACAAAGTGGACGCCCTTCTCTGAAATTTTCTCTCTGTGTAGGATTTTTCAAGACCTCCTTTCTTCAATGTCTTATTATTGCTTGCAGAATAAATTAAACTCAATCATATGTGACCAACATAGTTCAGAAAAGCCTTCTAGGGCTAGAGGTTAACATGAATGAGAAGAATAAGGGTTGGTAAGTATTAATTCTGAAGAAACAGTTAAAGCAACAACATCCCCCCCCCCCCCGGCCCGGAAAAATATTGTAGCAAAAAAACTGTTAATGCGTTATTTGTGAACAAAAAATGAAACAAGTGCAGCAGAAATTAATAACCAGAAAGCGGACACACAGAAACAACAAACAGGGAAACGGACTTGGGAAAATACGGAAGGTACAAGTACAACAGGCAAATAATGGCATGATACTCAGGGGCCAGATTGGGGGGGGGGGGAGGAATGAAAAATCCACGAACTAATTGCAGAGGTTTTGAGGGTTGCAAAGGGCCTCATAGAAATTAAGGGTCTAAGGTATATACAATCTATATTTGCCTAAAAGACACCCCTTAAAATACCCATTATTTTTGTTTTTATATAAACTTTTACGTAAGAACACCATTATTGTACAAACTCATGAATTCTTCGTCTCAAAAACGATTCTTTTAATGAAGTAAGGGAAAATCCGGACAAAACAATCCGAAATCAGGAAAAATCCTGACAAATCTCACCCCGGAATTCTATTTATTTTTTTTCTAAAAATTTAAGGGGAAGGGGAATTTTCTCTCCAAGAACTCTGTAAATTTTTGAGGGGGAACTGTCAGTGTTACTGAAACATGACGGGCAATGTACAATAACGATCTCTGATGGATTATTTAATTTATCCGACCTGTGATTAGGGAAACAAGTGGTTATGAGCAACATCAAAAAACAGGTTTAATCAAATCAAGGCACAACTAGAACAGAGTAGTAAAACATATGAGGGCAACAAATACTATTCAAAGGGTGCAATGATCTAGATTTCAAACATTCAACAGGCAAATGCCAAAAAAAGGAAACAGTGGCTGATACACTAAACACAGCAAAAAGAACCGGATGAAAAGTAATTTCTGTGAGAAAAATAGTGTGTCTTTCTTGTTGGACATACAAACAGACAATTTTGGATGTTTACATCCAAGTTCTATCGTCAAATGTGTGCAAGAGCTAAATCATGTCAAGAAGCTAAACAAGTATGGCGATTTGTTATGAAAACATATTTTGGTGATATCACATCCACTTCAATGGATAGGACGCTTGCTCATGACATTGAAGTTGTACATTTGAAAAGGTGTCCTACTGAAATCTTCAAAGAACTTTCTACATGGCAACTGCCTCAAGATATCTAAGCTTAAACAGCATCTTAAGCTTTACGCATAGCTACACCCTCTCCACTGACAAACGTAATGCAAACTGTTCACAGAGAGTAACTTATGGCACCATTTCCTCTGAAGTACAGACCCTACAGGGTTGTGCACGTTCCGGTTGTGCCATTCACAAGTTTGGGCCATTATTTGCAAGCAACGTATACTGCCCTCTACAGTTCCTACGCTTTTGCGCAACTGGATGTGATGCATTGAATGCATTGATTGTACTCATGCAGTATGCTTAGTACCATGCTATTACCTTCTGTAGTTGGGCTTGTTGGCGATTTCGTTGCCTTCTAAAAACAGCTCCTCCAGTTTGAATTCTTTGATTGGCTCCAGGTCGCCCTCGTTTCGAATCTTGAAAAAAAAATCAAAATCTCTTATTAAAGAGGTCTTCATCAATAACACTAGAATTACCAGATTAAAATCACGACCATAAAAGTTTAGTTGCGTAGCTGAAGTGGTTGCTACGATCAGAGAAGCAAGAGGGCTCTGACAGTTTTGCAGGAAATTTCAAAGGTTACAAAAAGTATGGCGGTAATATGTCATCAATTTGAAAAAGCAAGAAGTCCTGTACTTGCAGGACTGGCAACTCTTAAAGAGGTTGTGGAATGCTCGAAGACATTTCCGTCATTTTTTGGGTATATGTAGCCTAAGGTGTGATGAAATAAAAACGACTATTGTTTCTGTCATGAAATGAGTACAAAGGGTACTTTTGAGAGCTATTTTTCAGGTCCTGTTTCGACCCGAACGTGCAATTTGTGTAAAAGTCGTCGTTGCGGGCAGCAAACAAAACACAGTAAATCGTGACGTAATAAACAGGACTCGTTTATGCTACTCTGCATCGGGAGTCCTGTTTATTACGTCACGATTTACTGTGTTTTGTTTGCTGCCCGCAACGACAACTTTTACACAAATTGCACGTTCGGGTCGAAACAGGCATGACAGGACTTGAAAAACAGCTCTCAAAAGTACCTTTTGTACTCATTTTATGACAGAAACAATAATCGTTTTTATTTTATCACACCTTAGGCTACATATACCCCAAAAATGACGGAAATGTCTTTGAGCATTCCACAACCTCTTTAAAGATATGTATGAACAGAATGCTTGGAATTTTCCATCGTTTGAAAAATGTTCGGGGAAAATATGTTTTTTTTCCTCTTTAAATCTCTTTTTTTTCAAGAATAATTTTTACATTTGGACAATCTTAGCTCATAACATGATGTAAAATTCTATCTAATGTTCTCAGAAATGTTCATGAGTGTAGGTCGTTTGTAACTTGTGGAAGTTATGTGATACTGTTTTCGGCTGATCAACTGGTGCGGAATGGCGCCATCTGTCGTCTAATTTCAGAATCTTTTGGTCCTGTAGGCATGCGGGAAAAAAAACTAAGTGGTGCACAATAGCTGAGATTTGCAAATGCAAATGCACAAACTAAGTGGAAGGGATGAACATACGTGTAGGGATGACTGCAACATTGAAAAGGCAGTACCTCAAGGTTTTACGAGGTTATACGGGTACCTCAGGGTTCAAAGTATTAGTTTCTGCTGGAATTTTTTTTTGCAGCATTCTTCTCTTAGAATTGACAAGCAGAGTTGTTACATTTTTTCAGTATCCAAACCTCGAGATGAAAATATAAAAGAAACTTACTGATAAAGAAACTTATTATGCGGTACCCGCTGCTTTGTACATCAGATTCAAACCGGCCAACCGATCCCGTTAGCTCGGTGGTCGAGTGGTAAGATGTCTGCACTAGAAAGCAGGAGGTCGTGGGTTCGGGTCCCACCCGAGTGATTTTTTCCAACTTTCACTCGGGAGGTTACCCACTGAGTATTTAAAGGTCGGTGAAGGGCAAAACCTAATTTGATAAACTTATCGATGACATCTCTTACACTGTTGGTGCCAAGATTCAGACTCCGTAACTGTGTGGCTTTCTCTGCCAGTTTGCTGAAGGTTTTAAAGCTGAACAGTCTGTTGTTGCTGAGATCAATGGCTAGGACCTGTACATGGAAAAGAGAGATACAGGAAGTACATGTAGAGTTCAGCCACAGACCTTAATATGCACTGCAGGTACCTCAGGGGCGTTCCCTGTTATTTCATTCGGTAACAATGAATGCACAGGCTTACTCAAGCTTATGCAAGTGAGACAAACCATTGCCCTCCGACTCCGCCTTATTGCATAAGGTCTATTTTTATTATTGTTATACATACAGGACAGTTCTATGGCTCTGAACATTGGAAGCCGAAAATTGCTTTGTAGTGGGACAGATAGGGGAAATATTTGGGGGAATTGTGCCTTTAACCCTAACTGCCCTGAATCCTCCAAAATCCTTTTTGCAAATTGGAGGAATTTGCAGGGTTGAGGTTACATGGCAAACGTGGGTTGCTGATTTCGGAGTACGCACTGTGTCAAGGTCTTGGGCCGGACCTTGTGTTGTTTATGCTCAGCCGTGCATAAATTTAGTCCTTGATTATACTTGACATCCTCCGCACTGCTCCAGGATGTCACTGCCTCTGCCTCAGCCTATTGACAGTCATAGCCGGAGGATTTTGCAGGATTCAGGTAGTGGTCACCCCTCCATGGACCATATTCAAGAAATAGCGGAGGAATTTGCAGGATTGAGGCTATATGCTATTTTTCCATGAGGCCAATTGGAGGATTTTGCAGGATTGAGGCTACATCCTTGCAAAAAGGCCTAGGGAGTTAGGGTTAATGATACAAGCATGGAATTTGGCAGAAAGTCGGGGAATGTACAACATATGCTTTTGCTGCAATTTTCAGAAATAATTGGATTTGGAGGATTAGTATGTTACAGCAAATATTGTTCAACTGACTTGTTTCACGTTTTGGGCTTGTTTATGCTGGAAAAACCAAGAAAACCAATCATGTTCTTGTAGTCTGGTTCCCTGACCCCACTTAAGATGAAACAGAGCAATTTATAGACTTTGGGGAATTGTAAGGTAAAAAAATCAGTCTAGCAGGCTTGAAACCCTTCACAGGTGTGTAATCAATTGCAAAGAAAATGCGGAATAACTGAATATGAAAAACTAGGAGCAGTTTTTATCGCCAACGCTGGTGACCAGCATTGGAAAAATACAGTTTTTCTTAAAAAATGTCAGCACACCAGGAGCCACCATTTTACAGGATGCTTTCGACTGTCATTCCCTAACAATCCAGTTAGGTATTTCGTGATAATTTGATCATTTCGTTATTTGATGTTTGCAAATGTTGTATCTTCCCTTTAAGAAAGACATTTGGCTATATGGCCATCGCAGATTTGTCCTTTGAAAAAATATAGATACATGCAGAATAACAAACAATTTTCAAAATTTACAAAATGGCTGCCATTGCTTGTTATTGTACCAATATTTTTTTCAAAGGACAAATCTGTGATGGCCCTATAGCCAAATATGTTTCTCATGACATACTCTGACTGTGTGCCAAGTGCCATGCTTGTACAATGTATCATCAAAGGGACAATCCCATCACCTATCCGCCGTACTATTACCACTGTACTTGAAGATTCGTTCACAAGCACAATTTCAATTTTTTTCACGAAAGACACTACAAACAAAATATGTGACCTGTTCTGTCAAAAGCAGACGCTTCTGGGCAGAGGTTGAAATTGAGATAGGGCCAAAATAAATGCTGTAGGGGTGATTTTCTTTCGATTTTCAAATGTTTGCATATTTGTAATACTAAACATGTCTAAAATGTACTATAAAAGTTTGAAACCCTAATTTGATCTCTAATTATAGTATTTTTGATGATTTGTTAAGGTATATCAGTTAAAGAAATTATTGTTTTGTGACGTTTGTGGCCATTTTCTCTGTTTTCTACTTTTCGACACAATGAACTTCACAATAGCATAACTCTGCCCAGGAATGACCGGTTTCAAAAATTAAACCACCTATTAAAAGGAAAAAGACCATATTTTAACAATATGCAAAAATATCATTTTTGACCTTATGCAAAAATATCATTTTTGACCTTTTGCCCAGAAAAGTCTGATTTTGACAGAACAGGTCACATATAAGTAGCAATAAATCAGCATTTCCTACCTCTGGGATATTCTCAGCTATGATTTTGATCACACCTTCCATGATGTGATTTCGACTCAGTATACCCATCACATCTTTACTCTTAAGCCCTGGAGGATAACAAAAACAACAATCCCAATTCAACATTTTGCTGGAGACCTAAAACAAGAAGAAGAATATTTTCATTCCGTTTATTTAAACACTTAGAACGACATTCAAAAATTCAAATGCAGGATTGTATACAAGCAACCTTTTCGTCAACACAAACAATTTGCCCACGTACCACAATTTCCAGCAAACCGGTGAAATATGATATCTGTTAGTGCAGAGTTTTCTACTACACATAAAGCGAACAGCCCCCCCCCCCAAAAAAAAAGGTTGTCAATTTTTTGTTTTTAGGGGGGTCAATTTTTTTGTCCCAAGATCTGACCGTGGTGATATGTATGTGGCCTGTTTTCAAGTAGTATATTACGGATGTAATTGGCGCCACCAACATAAAAATAGCCCGTCCCCCCAAAATGTTTTTTAAAAAACCCCAATTTTTATTCTGCGGCCAAAAATTGTGGGCAACAGTTTTATAAAAAAATTAAAATTTCTAAAAAAAAAAAGGGAAAAAAAGTGTGAGCCCCCCCCCCCCCCCCAACCAAATCCTGGGTGCCCCACTGCAGGCTACGGATTCATACATACATAAAGTATTGAGCAAACTTTCAGACATCAGTACCTTCGTCATTCAGCAACGCCTTCAAACTGAGGGACTTCGTGGACGGATCGTAGCGATCACTAAGACACACCTTCAGCACTTCATAATCCTGGGCGTCCAATGTCATAGGATGACAAGGCCTGGTCTTGACTATAATCTATGCATTCACGAAATATTGCAAAGTTTAGTAATATTGTGAAGTTGAGTATATAATTTTTTACTTTTACATCCTTTAATAACCACCAACAGAAAATGAGTGATGTCATTTGAGGCAAGAAAATTCAGTGTCACATCTGCTTCAGCATAAAGTCACCAACATTTTTGGGGTACGCGGTCAATACTTTTCTGCTTTCAGTGAATCATTGTTGATTCAATGCATGACAGTAAGACAATGAGAAAACTTTATGCACAAATGTTTTCAATAAAAATTTGGGTTTAAAATTGGAAGAGAAAACCTCAATCCAAAGAGTGTTCTTCAAGTGACAGCACAGCAAGAGCGCCCTCAGTTGTCAGGAAAAGCATGAAACATTTCAAATGTTTTAAAAAGTGCACTTTGCAAAATTCTTTTCCAAAAAAAGACATGTCTCACAGTTTTTATACATATTTCAGAGGAATGGATATTTGCTACAAATACGCTCCAGTGTAAAAATTCATTTAATCAAAACTAAATAAAACAACCAAATTGACTGGAGTGGATTTAAAATGTCTGACCACTGGAACACCATACTGAAGCTCAAACAACTAAGTTACTTAGCTCAATGGAGGTGAGCTATCCCCACTGATCTCGATATAAAAACTGGATATCGAACATCCATACACCAGTCACACAGTAGACTTTGCATATTGACCAATTCGCCCCCGGTCTCACGAAGATGGCCGCGTATAATACGAACGTTCTACGCGCATATACAGCGCGCGTTGTATCAACAGTTGACGTGCATTTTGGTCACGTAACGTATTATGATGCTCTAAAAAGGACACATTTCCATAGTGATTATTATTTCCAAAACGCCAAAAAAGGAACTACGGCATTAAAAAAAAAATAAACCACGACGTTAGAGAAATTGTAAACCGTAATCAGTGGTGGTGGTCAAAATATAAATCAAGTGAACTGCGATGTTACAAAAGTAATCAAGATGCCTATCAAGCCAGCAACTTGTCCTTTGTAGATCACCAGCCGGTCTCACCGGTCTCACCAATATGGCGTCATATTCATTCATTGTGCGGCTCTTTATCCGCTATCCAGTCTTTATATAGAGATCAGTGGCTATCCCTCTTAGATTTCCTAGTTCAGCTGCATTTTGTTTTCACAAAAAAATTTCAATTCCAACCACACAATAATGATTTTGAGAAATCAACGGGTCTGGCATACCAACCACTGGCCAATGCTTTAACCCTCCTGCTATTTAAACAGTCACAGACAGTCAAAATTCACTTCCACTTTCCCTGCTATATGTTTAACAAAGGCTAGTCACCAGCAGTCAGATCAAATGTCAAGCAAGCACTGTGACTAGTCAAACTGGGTCAACAGACAAAGCAGGCAAGTTGTAGTCACAGTTGTTTTATCGCTTACCCGGAGTCAAAGTATAGCTGTATCAAGTTACTTAAACAGTCCAAGTCAGTCAATCCTGCTTTATGTAGGCTGGGAATTCTTAACTGTTGAAAACAGTCACTTGTTTGGTTTTGACTGAAAGGACTACTTGGCACAGAATGCATGTTTACACAGGAGGGGTAATGTCCACTGCAACCAATGAAGATGTATCACGCACGGGATGAAGCTTGAGCTGTCTTTGTTCAGATGTTCTTATTTTTAACAACACAGAAACCAAATCAGCAAAAGCTGTTTACTGCTTCCAGGTCACATACCACATACCTTGTGTCCCGTTTTGGCTGTAATGCGATTACTGACATTTCTTAGTGCATTGCCTGTTGCAATATCGTCCACGCAGAACACCGCTAAATCACCTTCATAGTGGAACTGGGGAAAAAATATGCAAATTATCAATCTTTGTTATTCAACGAGGTACATTGCAGGCTATACGCTGACTGGTACCCTGCCCCATTCAAAATACTAAGCTAAGCAAAAGAAAAGCCATTGGTGTTTATACAGCTCTTTACTTTTGCATTGATTGCCAAGGGTCGGGGTTTGTTGCTTACTTTTGGACCTTGTTGTAAGAGAACTTTACAAGTATTACACAGAAAAGACTGCAGCCAATAATTCTTAACCTAACACATTGCAAAATGGTATTTCCTTTTGCAATATCCAGCTTTTATTGTTAGAAGTGCTGGATTTAAGTTGAATTCTTTTGTAACAATTGTATATATTTTGAAGCAGTAAAATGTACGGCTATTGAAAAAAAAAAGTTGTAGATTTAGCATTTCCTGCCTAGAATCACTCAGGTCATGAACTTTGCCAACGTTTCCCGGCAGATTAGTCTGGTTCCCAGACTAAAAGATTCGGACTATTCCTGATGAATATTAGGTCCGGTAGCCTCCGGTAATACATTGTATTACAATTTACGTCACGTGACTAAAACGGGAGGAATTCCTCCTTTTTCTGAAAATTTCCGAATTTTGCCGAATTCTTTTCGTCGACAATCGGATAGCGCCTGAGTATTTCCAAATATAATATAGGTTTCATTAACTGCTAATTGCTTATTAAATTTTTTTTTTAATGAGTTGATAATTAATATTCATTGCTTTCATTTACAAAACTTGAAATTCTACGACGATTTTGTGCATCAAATATACTCGGATCGTATAGGCGAACTTTTTGCTGCATCATGTACAATTTTGAATTTGACAACCGTTACTGAGATTTTCCAAAACTCGGTCTTCATTCGGCTCCGCCTGCTAACAGTGCTATTTGGGTGCTTAATTTTGAAGATTCCAGATCAACATTAGTCAATGTTATCTTACAGAAACCATCAGCTGTATTATCATAACTGTATGATATTACGAAGCAAGTGATTTACTTAAAAATTTAATCAGAACATTAAAAGCTAAAAGTGATAAAGCGAAATCGGAAACGAAGCCGAGCTTTGAAAAAGGGCCATCAAAGTCGTCATGTTTATTTTTAGCCACAGAGGCTGCCTGACCTAAGGCCGTGTCCGAAACGGGCTTCCAAAGCTACGGCTACGTCTATTGTCACTGCGTGCCTGCGTGTTTTCAATGGGTGCAGACCTAGACCTAGCTCTAGAAAGCTGATTCGGATGCAGCCTAAGATTCATCAGGAATACAATGTAGTCAGAATCTTTTGGTCTGGGAACCAGACTACCGGCTGATTCAAATTGCACAGACCCAGGCTGACAACCAGCATTAGATAATTTGACTTAACTGATCGTCATGTCAGTCATTTGGTTAGATTTTTCAGTCTGATTTATCCAAAACCACTTTGTTGACATAAAGGCTGCCTTTCAGAACGTGCAAGGGCAAGCATCAAAAAACTTTTTCTCAACCCAAACCCTAAACTTTCACCCATAAAACTCTTCATCAAGGAAGTGGCAGAAACACAAAGCTGGTATTACTTGGTTAACGTAATGGCAAGACTAATGTTCCGAAAAGGTGACTGAATAATTGGTTAAAGGGAATATACAACATTTGCAAACATCAAAAACAAAACTACCAAATTATCACGAAATACCTTACTGGACTGTTAATGAATGACAGTCTCCAGCATCCTGTTTAACTTCACGGCACTTGGTGTGCTGACATTTTTAAGAAAAGTGATATTTTTGTATCAATTTCGCGTCGGAAAAAAACTAGATTTTTCAAATACTGCTCCCAATTTAGCATTATTTAGCTAGTCCGCATTTTGTTTGCAATCGATAACACACCTATGAACGGGTCCAAGCCAGCTAGACTGGTTGCCTGACCTTACAATTCCCCGACGTCTATAAATTGCTCCGTTTCATCTTACGTGGGGTCAGGGAACCAGACTACAAGAACATGATATACATATGTAATATATACATGTGTTTTTCTTGGTTTTGCCAGCATCTACAAACACATAACTTCAAACAAGTCAGTGTAACAACATTTGCTATAAAATACTAACCCCTCAAATCCATTCATTTCTGAAAATTACAGCAAAAGCAAATGTTGTATACTTCCTTTAACCCTAACTCCCTAGGCCTTTTTGCTAGGATGTAGCCTCAATCCTGCAAAATCCTCCAATTGGCCCCATGGAAAAATAGCATAAAGCCTCAATCCTGCAAATTCCTCCGTTATTTCTTGAATATGGTCCATGGAGGGGTGACCACTGCCTGAATCCTGCAAAATCCTCCGGCTATAACTGTCAATAGGCTGAGGCAGTGACATCCTGGAGCAGTGCGGAGGATGTCAAGTATAATCAAGGACTACATTTATGCACGGCTGAGCATAAACAACATAAGGTCCGGCCCAAGACCTTGACACAATGCATACTCCGAAATCAGCAATGCACTTTTGCCATGTAACGTCAATCCTGCAAATTTCTCCAATTTGCAAAAAGGATTTTGGAGGATTCAGGGCAGTTAGGGTTAATGAAACTTCCGTTGCCTAGCATTAATTCATAGTTACCAATTGGTGCAAAAATAATTAAGTTACTAGATTAACTGAAACAATAAATGAAAAGGGAATGAGAAAATAAAATGATCAAACAAAAACCATCCGATGATGAAATGACAAAACTTGAAACTCACCTCCAAGGGAATGAAGGGTACTGTGCAGATATTCTGTAAGCTGCGGAGAAGCCACTCCTTCTCCACTCTCTTTCCATAGGGTATCTGGGATGACATTCAAAGAGTACAGTTATCTTTATCAAGGTAAATTCAGATCATTTGGAAATTTCTTACCACAATTGATGGTACGCCACGGTCCAGTGTCTGTATCAAAAACCCACTGATCTCTATGATATCCTTAGGGGCCGTTCACAATTATCAACATTTTCAACCGGTGTAGCGTGAATATCTGACTCCATGAAATGTGGACTCATTGGTAGTAGTGCGCACGCGTGAGTACGATACTATGCTATTTTTAGGATCGTTTGGGGGAGAGTGACCTGTCACGTGCGGCTGTCGGCTGTGGCGACGGGCGAGAAAACAGATCGACATTTAAAAAAAAAAAAAGTATGGCGGCCATTAACGCCCTCCCCCCAGCGTACGGTTTGTACGCTCGTGAAAATGTTGATAATTGTGAACGGCCCCTTAAAAAGTCTTACCAAAATGTCAGAATTAAGAGCTGAACACATCACACTTAAAAGACAAATGATCAGCTCATGGAACTTTCAATCAAGAACTGGTTTGTAAAAACTGAATACTACAGGGATGGGACTGGTCTGTGACAAAAAACCTGAACATTTGTGTATGAAGTGCAAACTCCAGCGAGCGCGAAGTGCGAAGCCATTACGGTGTGGGGTCCGGGGCCCGCTTAAGGGCCACGAAAAATTTTGGATTCCAGATGCCCTGTGGTGCAATCTGAGACGATTACTGGGCACTTTCCTCTGAAATTTTTGAGCAGAATTTGTTTTACTTTTAAGAAGAATGTTCTTTCATTTGTTAAAATGTACTCTTGTTCTTATAAAGTTTCTTCTGTACTCAAACCAAGCATTTTCATTAAACAAGGATAATACATAAGCAATACAAATGAAAGTTAACTGCGAGGGAATGCAAAAAGCATACATGTATGTACATGAATCTCGCAGCCCTACACAGGAGGTGCAAATGCCATTGAAGAAAATACTTAGTCTGGTCCTGAAGACAAGTGAACTCACCTCCAGCCGAATACAACACACACATGTACATCGCAAATTACAGAGTAAGTAAATTTCGGCATAATTAATTTGTAAATTCTCCCCCCTCCCCCATTTTCTCAACGGATTCACACGATTCACGTGGGTTGACTTTTGAGGCTAAAAAAACCCCGGATTTCCTGATAAAAACGGAGAAATCACATCCCTACTACTGGTAAACTTTTCATGATTTACCGTGATCTTCATCCACGTCTGTCCGCTCCCTTTCCCACCCTTTCCACTATGCCTGCTCTGTCCTGAAGCACCCCTGTCCCTACTCCTATCTCCAGGGTTGATCGGTAGACCCAGTCTGGACATGGACCCAGCACTGCCGCTTCCTCGGGAGTCTCTGTTCTTGGGACGGTTCCCTCGTCTACTGTTCGGCCGGCCGTAGGGGTTGCTGAGAAACGAGGGGGACATAAAAAAAAATATGGAGTCTGTCCGGTAGTCTAGTGGGTTTTTTCAAGCTCTCTTCCAAATTGCTGTGAAATGTAAAATTTTCAAATGAAACACACGGGGACCCCGACTAGGTGGATTATAACAATTGAAAAGTTGAACAAAGAAATTGACTGGAGCGGGGCTTAAAACTGCAACCTGTTGACGGTTCCCAATAAGTCAATATCTTAGGTTCAAGGGGTGCCAGTCAGAAGCAATAATCCAGTATATCTGGAGGTCGCAGGTTCAAGCCCTGCTCCAATCAATTTCTTTGTTCAACTTTTCAACTGAAATATAAACTGCGTGAATCATTGTACTGAGGCAAAACAGGCAGATTCTAAATCAAGATATTTTTTCTTTATTGTGGCGAAGCTTGAGTTATACAGAGAGGAGTAGTCCATGTTCCTGTGATGAATAAAAATAATAATAATAATCAGCATTTAAGAACGCTCTTTTAAGTAAACTAAATCACAGTGCTTACAGTATTATTATTACCCCTGATCATTGGGCCAATTAAACATTCCAATTACCATCTCAGCTCCCTGGGGAGTATACAGCTCGATGCAGCCTGTTAGGCGCAAGCAAGCTTATTCAATCACAATAACCATCTCTGCCCTCACAGGTACCCATTTACTCCTGGGTGGAGAGAAGCAATGAGTGACAAAGTGCCTTGCTCAAGGGCCCACGCACCATGACCCCGGCTGGACTCGAATAATGGGTCATTGGGCCACAGGCAATTTTAAATGAACAGTGACAAAGACATTCCTGTGTTGTTGTCCACCCCCTGTTATTTGTGACTGGACTTGTGATTGATTTTATGACCAGACTTTAACCCTAACGGCGTGTTCTGTTAGAATCTGTCAGGATGGGTACATTACCCCTAAACTCACAGCCTTTTACATTGGGTTGGCACACCTCCAGAATGTAAGTCAGAATTATGTGTGGGCAGTTTCCCATATTGTGTTGGAATTTTAATGTGCTTGTGATCCATTACAGACTTACAATCGTTGACTTGTGATGACTTATGACCAGACTTGTGATGTGCTTGCAATTTCATCACAGACTTACAATCTTTAGTTTGTGACTGCACTTGTGTATTGACTTATGATTGACTTATGACCTGATTTGTGATTTGCTTGTGATCCATGACCGACTTACAATCTTTGGTTTATAACTGGACTTGTGAGTTGACTTGTGATGGGCTTATGACCTGATTTGTGATTTGCTTGTGATCCATGATCGACTTACAATCTTTGGTTTGTGACTGGACTTGTGTATTGACTTATGACTGACTTAAGACCAGATTTGTGATGTGCTTCTGATCTATCACCGGCTTACAATCGTTGGTTTGAGACTGGACTTGTGTATTTACTTATGATTGACTTATGACCTGATTTGTGATGTGTTTGTGATCTATCACCGACTTACAATCTTTGGTTTGTAACTGGACTTGTGTATTGACTTATGACCCGACTTGTGACTTATGATTGACTTATGATCGACTTATGACCTGATTTGTGATGTGCTTGTGATCTATCACCGACTTACAATCTTTGGTTTGTAACTGGACTTGGGTACTGACTTATGATTGACTTATGACCTGACTTGAGACTTATGATTGACTAATGACCAGACCTGCAATGTGCTTGTAATCCATGACTGATTTACAATCCTTGGTTTGTGACTGGACTTGTGTATTGACTTATGATCGACTTATGACCTGATTTGTGATGTGCTTGTGATCAATCACCGACATACAATATTTGGTTTGTAACTGGACTTGTGTATTGACTTATGACTGGCTTATGACCAGACCTGCGATGTGCTTGTGATCCATGATCGACTTACAATCTTTGGTTTGTGACTGGACTTGTGTATGGACTTATGATTGACTTATGACCAGACCTGCGATGTGCTTGTGATCCAGGACTGACAGTGACTTACAATCTTTGGTTTGTGACTGGACTTGTGTATTGACTTATGATTGACTTATGACCAGACCTGCGATGTGCTTGCGATCCATGACTGACTTACAATCTTTGGTTGGAGCTTTCTTCCATGTCTCCCATCTGCACATCGCCATCCTCATCAGCGAACCTGGAGCGTGGGTGTGGTCCTTGGTATCCACCCCTATCACTGCCTCCACCCCTCCTAGGTCCTTTACCCCTTTGCCATTTTCCTCCCGATGGTCCACTGAAACAGAGATGTATATTTGTAAAACATGGCAAAGGGAAGAATATGATGTATTGCTTTGGGAAAACAAATTCGGGGTCATGAGAAAAGTGCTGCTTGTCATATTTTGTGGCATTTTTATATGAAATGTGTGCCAAAACCCCCCCCCCCCCCCCAAACAACAAGCCTCTTTGAAATATGAACAGCTTGTATGAGTCAACAAATTTGGAAATTAAACAAAATTTTCCAAACGGAGAAGTCTTGCTTGATTTCCAATACCTTCGCAACAGCTACAAAGCCACATCCAGAAAATATCTGATCAGCACCTGCAATTTAAGCCCGACTCCTTTGGCATTTATATAAGGAAGCTTAAAAGAATCTGTAAAAATCCAATGCTGTGCAGTAACAATCCAAACCCATGTAAAGTAGTAGGGGCTTAATGTAGAGCCATAACTCCACCCAACAAATTTCAAAACCAGTTGTTCAACAGTATAGAAAATGTGTGTGTAAAGGACTTTATTCAGGTTTGAATAAACAATTTCAATATTGAGTTTTGCCCTTCATTGACATAGTTAATAAGGTAATAAAAATGTGTCTTGGCCAGTTTTAAACACTATGTTTAAGACCGGTTTGGAATCTGGATGCCGATAATGACCCGAGCTGAAGGTGAGGGTCATTATCAGCTTCCAAACTTTCAACCGGTCTTAAACATAGCGTTTAATACCGGCCAAGCGCATATTCATTCCCATTCATAAAATTTATACTTTTTCAGCCAAACAGTCAAAAATGATAAACTTCCAACGATTTTGTTCAACAAGTTTACTTCATTTTTTTTTAAACACCCCTCTTGTGAGTAGTCATAAACAACTCCTTATATGGAGATTTGCGCATACTGCGCGATGTGGCGCAGAATGCAACTGTGCTGAGTGCAGTGTGAATTTAGGACTATGAAATACAGACTCATGCGCATGCGTATCAGAGGATTGTGAACGTTCAACCAAGTAAAAGGGTAAAAGGGACCGGATTTCATACAAGTCAAATTTCATGGGACACTGGCAAAAGTGTTAAAGACCAGCCAGCCGGAGTTTTATCAACTGTTTAAATGGAATGTACATCATTGGCTTTTGCTGTAATTTTCAGAAATGAACTATTTGAGGGGTTAGTATAATAGATCAAATATTGTTACACAGACATGTTTGAAGTTTTGTGTTCGAAAATGCTGGAAAAACCAAGAAAACAAAAATGTTCAAGTAGTCTGGTTCCCTGACTCCACTTAGGATAAAATGGATAAATTTATAGATGCTGGAAAATTGTAAGGTAAGGGAACCAGTCTAGCTGACCTGCACCCGTTCATGAACATGTAACCAATAGCAAACAACTTAATTTGGACTAAAAAATGGTAAATTTGAAGCAGTACCGTAATTTTCGGAATATAAGCCGCGGCTTATACGTTGAATTTGCCCATGAAAATGTTTACTGCGGCTTATACACAGGGCGGCTTATACGCCGAGACTTGAAGAATAAAAATGACATTTACATGTGTATTTAATGTACTGGTACAAGAAGAGATGTGTTGCTGAAATAATTATCAATTAAGAAAGTCATTAACAAACCGAAAGCACGTCCCACAAAAAGATACCAAGCGGTAAAAAGTACGGCTAGTGAAAGCAGTCCCTTTGGACATCGACAACCGGCCGTACGTGATCGATGCTGCCTATGCTGCATACATGCTGCATGGATTCCCCATGGACCACACCATTTGTGGTAATAAAGGGGTGCACTTTCTTGGGAACAATAATTACCAATATTTCCCCAGTTTAAAAAAAGGAAAAAGACAACTAATACTTTTATGGAGTTTGAAACATATCTTTATGTGATAATCAGTTGTTCAACGTCACAATATAATTTTTTTTCTTGAAATGTATTCAAGAAACGATGTAAAACTCAAAACAGGGGTGAAACCACCCCTACGAAATTAATGGATTCGTCCTAAAAATCTCGGCATGGTGACTTCGTGTTGACTGTTTTCGAAGAAAGTTACGATCCAAACTTGAAGTTTTGACGTTACTACTCGTTAGTAATCACAACAATTTGATAAGTTTTGCTGTAAAAACAGACTTGTTTATCCTTTAGGACAAAACAACTCCGCGTCTGTTGCCACATCACAAAGCAGGATTTGTAGCGCTTCAGTCAGACAATACATGGTGGGTTGCATACTCTCTCAAGTGCGGGGGGGAAATAATGTCATTCGCCGGCACAGGCTCACTGACGAGCCAGCCGGCAGCAATTCCCGTTTTTTATTTCTCATCATCAATTTCCATATTTGTTTGTAAAAGTAATCGACTGTAAATGATTTGACATAACATTTGTGGCCCTTTTATAGCTTTCGTAGTGCAAATGGAACTGGTTCAGAGCATTTTGACTAGAATTTAGAGGCCTTACAAAATTGAACCGCTGCGGTTGGTGCGGCTTATACGCCGATGCGGCTTATACGCCGACTTCAAATCTTAATTTGCAGATTTTTGCGTGCTGCGGCTTATACACCGCGCGGCTTATATTCCGAAAATTACGGTAGTTGAAAAATAGTTAGGTATTTCCAACGGTGGTCGGCCGACCACTTTTGGAAATGTATACAAAAATACCATTTTCTTGAAGATGACTTCACACCAGGAGACATAATTTTACAGGATGCTTTTGACTGTCATTTACCAACATCCAAGTAAGGCATTTCGTAAAAACTTGATAGTTTTATTTTTCGATGTTTGCAAATGTTGTATATTCCCTTTAAGACCAGCCTAGTGACAGGCTTTCGACCAAAAGGAATGGGTAAACTAATAGAAGAGGCTTTTTGTAATGAGCTGATCTTACTCTCGGCCAGGTGGGCCCCCTCCTCCTCCTCCTCTGCCACCTCGGCGGTTCTTCCCTCGCCAGTGATCGCTGCCTCCAGAATGTCCTCCCCTCCAGTTACCTTGGTTACCTTGGTTACCTTGGTGACCATCATCTCGGTCTCGGTCGTCGTGGCCTGAGGGTGGGAAATGTCGCAAACAAAATTATGCTTTTGGTTTGTCTCAATAGTTATGAGCACTGAGGCATGCCAGTTCAACAAAAGGGAAAGATTTGACCATCATACCTCCAACGTAAGCTCAAGTCAAGAACAGAAACACCTCGGAAAAAAAACCCCATTTGGTTGATACTGATAGTTTGGTTCCAAGAGTCAAAGATTCTGACATATTGTCAGGTCAGGGAACCAGATGGGCACAATTGCAGAATACCCCGCCACTCGATCTATCCACCTCGTAGCCGGCTACGAGGTCACGGCTGATTGACCTCAATAAACATTCTCAGCGCTACTTGTATGTACTATGCGTCATGCTCCATTGCACTCCCACTTCGTAACCGCGTAGCCGCCAACAGGGTAGTTGGTTTGGACTTAGAATATTTTCAGCAACTCCCATTCCTTTTGTGTTGCTTCGTTCTCAAGCATATTCAAGGGGACTCCCACTCCGTAGCCTCGTAGCCGCCAACAGGGTGGTTGGTTTGGACTTAGAATTTTTTCAGCAACTCCCATTCATTTTGTGTTGCTTCGTTCTCAAGCATATTCAAGGGGACTCCCACTCCGTAGCCTCGTAGCCGCCAACAGGGTGGTTGGTTTGGACTTAGAATTTTTTCAGCAACTCCCATTCATTTAGTGTTGCTTCGTTCTCAAATAATTTTAATGGACCCCCACTAGTATCCGCGTAGCTGGCAATGGACTTGAATTGTTTCTTTTGCAGTGATTCCAACCTCGTAGCCAGTGATTTTAGGGGTGTATTTCCGAGTAGCGGGGTATTCTGCAATTACTCCACCAGATGGTCGACTGCTGCAATGATAGCCATAATGGGGATTGTAAAAAAAAAAAAAACCAGAAAAAAAAGCTGCGCATTGATTTGGTCATTGACTATACTTGGTTGCAGAAAAAAATAATTGCGTATCACGGTCACCGTCATGCCGCGCCGCCGGTGGTACGGGCCATATTATGAGCAGTAGCACGGTGAGTAGTCTAACAAAGTGCACACTGACCGTAAAACTGTTGACTGCGACCTCCGTCTCTGTTCCGATTGTTTCTTCTGGACATCTTGACTCAGTTTAACGTTCTAATTTGAGTTTAAAACCCCTTCGTACAAGAAGCACTTCGGTTGCGAAGCTGCAGCAAATTACGGCACCATTTTGCGGAAAAAACCTGTGGTACTGTTTCTGGAATTCTTTCGTGATCAACTCCATACGATTTCCTGTAGTAATTGGAGCCCGACTATAACAAAAATTGTCTGATTGGACCGCAAGAGGGCGCTGTGTTAGAAACCAGAAATTTCACGACGTTGAGAAATACAGTTTAGAACGGGCCTACAGCATCATCGACCAAAAATATTTACAAACAACATGAGAATGGATGACACTCAGGCAGTGTATTTGGTTTGTCTCACAAATGAAGGTGGTCTTCCTTTGTTCACGCGATCAAAGGGCCAATCAAAGGCAGTAAGGACATAGTGTAGTTTTGTCACGCCCCAACTATCGCATCGGTCCCAACTATAGTTGGGCCTGTCCCAACTATAGTTGGGCCTGTCCCAACTGTAGTTCCACAGTTGGGCTGGCCCAACTATAGTTGGGCCTGTCCCAACTATAGTTGGGACGGTCCCAACTGTAAGTTCCATTGTTGGGCTGGCCCATCTATAGTTGGGCCACTCCGATCTTTTTATTTTGCGGTGTCCCAACTATAGTTTACATTGATGTACAACTGTAAAACGTTCCTTCAGCTCTGATACACATCTGACTTTACTGGGGACCACTGAAATTAGTTATTGATGGGGCGAATCTATAGTTGGGCCACTCCAATCTTTTTATTTTGCGGTCCCAACTATAGTGTACATTGTTGTACGATTATAAAACATTCCCTACAACTCTAATACACATCTGACTTTACTTGGGACCAATGAAATTATCTATGGGTGGGGACCATCTGTAGTTGGGCCACTGCAATATTTTTATTTGGCGGTCCCAACTATAGTTTACATTGATGTACGACGACTATAAAACATTCCCTACAGCTCTGTTACATACTGTCCGACTTTACTTGGGACCTTTGACATTAGCTATGGGTGGGGCCCATCTATACTAGTGAATTTTGCAAAATGTTGCTGGACAATCAACCCAGCAGCTGGACAACTCATCCAACTAGGCAGTACCACGTGACCGGCCAGCCTTGCGGCATGCATGCACGACGAATACACGGTGCCAGCGCCGCGGAACATTTAATCCAACAAGATCTATCAAGCATGAAGCATCCGGCGCAACTCGTACTCCAGTCCTAACTATAGTTGGGCCGACCCAACTGCCGCACTATAGTTGGGACAGTCCCAACTATAGTTGGGACCGATGCGATAGTTGGGGCGTGACAGTTTCATTTAGATTCATTTAGGCCTAATAATAATAAATTTCTAAATTAGGCATTTAGTACGCTTAGCAATTACGGTACCTGACTAGCTTGAGTAACTCCAGCTGACATGCTCATATTCATTCACATGTAGCATGAATATGAGCATGTCAGCTGGAGTTACTCAAGCTAGTACCTGACGTTATTTTATTTATCGATATAGATTTGTACACAAAGTTAACTATGTCTCTGTTGTTGTTGCTAAATTGTTACTGGTGGTAGTACTAGCCTACTACATTGCAAAAATGTCTGGGACTGAGAAACATTTCCACTTTGAAAAGAATGTTGCATCCTGACGCCACTTTTTTCATCATATGATTATCGTAAATGAACTTATGAAGGTCAGTCACTGCAAAAATGTTGAAAAGATAGAAAATGCATTCAACTCTATCATTGTCTATACTATAGACTCCGTACACAGCCAAAGACGTGGCGTCAGGATGCAACATTCTTTCTGTAAAGGAGCAGAAAATAAGTTAAAGTTTTTCCCTAGTTTCAGATCTGCTATCCGTCTTTTTATAGGAGTACACCCCCTCTTCTCCCGTGTTTAGTTAAGTAGTGGCCTCCCCCTTCCCCCATTGTTTATTCTGGCCCCAACTTCCTGTGTAGCTTTAGTTCATTGACCTAGAGGCTCATTCAGCAGACCAGCATCACACAGGCAAGACATATAAGCCCTACTCTAGCATTGGTGTACATTTTCATCCCGATCACAAGTGTCTGCTCCATTTTTGGTAAGTTTCATGAGTTTTCATTACTTTTCTTATTATTGTATAATTCCAGTTTTATATTTGCCTTTATGATACTCATATTATCCAGTTCAGTATCATTTTAGCTCCTTTTAAGACTGAGTTTTTTTCCTATACATGAAATCGTTTGTGTCTCCGCTCTTTTCTTAGAAGTTGTTTTAACTAGCTTTTTGTTTAGAAACTTAGAAACTTTTGATTACTGTTTTAAGTTTTTATTCCAACTTGTTTATTCTTTTGGCTCATTTCTAGACATTTGAGAAGTCCTTTTCTTGGAAAGTATTGAAAATGTGTGATTTTCTAATAAGTTTTGTAATATAAGTTTGCCCAGGTTTTAATTGCTTGAGTCTAGGATTATCTGCATTTACGTTTCATGTGTATAATATCCTCAGAGTTTAAGTTCCTTTTTCTTGCATTTTGAGTTGATTTTCATATTATTCTAGGTTTTTTAGTTGCTCTTTTTGACTTCATGTACATAGACCTGTATTCATTTAGCCTAGACCATGCCTTAATCCTTTGTTCCCTCCTTCCTAGAAGTAATAGTTTATTGAGGCAGTCCAGAGGATTTGCATACATAATGACCCATAGGACTGTGCAGGATCTTGAAGTTTATATGTGTTAATCCCTTGTGCACACAGTGGCAAACTTGTATTTGGACCCTTTTGTTGCTTAGAGCATACTTTAGTACATGGACTGTAGTTTCATAGGAGTTTTGTTTTATAAGAACTGTTTTTAAATTGCCATTTGTTTCTTTCTTATTTTCTTGTTGCAGGTTTTTAGTTCATTCCTGTGCTTTTAGAGTCATTTCCTTTAGTGCTGTGTGGGTTTTCTTCTGTTTCTCCTTTTTTTCTTCTGTGGGTTTCTCCCTTTTTTCTTCTTTGGGTTTTATTATTTTAACTTAGTTTTTTTTATCAAATTGTTAATTTTTTTTATCCCTGGCAAATTCTTTTGAGTGTTTTATACGTTGTTGATCCTGATTGAGATTTTTTTGCCTTGAAGTATTTCTGGAAACTAGTTTTTGCGCTTAAGGATAGAAATTGTTTTTTTTGTTTGTTGGAAGTTTTTTTTTTTGAGACTAAATTAAATTTGTGAGAAGTCTATTTTTGTTTCCTTGATTCCTTTTCTTTTTCTTTTTTTGTCCCAGTTTAAAAAGCTAAATCGCGACATAATCATTGGAACCAGGTGTTTTCTCTAGTGATCTATTTTTCTACGTTACATTTTTGGTGCCGAAACCCGGGTTGATTAATTTTCTTTAGGAATTTAGCCAATTTTTGTTTTTTAGCTGGGACATTTTTTTCTTCTTTGAAAGTTTTTTTTTAAATCGAAACCCACACAGTGCTTTTGGTAAATGAGAGGAGCACAGGAATGGTTTCTACCCAAGCTTGCCAGGAATCTCAGCAAAAGGAGGGGCCAATGCATATCGCTGGACCAGTCAGCACCACCGAAGTGGTAGTTTCAGGCAAATGCTGTCAGGCTCTCGTGGACACGGGTTCCCAAGTGACCACCATCACTGATGTGTTTGTCAGGGGACATCCACAGCTTAGATGTGAGGCCCTGCGGTCTTCAGATATCTTAATCAAAGGTGCTGGAGGTCAGAGAGTCCCCCACAAGGGATACATCCTGCTTAGTATTGACGCCCTGGGACAAAAGGTAAATAACGTCCCTGCCCTGGTAGTGCCAGACACCCCCTTTCGACGCAACATCCCCCTTCTCCTCGGAACGAATGCGATCCTGGCTCTGCGCAACACCCTGCATGATCGGTATGGCAGAGGACTGATGTCCCAAACCAAGAAAAGATCACAGACCTGGTATACAGCCTTTCAGTGCGTCAACGTAGATGGAGTTGACATCGCCAGAACGAGTGGTGACATTGGCCATCTTCGCTACACAGGCAGACGCCCATTGAAGGTTCAACCGGGAGCAGAAGTTGTCATCACAGCTAGGGCACCACAAGCAACCAGAGGGCGGACCATCACTGCACTAGTAGAGGGAAACAAGTACCAGAATTTAGGTGTCGGTCGGGCACTTGTAGAGGTCAAAGATGGCAGAGCTCCCCTCCGACTGTGCAACTTGTCTCATCAGACAATCACTGTCAGGAAGAACTCGGTCCTCGCATTGCTTTCGTGTGTTCAAATCCTCCAGTCCTCCACATCTGAAGACGCAGCGGAGATGACATCCTTTGAGCATCTGGTGTCCCATGACAATCCTGTACCAGATATAAACTTTTGTGATGTAGACCTGTCGCCATCTGAGAAGACTGCTGTTGAAGAGCTGCTGAGGAAGAATGCTGATGTTTTCTCCCAAGATCAAATGGACATCGGCCACACACCGGCAGTTGAGCACGAAATACCCCTCATCGACCCTACCCCTTTCCGACTGCCTTATCGGAGGATACCACAAGCAGAGTTTCAAGAAGTGAGAAAACACATAGATGACCTCAAGAATGCTGGTGTCGTTAAGCCCAGTCAGTCCCCATTTGCCTCACCAGTCGTGGTTGTGAGGAAGACGGACGGCAGCATCAGACTTTGCATTGACTACCGTAAGCTGAACTCCCGCACGGTCCGAGATGCTTTTCCCCTTCCACGAATTGAAGAAACGCTGGACGCTTTGGGAAAAGCAAAATACTTCACATGCCTGGACCTCACCTCTGGCTATTTCCAAGTCAAGGTAGCAGAAAAGGACCAATCCAAGACTGCCTTCACGACACCCATGGGCCTGTTCGAGTTCACACGGATGCCCTTTGGCCTCGTGAACGCCCCCGCAACCTTCCAACGGCTGATGTCCACAGTCTTTGCCGGAATGCACTTTGAGAGTGTTCTCCTGTATCTCGACGATGTTATCGTTTTCAGTGAAACGATCGAGGAACACATCGCCAGACTAGACGAAGTTTTCGGACGGTTCAGAGAACACAATCTGAAACTGAAACCCTCAAAGTGCCATCTTCTGAAGCGAAGCGTGAAGTACCTCGGCCACATCGTTTCATCAGAGGGTATAGAGACAAACCCAGACAAGCTATCTGCAATAGAAGAGTGGCCAGTTCCAACATCTAAGAAGGAGGTGAGAGGTTTCCTAGGAATCACAGGGTACTACCGAAAGTTCGTCCAGGACTATGCGAAGATAGCCAGTCCCCTCTTCTCACTTATAGGAGGGAAACGAGGCACCAAGGACCCTCCATTTGTTTGGACCGAAGCATGCGAAACCGCCTTCCGGACCCTCAAGAGCAAGCTGGTGTCTTCACCTATCCTCGCCTATGCCGATTACCAACTGCCGTTTGTAGTACAGACCGATGCGTCCCTGGATGGCCTTGGAGCTGTACTGACTCAGGTGCAAGAAGGTCGCGAACGAGTGGTGGCCTATGCCAGTCGAAGCCTGTCTACAGCGGAAAAGAGATACCCGGCGCACAAACTGGAGTTTCGTGCACTACACTGGGCTCTGACTGACAAGTTCAGGGACTATCTCTATGGTCACAATGTAACAGCTATCACGGACAACAATCCCTTAACATATGTCCTGAAGAGTGCGAAGTTAGATGCCAACGGCCAACGCTGGGTGAATGACCTCTCTCTCTTCAATCTTGATATTCGGTACCGCCCAGGAAAGGCCAACAGCAATGCCGATGCCCTATCAAGAATACCACGGGAGGAGGTAGCTCGCATCCTAGACTCCACAGAAGGAGGAGAACCTGTAGGCCAGAGCCCTGTGAAAGAGGCCACCGTGACGGCAGAGGTACATGTGGGTGTGGCAGCAGCAGCAGCAAGAGCACAAGACACCCACCGGATGGATGATGCACATCGAAGCAGCCCTAGCACAAAATCTAGCGAAGAACCCTCTGGATCTGAGCAGGACCACCATCAACTTCCTGACACAAGCCTGATGGAGAATGGCATCGACCTTCTTGAGGCCCAACAGAATGATGCAACAATAAGAAGAGTCACACACCTTAGGTTAACCCGGCAAAGTAAGCCCAGCATGAGGCAGTGCAGACGGGAAGAAAAAGCAGTACAGCGTCTCCTTCGATCCTGGGACCAACTTGATGTCAGCGAGGGTCTGCTTACCTACGACAGAGGTGAAGATAGACAGATGCGTCATATCCCTGTTCTTCCTGAAGCTCTGAAGTCAGAGGTATTGAGGAGGTTGCATGACACGATGGGCCACCTAGGGTTCCAGAAAACACTTCAGCTGGTGAGGAGCCGTTTCTTCTGGACAGGGCTACACACCGATGTAAAGAGGTATGTGGAGGCCTGCAAGCGGTGTGCACTGAGGAAGCTCCCAGACACCAGGAGAAGTGCTGGCTTGCAGAACATCCGGACAGAGCGACCCCTGCAACTCATCTGCATCGACTTCTTAAGCCTAGAAAGATCATCAGGTGGATACGAGAATGTTCTGGTCCTCACTGACCACTTCACGCGCTACGCACAAGCCTACCCCACGAAGGACCAGAAGGCGACAACGGTGGCGAAAATCTTGTGGCAGAAATTCATTGTCAACTATGGTATCCCCGAACAGATTCACTCTGACCAGGGGAGATGTTTTGAGTCGGGGATCGTGAAAGAGCTGTGTCGCCTCCTAGGAGTGCAGAAGTCAAAGACAACTCCGTATCACCCCCAAGGCAACGGCATGACGGAACGATTTAATCGTACACTCCTGTCGATGTTGGGCACCCTTGAGGAGACCGAGAAGAGGAACTGGGCGATGTACACCGAGACATTGACTCATGCTTACAACAGCACACAACACGAGTCAACTGGCCACTCACCTTTCTTCTTAATGTTCCTGAGGGAGCCCAAGCTTGCTGTCGATGTCCAGTTTCCATCCCTGACCCAACGACATGCTGAAGGAGATGCAGATGCTGAACTTCCTATCTTTGTCGAGAATCTTCAGCGACAACTTCATCGAGCCTATCAAGAGGTTGAGGCCAAAGCAGAGAGATCTCGTCAGAAGCAGAAAGAAAACTACGACAAGACAGTCAAGGAAACCACCTTCAATCCTGGGGACAAGGTGCTTCTGGCCAACAAGTCGCTTCGAGGAAAGCACAAGCTGAAAGACAAGTGGGAGGAGACCCCCTACATTGTGGTCAGACGACATCTCCAAGGTCCAGTGTATGTTGTCAGGCAACTTGACTCCATGAAGACGAAGTCTGTCCACAGGAACCTGTTGACAAGATGTCCCTTCCCAGTAGATACACCAGAACACGAGGCTGTACCACTTCTCTCTTCAGATGAGACGTCCTGTGTCATCCGTCCGTCGCCCAAGTATGACGACGCGGCATCTTCATCCATCGATGAACCCCAGCCTAGAGACCAGACATCAGGCTCTAACTCAAGTTCCGATCCTGACGATTCAGCGGATGAAGACTGCCCCTCCAGCTCTGACGAGTCTGTGGAGATTTTCAGCAGACCTAGACGTGTGACCCAGCTACCACTCCGTTTTCGAGACTAGATAATTTTGTGTACTGTATATAACTATTGTTTTTTCATAAGTAATTTTTGTTGTTGTCAGGAGCCAACATTTTAAAGATGGGGAGAGTGTAAAGGAGCAGAAAATAAGTTAAAGTTTTTCCCTAGTTTCAGATCTGCTATCCGTCTTTTTATAGGAGTACACCCCCTCTTCTCCCGTGTTTAGTTAAGTAGTGGCCTCCCCCTTCCCCCATTGTTTATTCTGGCCCCAACTTCCTGTGTAGCTTTAGTTCATTGACCTAGAGGCTCATTCAGCAGACCAGCATCACACAGGCAAGACATATAAGCCCTACTCTAGCATTGGTGTACATTTTCATCCCGATCACAAGTGTCTGCTCCATTTTTGGTAAGTTTCATGAGTTTTCATTACTTTTCTTATTATTGTATAATTCCAGTTTTATATTTGCCTTTATGATACTCATATTATCCAGTTCAGTATCATTTTAGCTCCTTTTAAGACTGAGTTTTTTTCCTATACATGAAATCGTTTGTGTCTCCGCTCTTTTCTTAGAAGTTGTTTTAACTAGCTTTTTGTTTAGAAACTTAGAAACTTTTGATTACTGTTTTAAGTTTTTATTCCAACTTGTTTATTCTTTTGGCTCATTTCTAGACATTTGAGAAGTCCTTTTCTTGGAAAGTATTGAAAATGTGTGATTTTCTAATAAGTTTTGTAATATAAGTTTGCCCAGGTTTTAATTGCTTGAGTCTAGGATTATCTGCATTTACGTTTCATGTGTATAATATCCTCAGAGTTTAAGTTCCTTTTTCTTGCATTTTGAGTTGATTTTCATATTATTCTAGGTTTTTTAGTTGCTCTTTTTGACTTCATGTACATAGACCTGTATTCATTTAGCCTAGACCATGCCTTAATCCTTTGTTCCCTCCTTCCTAGAAGTAATAGTTTATTGAGGCAGTCCAGAGGATTTGCATACATAATGACCCATAGGACTGTGCAGGATCTTGAAGTTTATATGTGTTAATCCCTTGTGCACACAGTGGCAAACTTGTATTTGGACCCTTTTGTTGCTTAGAGCATACTTTAGTACATGGACTGTAGTTTCATAGGAGTTTTGTTTTATAAGAACTGTTTTTAAATTGCCATTTGTTTCTTTCTTATTTTCTTGTTGCAGGTTTTTAGTTCATTCCTGTGCTTTTAGAGTCATTTCCTTTAGTGCTGTGTGGGTTTTCTTCTGTTTCTCCTTTTTTTCTTCTGTGGGTTTCTCCCTTTTTTCTTCTTTGGGTTTTATTATTTTAACTTAGTTTTTTTTATCAAATTGTTAATTTTTTTTATCCCTGGCAAATTCTTTTGAGTGTTTTATACGTTGTTGATCCTGATTGAGATTTTTTTGCCTTGAAGTATTTCTGGAAACTAGTTTTTGCGCTTAAGGATAGAAATTGTTTTTTTTGTTTGTTGGAAGTTTTTTTTTTTGAGACTAAATTAAATTTGTGAGAAGTCTATTTTTGTTTCCTTGATTCCTTTTCTTTTTCTTTTTTTGTCCCAGTTTAAAAAGCTAAATCGCGACATAATCATTGGAACCAGGTGTTTTCTCTAGTGATCTATTTTTCTACGTTACATTTCCTCCAATGTTCTTATGAATACTTTGAGTTTGAAAATGTTCTTAACTCACGTTCCAAAACATAAAAGTGTCTTTTCGTCCTCTTAATTAACGGGGCCCGAAACTACACGATTACCCAAAACGTTTGAATATTTGTATTTTGTGTCTGTAATTGTGCTTACCTGAGCAGTAATAAATGAAGTGAAACAGAATTTGCAAGGCTGCTGACTTTTTTGTATGCAAAAAAATATCCCTTTTATTTAACCTTGTTGTGTCTTTATTTTCCAGTTGGCCTTTGCGGAGCAAGGCATGCTGTATGGGGTTCAGATGTTTGCCCAGAATCACGATGTAGGATTGCAGAGCACAACCACAGAGGAAGCAAAGGTGGTCTGGAAAGTCTTTCATAATAGGTATGTCAGAATGAGCTACCAAAAAGAGACAAGTTCAGACAATTAAGGAAGTTCATTTCTGAAAAGTTGGCTGATGACTAATGTAGAGATTGTTGAAAACTCCAATAACTTTGCCTGTGAGAACAAAGGACAGAAAATGATTTGTAAAATGGTTGGTCTACTGAAAATGAGGTCTACTTTAAAATGTGAAGATTTCATTTCAAAACCTCATTTTCCAATTTCAAATGTTCAATTAAGACTTTACGCATTGTTTAAACAGCTTTTACCAGTTTTGACCTTTGTTGGGCCATCATGAGCTGACATAGAATGTGCACCCTGATTTTCTCAAACTGCAAAAAAGTGTGCAGGTCTGCAGATAAGTTTTTTCTTTCAGCAATTTTAGACTAAATGTGGTCTTTTCCTTGATAGTGTGACACTAGTGCTGATTGTACCAGATGATGGTTGCAGTGATGTTCATCTTAACACGCTACTCGATCATATCTTTCATACAATGGTAGGTTTGTTAATGAGCTTGGGTCTTTCTCATTTATTTAGAGACCATACACTGTTTTACATTTTCCCAGGGACCATCTGGAGTTATAATATCCAGGGATCTGCTAGGTTTACATTTTCCCGGGACTAACCGTTGGTTATATTATCCAGGGACCTGCTAGGTTGACATTTTCCCAGGGACCAACCATTGGTTATGCATGTATTATCCAGGGACCTGTAAGGTTTACATTTTCCCAGGGACCAACTAAAGTTATATTATCCAGGGATCTGCTAGGTTTGGATTTTCCCAGGGACCAACCGTTGGTTGTATTATCCAGGGACCTGCTGGGTTTACATTTTCCCAGGGACCAACCATTGGTTATATTATCCAGAGACCTGCTAGATTACATTTTCCCAGGGACCAACCGTTGTTTTATATTATCCAGGGACCTGCTAGGTTTACATTTTTCCAGGGACCAACTGTTTGATATATTATCCAGGGACCTGCTAGATTTACATTTTCCCAGGGACAAACCATTGGTTATATTATCCAGGGACCTGCTAGATTTACATTTTCCCAGGGACCAACCGTTGTTTTATATTATCCAGGGACCTGCTAGGTTTTCATTTTCCCAAGGACCAACCGTTGGTTATATTATCCAGGGACCTGCTAGGCTTACATTTTCCCAGGGACCAACCGTTGGTTATATTATCCAGGGACCTGCTAGGCTTACATTTTCCCAGGGACCAACCATTGGTTATATTATCCAGGGACCTGCTAGGTTTACATTTTCCCAGGGACCAACCGTTGGTTATATTATCCAGGGACCTGCTAGGTTTACATTTTCCCAGGGACCAACCATTGGTTATATTATCCAGGGACCTGCTAGGTTTACATTTTCCCAGGGACCAACCGTTGGTTATATTATCCAGGGACCTGCTAGGTTTACTTTTTTCCAGGGACCAACCATTGATTATATTATCCAGGGACCTGCTAGGTTTACATTTTCCCAGGGACCAACCATTGGTTATATTATCCAGGGACCTGCTAGGTTTACATTTTCCCAGGGACCAACCATTGATTATATTATCCAGGGACCTGCTAGGTTTACATTTTCCAAGGTACCAACGGTTGGTTTATATTATCGAGGGACCTGCTAGGTTTACATTTTCCCAGGTACCTACCGTTTGTTATATTATCCAGGGACCTGCTAGGTTTACATTTTCCCAGGGACCAACCGTTGGTTATATTATCCAGGGACCTGCTAGGTTTACATTTTCCAAGGGACCAACCGTTGGTTTATATTATCCAGGGACCTGCTAGGTTTGCATTTTCCCAGGGACCAACCGTTGGTTATATTATCCAGGGACCTGCTAGGTTTTCATTTTCCCAGGGACCACCCATTGATTTATATTTTCCAGGAACAAGGAAACCAAAAGAAATTGGGCCTTACTCTTGTGTTCTCATGGCTTCTCAGGGACTAACAGGGTGGCATTTTTTCCTTGAAACCTTCCTCAATCTGCCAAAATCCTTCACTACACATTGATCCCAGTGTCTTGCAATCGAACAAAATCAGATCATCACGAACATTTTTAAAAAGATTTAAAAAGTGGCTGCCTTTCACATTCCGTTAACCATCTGGATTTTGGCCACAGATTTATTCAGGTAAAAATGAAGTGTTCTCTGTTTTGTCTATTTTTAGGTGATGTTCATTGGCTTAGACACCCTCGAAAACATTAAAAATGTGGAACGGCTAAGGAGAGACCTGAAGGTAAGAGCTTTCAATGCTAGTTCATAAAGAGTTAACTTTTTATATGGAAGGCATGGAACCTTTATTTGGTATGGAGCATACTTCCCACATTCTTCCCCTTAAAGGCACACATTCTTACGAAGATTGTCAAAATTTAGTGCTTTTGAAATATCAAGAAGATTTGAATTGATTTGAAGACAAACCTCCAAAGTGGTGCAAAATTATTTTCAAAGTGTCTAACTCTGTATGATAGGCCAATATATTTTTTGAAAGCTCTTGGCAGGAAATGCACAATTTGATGTTGTACATGTAATTCTGTGCATGCAGGTGTGTTTTGGTGTCATTGACTTCCTCCTAGTCAACTCAGAGTTTTTTGGGGGCCTGTGCGAAGCTGTAGATGTCCTGGCATGCCCAGAGAATGCTACCCTTCAGGTACAGTAAGCAAAAGATGCAGTACATGGTATGGTGGGGGTAGGGGTGGGGGAGGGTTCAGAGTCGTCGTCACTTTTGGGGAGATAGCAGAAAGGGGAGGTCTTTAGATTAACTTAAATTGGACAAATAAAAGCAAATGTTTCTCCGCATTATTCATAGAGCTGGATTCTGCTGGAGATTATCACATGCTTTCTGCTATTTGCTCTCTTTTTTTCAACACACTTCATCCATGTATTATTTTGAGGGGTAATGTGTTGGAAAGGAAGGGGTGGGGGCCTCAACCTGATGAGGAAGGGGGATGTTAGGATGGGTTTTTGAATAGACCTTATGCATAGCAGGTACATGTATCTCAGAGAGTGTTCCTTGTTATTTCAATTTTGAATGCACAAAAGGTGTGATCATGCCTATCCCAGCGATACAAAACCGTTGACTTCTGACTCTGCCTTGATACATAAGGTCTGTACGCTAGAACAATTTTTGTTGTTGGCAGATTGACATCATAATTAAAAGTATGTTATAACTGGAATTTTACAGTACAAACAGAAATAGGCAATCCAAGAACAGAACTGAAACAACTTATTTTTGGCCAAACCGTGGTTGCACGTGCTTGCACCTCCGAGTGATTTCACAACTTCCGCAGTGAATAACATCTCCACAACTCTGATCATACAGGAGCCTCTGGAGGCTTTCATCAACAGCGCTGATAGCACCTTTGGCTGTCTGCATTGCAACGGCCGGCTGGTGACAGCCACAGACAAATGGTGGAGTCTGACTGGCCAGGAGATGACGCTCCTCGCTGCCTTCATCAACACGTTACCCACGGGCACCTCCAGTGATGTACCCATTTACCTCCCGCATGCAAGCCCCAAGGTAATGTCCATCAAAACCCCTTGTTAAACTCTAAGGACCGTGTCTCACAACGCAATTAACAGTCCCCTTGTTTGAGGCAGTCTCTAAGAAGAACATGACCGATAGACCTGTGTCATGTTTTGAAGACATTCAACAGAATGTTGCACGGCATTTCGTTCCTCCAGATTTTCTTTTGAAAATTGTCTTGTGTGACTTTGCCCTAAATCTATCAGAACCTTCAAGATCAAGAGTTTGACAGACTGATGTTATAGCTTTGCCGCTGATTTCTTTATATGGAGCTTAATATAGATGGAGTTAGGGCTTGCAAAAAGTGTTCAAATGTTGGTGGTCAAATTGGAAACATGTACAAGAACAATTAAGGTAAATTGACTTGATATGATTTCAACATAACCCTCTTGTCTTCCCAATCAGAAATCCCAATGTCGATAAAGCTTACCAATCCAGGTCTGTTGGCTAAGCGTGATAACCCAATGACAAATGACTCTGAGGATCATGGAGAATATTCTCCCAGCAAAAACAAGTTACCAGCCTTTCTCTCTGCCTTAAAAACTCACGTTAACAGGGTACCAAAATGACTACCCAAAATCCACTATTTTTGGCTCAACAAAAAAATGTTTTTTTGATAACAAATACACTTAACCATACTCCATCTCACTGCCACATCATTCAAATGAAAGGTCTTGTTGTCCCCTTTAAGTTGATACCACATTTGAGGTTGTCATGCTTGTAGTTTTGAAGATTGCAGCAATTTCCATTTTTCAGTCAGGTCCACTTTCTCATGTAAATTTTGCTGAACATTTATTTTCTATGTAATAATAATATCGGAGTTTTATATAGCGCATGTATCTACCAACAATAAGGTACTCAAGGCGCTGGAAATTATGTTTATTATTAAATACAGGAACATGAAGTACATGAGAAATATGAGACCCGTTATGTAGCACCTTATAAGGCTTTACAAGGTGCTGCGGTGCATATTGCAGCCACTGCCAGAAACACCGGGGCAAACCCCTTCTCTTATCGATAAGTGTTATTGGGTGCATTACACAAAACACGGGACCTACGGCTTTACGTCCCATCTGAAGGACGAAGCAATAACGGTAAAGTGCCTTGCTCAAGAGCACAAGCACCATATGTTCCCACGGTCAGGATTCGAACCCATGTACCACGGCACACGAGTCGAACAACGTTAACATTGGACCACAGCACTCCACAAAGCATAGCAGCTTTGTGAATGATACCAGGCTAATGTGGACTCCGCCCACTCTTGAATCTCTCTTGACAGGTTCCCCACCGTCTCCTCAGCATTAGTCTCCTCCCAGGTGTCATCGTCAGTGTACTGTGTCTGGACACGCCCACTTTAGCCGACGCCCAAGCCACATTGGTCGAGCCCTCATGGCGGGCTTACGTTGAGTCGCTCCGGGCCTGTCAGAAGGCCTCGCTAGCTGGCCAGCATATACCAAAGAGCCTCAGCGTGGATTCTGGTATTCTAGGGTAAGATGCTCAGAAATGCACTTAAAAAAAAAATCATTCATTTTCTGAAAACTATTACTGTCTGTATCAGTCTTGGTGAAAATCACACTGTTGTTGACATTCAAGTTTCAGAATTATGAGATTAACTCTTCAAAAGTTTCAATTTTTATTCTTATTTTATCTTAGGCCAAACAAAAATAGTTCTGCTTCCGATTACATGGCATTTGAAAATAGGGTAGGTAGGGAAATTGTGGCGCTTTTTTTTTGGTGTACGATCATATGGAGGTGTCTGCGTGTAGTCAAGCCTAAAAGGTAGTAATTGATGGTTTTCTGGGTTTTTCCTCATTTTCCTCCAAAAACAATTAGGGTAGGGGCTGTCAAAATAGGGTAGGTAGGGTAACCGGAGGCAGAAGTATTTTGTTGTTTGGCCTTATCAATGAAGAAATGCTCTTGTTTGAGGCGTGCTACTTTTATTGCAGATGGATATGTGAATTGCTTCAAATGTAGCAAAATTGTGTAGAGAAATTTGGCATGTACAAAGACAACCATAAACTATAACCTTGCTAATTCCTCCCTGACCCCAATCCTCTTTGCACAAGTGGAGGTTTTCAAAGGATTGAGGCTGTATGGCAAAAATTGTATCGGTTGATTTTGGAGGATGCATTGTGTCAAGGTCTTAGGTTGTACCTTGTGTTGTTTATGTTCAGCCGTACATAATGTTAAGCCCAGGTAATACTAGAAATCATCCACATCTGCACATATCAATTGTTGGAGGATTTTGCAGGATTGAGACGGTGGTCGTCACCCCTCCGATTAACAAATTCAAGAAATTAATGGAGGACTTTGAAGGATTGAGGCTGTATCCAATTTTGACCTGGAGACAGTTGGAGGATTTTGCAGGATTGAGGGTACTTCCTAGCAAAAAGCCTAGGGATTAGGCCAAAAAAAAAAAATACTCGGTCTCTGGTCAGGCCAAAGTTCTGGAATTGATGCGGCGATGCGGCTTAATTTTTTTTTTTTTTTTTTTTTTTTCAAGCTTGGATTGTACAGACAAAGTGGGGTACTATTTTGCTTTTTTTGGTGTCCTCATGTACATTGGTGTCCTCCATGATTTGCCTTGGTGCCCTCAATCGTTTGCCTTGGTGCAATTTCCCATTCCTCGGTGCTCTTTGGTAAAAGAAATTGAGGAGGTGCGGCAATAGAGGGCGCTGTTGGAGCTACTGCGGAACATTTTGGGGAAAAAAAGGTTGACGCGCATGATTAAAATCGACGCGCGCGCTGACCAGAGACCGACTTATTTTTTTTTTGGCCTTAGGGTTAATTTCCATGTTCTTCCGATATATATCAAATGGAATGACAATCCTTTCCATTGCAATTTGAAGATCTTACAAAGTGCTGTGGAGGTAGAATACTTGGTATTGAACAATAAACATAACATGTATACTCTTACATACCATAGTAAAGAAACATTTGTCATTTGTTGCAATGCAAAGAAAAAAAAGTCGTATCACAGAATAGTCTTGGTTATCATTCGCAAGGGCGGATGCAGAACACAATTTTTTTTGGGGGGGGGGGGGCCCCAAAAAAGTGGGTCAAAAAAATTACGGCGTGGGGTTCGGGGCCCGCTTAAGGACCCCGAAAAATCTTTGGATTCTAGATGCTCTGTGGTGCGATCTGAGGCAATTTCTGACCGCTTTAACCAATGTTTTTTTGAGGAAAAGATGGTGGTGTACTCATTGCCTGCCTTTATTGCGATGTCACAAAAACAAAAAAACAAAAAATTGGTTTCGTTTTTTTTTGGGGGGGGGGGAGCCATGGCCCCCTTTGGTCCCCCCCTGGATCCGCCCTTGATCATTCGTCAAAATTGTATTCAGCATTTTTTGGGTTTTTTCATGGTAACAGGTTTCTTCTCGTGAACACAAACCAACACAAGTGTCTTTCGAGTTGCCGCTTGCCCATACAAGAAGGCAGCGCCGCTGACAGACGTCCCTTGACCCACTCACGACGGAGACAGGTTCTGAATGCGTTCTACAGGAACACAGTGGGTACGCTGTTCCCGGTATGCCACAGTCCTCAGAGAACCGGTGAGTGGCGAACACCAGCCGAGATAGGTCTCATCAAGTTTCTCTGAAGAATTTTAAGTGTTACTGCTCAGAATCCGACGCAAGGGCTAAATGCGAGGCGTTCTGGCAATTACAGACAGAAAAGGGCAGAGTTCTGAATGAGGGTCTGCGGGTATTAGGAAAGAGAATCAAATTCTCCGTACAATAGTGTTTGTTGCACCTCAATCAGACTTTCAGTTGCCAAGTTATGGCTGTTTAAAGTTTGCACATCTCGACATGTCAAAAAAGTAAAACACTGAGAAAAAAGCCTTTAAAGTTTTGAGCTTGGTAGTCGTGAACACAGAAGATGCCAATTAATTTCCCTTTAAAACACTTTTATTCAACGATTTTTGTACTATTTCTTTTAAACATGTGTAGTAGGTATATCAAAGATTACAAATATCAATAAATCTGAAAAAAAGAAAAATCCCCCCCCCCCAATTTTTGCTTATTGAAAACATTTGAACGAAAAGGTTGCTTACTGACTTACCGTCTCGTATTGAAACAACGAATCACCAAAAACAGAAAATTTAATTCGGAAAAGAGGGTAAAAGAAGTCCCTGCACACTCTGAGGACATGTTTTTTACTTAATTCTTTTCCCCATTCTCATAAAAGATCCGTCGGGGGATACGTCGTCCACATTCAGCCACACCGTCAAGGAGACGTACATGCACGCCAAAGACCACAAGTGCTATGCTATCTATTCCAATCCTTACCAGCTGTTTGTTGTGTGCTCTGTGGCTGTTCCCAATTACGCTCTGAGGTAACTATGTCTTTTTGTTTAATTGCTAGGGCCCGATTCTGTTCTTACACGGGTGGCATATAGCATAGAATGGCGATAATGAATGCAGAACTCCATAGTTGGCAGAGCCAAGGAATCAGGTTCTGATGAGGCCATGAGGGGTTGATCAATCCAGGCCATTGCTAGGCATTTTGAGAAAGATTTTTTGGTTGGACCTCAAGTTTTTCAGTTCATGATTTGACTTTGTGGAGTTTCAGTGTCATTAAAAAAGAAGAAGTTGTCCACACATATTAGACCATATCTTAAAACGTGCTTACTACACACTATGGCTAAGGCCCCCAAAAAAGTCTCTGGTTTCTGGTATGCGCGCGCGTCGCCATAGCCATGCGCGTCGGCAAAATGAAAAAAAAAAATTTTTCAATAAAAGATGATGTCTCAAAACTGCCAAACTCACTGGATTGACTGGAATCCTGCTGCTGCTGCACAATTTTAACGTGTTTTTAGATGGAGTTATGATTGAGAATAAGCTTTATGTGGCCTCTCTGGACTCCCATATATTTTCACTAAGTTTAGTCGGGCACCAATTGCAGTCCTCAGCCGACATTTGAAGCAAAAAAAACAGGTAAAAAAAAAAAAAAGCCGCGTCGCCGCACCACTTTTTGGGCAAGCTCCATACCAGAAACCGGAGACTTTTTTGTTTGGCCTAATGAAAGTATTTTGTTTTAAACTTGAAAGATAATGCACACTTAAGTTTTACTCATCATGAAGTCACTCAGTCAGTCAGACGACAAAAGGCTTCAGCAAATACTTAATTACATTTGTATACTTTTTTTTTTTTTTTTTTTTTAAATCTCCAGGTCCATATCTGTGGACTTACTCAACACCCTCAGCAAAGACAAGGTCTTCCACGACAGAAGAAAATCCAGTTGATAGACTTCATACCGTTTAAAAGACTTCATTCAGTCACTGAATATTCATGAGATAGTTGTCGGTGAATATTCATGAGATACTGAAATATTCATCATTGCTGAACTACATCTCCTCCAGTGCTTATACCTAAATTTACTATTGAATGGGTTACTCATTCAAGGAAGTGCAGACAGGATGAGAATGAGTGGCTACAAGGATGACAATAATAGGCACTTCAAGTTCAGTCGAATGTCGCAGTCTTTAGATGTGCAATCTGCTGGTGAAGTTCTAATGAGCACCAAATCTGAGGGATTTACTGAGATTTTTGGTGGTGTGGATTGAAGAACAAATGGTATCTAGTGTCCTACAGTGGCGGAGCACAAAGACTTGGGCTAAGAAGATCATTTGAAATTTGGATCTCTATAAAGATTTATCCTCCAAAGTCAAAAGTTTGTGTTTTATCCGTGTGTATTGATGAGGCAAATATTTGCCAATATTGTACCATTATGTGCTACATAAAGCATTCCTTGGACCATTTTAGCTCCCTTGGGGAGCATAATACAGCCTTATGCTGCCATTTTGGCGAAATCAAACACAATAACTATCTCTGACCCTCAGAGCTATATTATGTTAATTTTACTTCTGGATGGAGAAGTAAGTTTAGTAAAAGCTGTCATTTAAATTACCTGGTGTAGTAATGAATTCCAGATAATTAATTATCATATCATTGTTCGAGTTTTTACAACTAATACTTTATAAAAAAAAATAAATTACTGCGACTGGTAAACTTAGTATTTTTGGGAATGTGTGGTCATTTTTTTTGTGGGCGTGAGAAATAAACCATTTGACGTCAGCCGAACGTGTAGTAACTTTCACATTAGCCAGGCGCGCTTGCAGTACAATGTTAGTTAATCCATCATGGTGGACCGGCAGACTTCATGTCAGAAGTACGCCAGCTTAGAATTATATTTGGGGAAAGAAAATACCAAGATGGCCCGATAAAAAACAAAAAAAAGGCCATCCGCGGCGCGTATTCATTTATTTTGGAGGTTGAAGTCGATATTATATATGACAAAAGAAATGGGTTTCAGACTTGAAATTTAACGTTTCCCGCACGGGACAGAATATCCTGGGGATAAATTCTCCATACAGGTAGGGGACAACATCCTAAAGGGGGGGGGGACACTATTTCTTAGAGGAGAACTGTCCGGGGGGACACAATATCCTGGCAAAACTAAGAAAACTTGTCCGGGGGACAGACTATCCTGTGGGACAGAATCTCCATCCACACCAGTCCTTGTACACGAGCGGCAGTTATTTCGAAACATTCTGCCGCGTGCCTTTGTTTGAATCACTGATTTCCCAGTTTGTCATTGAGAAAGAAGACAATCAAACCATATGAATAAAAACAAACCCAAAATTCAAGAGGAAGGAAGAAACAGTTCGAATCAAAATTACATAGAAAAATAAAGTATTTATTGCCAAGTTGTAAGCATCTACATGGAAACCATAATACATTGTACTGCATGCTGCTTGAAGTTTGCCAATCAGACACTGACAGTAACGAGAACTCAAAAGCTGTGATGATGCCCCCTGCCTTTTCTCGTTATGACATCAGGTCTATAACAATCACTTTCAAACTTCAACTCAAATAAAACTATCGTAGTAAAATCGTATCTGCTAATAAATATCATTACTAAAACTATTCACATCAGTTATCTGAGTGTTTACAATAGACATCGAGGTTTACGTATACGATTAGCCTTATAACTCCCGCTAAACTGCTGAAGCTTTCAATGTCTTCGAGTGGAATTCTGTTACACGTATTGTACCCCTACTCATCCTGAGTTCAAGAAAATATTGTCCATATCGTCTATATTGTCCGGGTGTTTGATTCAAAAACTATTACAGTTTTTTCCTTTCCTTTCCCTCGAAGCTATTCATTTCGTTCTGCAAATATTAATTTACAAAGTATTTGCGTTTTTAAATAAACCTTTCCTTTCTTTTGTGACGAAATATATTTACAAAATAATATTTTAAACCGAAGCTGGTTTTGAAGTTCAGCCGGGAAAATGTGGTATTTGATTAAGCAATTAATGTTAGATCGAGGGACAAAAAGAAAATGTGGCTGAAAAACAAGTGTAAAAAGTTGAGATTAAACAAAACGGGTCTGCTTGCTCGCGATCGCAGGTATCCCATGCAAGCATAATTAATTGTACACCAGAAAACGGTCACACAGGCGCCAGCCTGCCTTGCCTACAAATACACCGCGTCGCCGTTAACGGCCTAAATATTTACGGGGTTATAACGCCCTTTTAATTACGGCTAAAATTGGCGGATCCAGAGGGGGCCCAACGGGGGCCAAAATGAACATTTTTTTGGCCATTGCATAAACTACCCACAAAATTCAACAAAATCAATACATTCGCAGCCCCTCCACTGACTTTCTTTTCATATAAAATTTGGAGCGGAATTGTTTTTTGACCCCACCTTTCTTTTCGGCCCCCCAGAAATTTGTAACAAGGCGTAATAACACCATAATAGGACGTTATAACGTCATAAATTCAGGGCGTTATAACGCTGTATAAGGCGTTATAATGCGGTAATACGGTGTTTTACCGCCGTAAAATTAGGACACCTTTCATATAGGGCACCATGATATTACGTCGTTATAACGCCCTAATGTAAACCATGTGTTCATAGATCAGTCACCGTAGCTTTGACAGCCTTGCCTTGTCTTTTTTTGCCGATAGAAAATCATGAAGGCCAAGGTATAAAAATGAAATATTTCTAGTTAGGCCTATACGATAAAGTGAGCGCACTACGCCTGCGTGCTTATTCCTCCACAGGGTGTTTTATAAGGCAGTACCGAAGCAGAAGCAGAAGCAGAGTTAGTGTTAAGACAGTAAATATATTTTTGATCAACTGCTATTAAATATAATGACCCAGAGGTCTGAATACTAATTATTTTGAGGCTTGATTCTTTCACGATGCAGTCTTTCGTAGTAATCCATGCTGTACTCAACACACGCTTGCACGTCATCCGGCAGGCTCGCCAGATCAGGTAGCAGGGAAGGTTCCTCGAATCCCACGCTCTCAAATGCTCGCTTGTAGAAGCCATTCCTCCTGTTCGATGCTTGGACAATATTTCCCATGATCCAGGTTTTGGTGATGTCATCACCGTCGGCTTGCCAGGACAGCAGATTGTCGGAGTACGGTATTCCCATCCTGGAGCAATAGGTCGACAAGATCCCCGCCGGGTCCTGCAGCAGATCATCGGCGTCCAGTATGACCGGTGAGGGGTCGATATTCTCCCGGACGTACTCGGCCAAATCGTAGAGTTCCTTGAAACCGCACCCAGATGGAAACGCTATGGGAGGCAGGGCCCGCATGTCAGGAATCTCACACCCCCACATATTGGCGAGAAAAGTTTTGTAAGATCGGAAGACTCTGATGGGATGACGGATTAAGAAGCTGTGCTTGAATCCCCGAGGTAACATGTCGTATCTGCCGTTCAGGTACTGGGCTTGATCTCGACACAGAAGGAGCTTCTTGTCGGGGTAAGAGGCTTCCAAGACCTCATCCCGGATCCACTGATAAGACAACATGGTGTAATCTATCCCCGATGCCTTGTCCTTTTCAACATCAAATCTCCTTATAGTGTCCAGGATTTGACACACTGTCGAGTTGTTCGGATCTGGTTCGGGAAGTTCTCCAGTGACACCCATGTAGTGCCCAACAGCATACAGCTGATTAACAACCTGGATTCCGTCCACATAACTCAGACACTTGACCATGGCTGTGGATACGGAACGAGGCATGCTCCAAAGACACGCACGACGGAGCCCATCCGCCATCTTGGTTTTTTTATCAATATTATTGGTAGGGCCAGTATCACAACTCCAGTGGTACACTTATGATAATTTACTCGTATGTCAACGGGTCAGTTTGTGAACGGGCCAGTATATGATTATGAACACACATTGTTGTTATTTAGTCAACCCGTAAAGCATTTTTAAGAACGGTTGTCTCTACGGAGCCCCTAAAGGGACAAGCATGATGATTTTTCTTTCCCTCAAAATTTCGTTCCCTCAAAATATATTTCTTTCCCTCAAAATATATTTCGTTCCCTCGAAATGTAGGTTTTCTCGGCTATTTTCAAACGTTTATCATTCGAATTCACCGATTCTATATAATATTCAAATTCGTCAAGCAACATCAATAATTTTAGTGCACTTCCAATATTTAATTTCGCCTTTTGCCAGACAATTTCAAATTCAGTTCAAGCAAATTCAAACAATGAGCACACGATTTTGTCCCGAAGTATTGGATTTCGTCTCGTCTACGCCAAAGCTTGTTGTTTAGAAATCAAATTCGTCTGATTGATTAATATAAGACGAGTATTCGATCTCTGAATGCTGCCAAAAACAAGTGTAAAAAGTTGAGATTAAACAAAACGGGTCTGCTTGCTCGCGATCGCAGGTATCCCATGCAAGCATAATTAATTGTACACCAGAAAACGGTCACACAGGCGCCAGCCTGCCTTGCCTACAAATACACCGCGTCGCCGTTAACGGCCTAAATATTTACGGGGTTATAACGCCCTATTAATTACGGCTTTAATATAAATTGGCGGATCCAGAGGGGGCCCAACGGGGGCCAAAATGAACATTTTTTTGGCCATTGCATAAACTACCCACAAAATTCAACAAAATCAATACATTCGCAGCCCCTCCACTGACTTTCTTTTCATATAAAATTTGGAGCGGAATTGTTTTTTGACCCCACCTTTCTTTTCGGCCCCCCAGAAATTTGTAACAAGGCGTAATAACACCATAATAGGACGTTATAACGTCATAAATTCAGGGCGTTATAACGCTGTATAAGGCGTTATAATGCGGTAATACGGTGTTTTACCGCCGTAAAATTAGGACACCTTTCATATAGGGCACCATGATATTACGTCGTTATAACGCCCTAATGTAAACCATGTGTTCATAGATCAGTCACCGTAGCTTTGACAGCCTTGCCTTGTCTTTTTTTGCCGATAGAAAATCATGAAGGCCAAGGTATAAAAATGAAATATTTCTAGTTAGGCCTATACGATAAAGTGAGCGCACTACGCCTGCGTGCTTATTCCTCCACAGGGTGTTTTATAAGGCAGTACCGAAGCAGAAGCAGAAGCAGAGTTAGTGCAACAGCTTAGACGAATTTGATCTGTAATGACGAATATTCTCGACCCGGTGATTAAAGAGGGTGACCAAACTAAGATATTGAATGGTAAATGACTAAATTGGTTTTGTTTAAAAGCAAGTATTTTTTTCTCGAGCGAATTCGAAGTTTGCATGACTGTTTTGCAATGGAATATTTACAAATATCAAGCAGTATTCACTCTTGCGTGATGCTTGTCCGATGTGCCTTTTATATTCTGTTGCGTAAGCGTCTGCTCTTTAAAAAATGTGTATGGGGTCTGAATTCATAACATGTGACACGTGTCAGTCCGTGCTTTAATGTATCAACTATACCGCAGCCTATACACGTAACTATACGTATTGGGTATTCATTATTGAAATTCATTGTCAAAAGTGAACACCGAGATAAAAGTGAAATAAAGAATGTTTAAATTCGTCAAGGACTATTTCAGTATTCATTTATGTTGGAGGTTGAAGTCGATATTATACATGACAAAAGAAATGGGTTTCAGACTTTAAATTTAACGTTTCCTGCACGGGGACAGAATATCCTGGGGATAAATTCTCCATACAGGTAGGGGACAGAATATTCTAGAGGGGAACAATGTTTCCTGTAGGAGAAACTGTCCGGGGGACACAATATCCTTGCACAACCAGGAGAACTTGTCCAGGGGACAAATATCCTGGGGGACAATCTCCTTCCACACTGGTCCTTACAGTGCAAGTTACTTTGAAACACTCCGCCGCTTTTGTTTGAATTCCCGTTTCCCAAATGTGTCATTAAGAAAGAAGACAATCAAACCGCATAAAGTAAAGAAATCAAGAGGAAGAAAGAAACAGTTCGATACAAAATTACATAGAAAAATAAAGTTTTTATTGCCAAGTTGTAAGCATCTACATGGAAACCATAATACATTGTACTGCATGCCGCTTGAAGTTTGCCAATCAGACACTGAAAGTAACGAGAACTTAAAATCTGTGATGATGCCGCCTGCCTTTTCTGGTTATGACATCAGGTTCTTAAAAATCTCTTTCAAACTTCAACTCAAATAAACCTATCGTAGTAAAATCGTATCTGCTAATAAATATCATTACTAAAACTATTCACATCAGTTATCTGGATGTTTACACTAGACATAGAGGTTTACGTACACGATTAGCCTTATAACTCCCGCTAAACTGCTGAAGCTTTCAATTTCTTCGAGTGGAATTCTGTTACACGTATTGTACCCCTACTCGTCCTGAGTTCAAGAAATATCGTCCATATTGTCCGGGTGTTTGAATCGAAAACTATTACAGTTTTTTCCTTTCCTCAAAGCTATTCATTTCGTTCTGCAAATATTAATTTACAAAGTATTTGCGTTTTTAAATAAAACTTTCCTTTGTTTTGTGACGAAATATATTTACAAAATAATATTTTAAACCGAATCTATCACAAAGTTTATCAAGAATATTAGAAATATCTCTTTGTATTTTGATTATGGGAATAAGAAGACAGTCTGTACTCCATTGTGGCCGATTAAAAGTACCTAAAATATCTTTATGGAAAGTTTGCAACACTTGCACATCCAGCTAAAATCGATAATCACTGCATTTAAAAACTTGGTCCCACGGTCAATTTGACCTCTCTTGGGAAATTACGCATAACTCGGTCAAACATTGACAGATTTGAACGTCTGTCTCACTTTAAAATGGAAAGGTGTATTTTTCAAATCATACTTATATTCTACGTCTGGCAGTGGCATTCAGCTATATTTTGTTTTTGATTTTTTTTTGAGACACACATATACCGACGTTTGTTGTTGTTGTGCTTTAGCTGTTGGTATAGCAGTTCAACAAATCATCGTGTCTCACCGTTAGTTAGTTAGTAACAAACGCTGACATTGTCTATTGCTCCTACATATTTTGACCGATTTCAACCAAACTTTGTCAAAAGTATCAGTAGCCCAGCCCCAACATGTCACATGACCAAATTGGGGTCAAAGGTCGTCAAGGGATCACTAGGGTAAAAAAAAACCTGACTCGTGCATGAACACGAATTTGTTGGTCCCGCAGCTTCCGACATACGATCGAGCATTTTTTTTTGGGGGGGGGGAGGGGTTTTCTTTACGGCAGATCGTCATAGCATCAAGTTGTCAAACAATTATCACTGGCAGTAGAGCAGACTTGAAGATTCCTCAACTCACAAGACTGTGCCTGCAAAATGTACAGAAAAATAAACAATCACCGACTTGGGAACATGATTACACAATTATTGGGTATAGGGATTTTTTGTCAGTTTTGTCTTTAAATAGCAAGTTTAACAACCAACCATTAAGCAAAGACGTTGTTTCTGCCATGGCTGATATGATTAGAAAAAGAAATATGCGTGTAGTGGTCATGTCAAGAAAAACATTTGCATATCTGGCTGGGAATATAGGCCGGTGCTTACCACTTTATTCTTCCATTCCTGTAGCTCGTATTCATATTTGGCCATTTTTTGATCGAACTCAATTAGTTCTTGTATGTCCATCTCCGAAGCAGTCACTGCGTCTGAAAGAAACACGATTTTGAGCATTTCATCAATCTAAACTTCATCATCTCGAAACTGTATTTTCAAAATCGAGGTCTTGTTGCACGGCTGAATTAAAACAAGCATATTCGCCACGAACAAGCCGCTCCAGATACAGGGCTAGTTAGAAAAATTAAAAGAAGAGTAAAGGTACTGATAGTGGTGCAGCATAGGGACAGAATTGTGCATTTTGTGATAAAAGCATGAAACTTTGCATGTTGGTTCTTCATGCCATGACAAAAGTTTTCAGATATGGAGGCATTTCATATCTGACCCCTGGTGACCTTTGAGGGGTCAATGACCTTTGAATACTCTATACTTATTGTTCTTGACAATATCACTTTCCTATGCCCTAAGTCTTTGTATAGTCTTCATACAATGTAAATTACGACCAAATGCGAAAAAAAATATGAAATGCCTCCATATCTGAAAACTGTTGTCATGGCATGAAGAACCAACATGCGAAGTTTCATGCTTTTATCACAATTTTCACAATACTTTAGCGTATTGTGGCCATGCCGCACCACTGTGATAGAAAGATGAAGGTAGGAATTAACGTTTCTCTTGAAACAGGACAGATCATAGGTTGGAGGGAAACAAGCACCAGGCATTGATTTCCCCTAATCTGTCACAAAATGACAGCCATGTGCAATTGAGAATGCTTGAAAATGACCGACACTCATCGTGATTTGTCTTAAAAAGCTGGCCGATTTCGAAGGATGAAAATGAATAAAACTGCTGCAAACTGCTTACTGACTGGATTAACCTGAAATATGCAAATCAACAAAATTAGGGGCCTATCGTTCTGTTGACAGAACTTTAAACTGGTCTTTGTGTTGAAAAGTACATGAGTGATTTGAATGATTCTTGTACTAAAAGGAAGCTTAAGGCCAAAAAAAAAAAGTCTCCGGTTTCTGGTATGGAGCTTGCCCAAAAAGTGGTGCGGCGACGCGGCTTTTTAATTTTTTTTTACCTGATTTTTTTGCTTCAAATGTCGGCTGATGACTGCAAATGGTGCCCGACTAAACTTATAGTGCAAATATATGGGAGTCCAGAGAGGCCACATAAAGCTTATTCTCGACCATAACCCAATCCAAAAACACGTTAAAATTGTGCAGCAGCATGATTCCAGTCAAACCAGTGAGTTTGGCGGTTTTGAGACATCATCTTTCATTGAAAAAAAAAACCTTTTTTCATTTTGCCGACGCGCATGGCAACGGCGACCCGCGCGCATACCAGAATTATTTTCTGTCATGTTTTATTTTCAATGAAATAGTTTTAAAAAAATGAATAACATAATATAATACATTTGCGGGGTGAATATACAAGAGAGGTCACCCACTGAAAAAGGCGCTCTCTTTTGCCCACAATATTTCAAAAAAGGCTTATGTGGACCTTATAGGTAGCAGTCATCAAGGCAATACATTTGTCTTGCTGTGACATACCAGAAATAAACCTTTTAAGCACTCCTTGTTACTGAATTAAAATAACAAAATGATGCCCTATAAGACGGCCGCTATACTCATCAAGTCTACCCATGAGGTCTAAGAAATACGAAGGGTGCTCAAGTTTAAGGAATGTCAATCTGGCATGAAATGTCATCATGGCCTACGTCAAAGTGAAAATGCACAAAACGCTGCTCCGTCCCATAAATTCAAAACTTTTATTTTTCGATTCATTGACATTCAACGGTTGTATTCAAAAATGCTATTAAAAGCTTGGAAAACACAACGACTATCCTCTATCAATAGAATTTCTGTAGAAATATAACTATGCAGTTTTTCTAGTATATATTTTCCTGCTCAGTCTTGCTATTGACTTTGTATTTCGTTAATCTTTCAGAAATTTGAGATAATTAACACACTGTTATAATGCAACTCAAAATAATTGTAATATACACGACTACATGTAATTGTCGCACAGATTTTTCATATTATTCAGGGAATAATTGTAATTAAGGGAATTATTGTTGTTAATGTATTTTTACTCTGTTGGACGGTTTTTAATCAAATTTGGTATACTACTTTTAATTGGATAGTTGTATTTTTGGGAGACAGGTGTTTTTACCAATTAATCAGAATAAATAAAGTATTATTCCATCCTGTATGCTCATTGTCTCTGTCCCTTTGCCAGATTCATGCTATTGTGTCTCATTCAGTGCACATCACTGGAGTTCGTTTCATTCCCTTTAACGCGTTTCTATCATTCCGTTCCCCCTGTGAGCGTCCTTCGTTTGTCTTCTAAGGCCAAAAAAAAAGTCTCCAGTTTCTGGTATGGAGCTTGCCCAAAAAGTGGTGTGGCGACGCGGCTTTTTTTTTTTTTACCTGATTGTTTTGCTTCAAATGTCGGCTGATGACTGCAAATGGTGCCCGACTAAACTTAGTGCAAATATATGGGAGTCCAGAGAGGCCACATAACCCAATCTAAAAACACGTTAAAATTGTGCAGCAGCATGATTCCAGTCAAACCAGTGAGTTTGGCGGTTTTGAGACATCATCTTTCATTGAAAAAAAAACTTTTTCATTTTGCCGACGCGAGTGGCTATGGCGACGCGCACGCATACCAGAAACCGGAGACTTTTTTTGGGGGGGCCTAATGATGTACTTGCATTCAAAAATTGGTCCTACATTGGTCCTTCATTCAAAAATTGGTCCTACCATTTGGAATGCGTTTTGTTTACTCACGCTGTGGAAAGGTAAGTAAGCAATCTAATATTTTTAATTTCGAAGGAGTTGGACGTCGGGGGAAAAAAGGTATTTTAATAGAACAGGGGAAAAACCTACTAGAGTTATCAGCAGTAAGGGTGAAGTTGGCGGTCCCCCTCACTCCTCCATCAATTTCAAAGACCGACGAGCACGAGCAGTCTCTCGGGCTGGTCTCGGTAGACGAACCGTTGATGTGCAGTACCAGGAGCTGTCTCCCTGAAGACGTGGACTTGAACCGTGTAAACGGTAGGTTGGCACACGGAGGGTAGCAGTCTACACCGACCACACGAAGGTTTCTACCCGATGGAGCCTCGGCCACGAGGTATAAGTTGACCGGCTGGTTGGCCGATCTATGCTGGCTCTGTGGCGGCACCGTGTGAAATACGATCTTGTCATCTATAAGAATGAATCGGGATACATTTTATTTGATTAATTTAAGTGGAAAATTCAGGTGTATTAGTCATTCATAAGTGGAATATTGCAGTATTTTAGTCACTCATGGACCAGGCAAAGTCGTTCATGTTTTACCATGATGGTGTATTTTTTAAATCTAATCTAAACATTATAACAAACAATTCACAGTTGTGCAACAAGGAAGGTGAAATAATGACGACGTTTGTTTCAAATTAACCCCTCGTAATCTTCAAAACTGTTTTTCCCCCTCACAAATTTTCAACGAAAAAATGTGTTTGAAACGATTAATACTTTATTTTGATTTTGGGCGTCTGCAATCCTGTGAACAAAAATTAAATTTCTGCACAAATTGATGAAGCAGCCTTGCGAGAGCCGAATTATTGTCTGCCAGCTTACAATTCAAATTTGTGAAGAGATAATTCAATAACTAAACGTCGATGGATTTTTTTTTATTTCGATGTCTCATTCAGAAGTTAATAACCGTTAAACTGGTGTAGGAAAAAAAGCAATTGAAAAAGAAACAACTAGTTTTCGAGGTGAAATTCGAAAACTGCACAGGGAACGAATCTTTAATTCCTGACTTTTGTACCAATGTATCATACGACGTCAGTATAAAAAAAGCTCAGGTCTGTCGGAAAATTTAAGTTGCTACCTGCCACCATTCACAATGAGCAATTTATACGGAATTTGGAAACACATTAGCAAAACAAAGACTCAAAGCAAAAGAAAAGAGGCAGGTATACAAACGAAATGATATTTTAGTAATCACATACTATTTCTAGCTGGACACAGATCCGAAGAGCCATTTTCTAAATCCTGAAACCTGACACAGAAAAGGATACAGGAGAGAACAAAAAAATAAAAGTTAGACTTCAGCGCTGGACTTCTAAAGCTACGACTTCAAAGCCCTTATCAGCGATGTTCTGACGAGATTAACTCTTCAAAATGTTCATTCTGGAAAGATCTCTGTTTGTACGCAATGCATAAATCGTATCTGACCACGCACACCGAACATTCGTCCATCATATCATCTCTGGAATGCAAGTTGAGGAGTGAGTGGTTTCGTCAATGTTGTACAGCTACAAGACCATGCGCCTCTCTGGATAAACCAACTCATCTGGGATTTTACATTTGGAAGATTAATGTAATAATGTAACGCTCAATGCCTTGAACACCAATTTCTAGCCATATTTATTTCTGCATGAAAGCTAACGACTTCTTTAGACACAATTAATGTATCATCAGAAGTGTCGAGAAAGTGGAAGAATCTATCCATCATAATGGAAAACCTGCCATGGGATAAAAACTCTCTAAACTCCAAAGAGTGAAATTAGGGACTAGACGTTTTAGAGTGAAAATCACTCTCATTATAGATTGACATAGTCTGAAAAATTAACCACTTCAGTCGAAGCTCGAGTGAAACCTCGATCTTTACGATTGAAGAAATTTCACTCTAAAACGTCTAGTCCCTAGTTTCCGACTGTGAGAGTGAATCTTCACTCAATCGAATGGAGTGAATTTTCACTCTTTAGAATTTAGAAAGAAGGGCTTCCTCCATCCTTATCTTCTCTCGACAAAAAAAAAACGCGGACGAGAAAATATTTCTTTTTAATTGGCCTTACAGACAGGAACGAGATAATCAGCCTTACCCGTCTCTGCTGCCGTACGAACAAGAATCACCAGTCCATGTACAGTAGGGATCTCTGGCATCGAGACACGATCGACAGGTAGTGTAGTCCCGGCAGTGCTGGAATGGTACCTTGAACACCCCGATGTCTGTCCCCACAAAGACAGCTCGCGCTGCCTCACTCATCACCATCGTCAATACTGGTGCCTGCGTGTTTAACCGAGGGATTTACATCAAAAGTTGATTCCAAGAAGAGTTCCCAAAAATATAATTCTGGTATGTTTTTTTGGGGGTCCGAAGCTAAGGCGGGTCTGTTGGTTAAGTAACCTAAGTGATGAGCTATAGGAATGTGTAAACTGATGAGAATTAGGCAAACAAATTATTGTTGATGTACTCTAACGTGGCGCGGCCCCTAACGTGGCGCACTTTGATTTTTCGCCTGTAGCGCCTACCTAGAGCAAAAGTTTTAACTGAAATTTCCAAGAAAGTGAAATTTCATCAAGTACTAAACACTCCTCTTCATAAATCGCGAGTTTATTTACCCGTAATAAAGTTAGAAGAAAAACTTATTTTGGCGTGATTTTCCAATTTATTTTCAAGTGCAAAGTGAACCCTTTAAAAATGCCCCGAAAAATAAGAAAATAATTTTCTGACAAACATCTGGCTGGGCATGTAAGTAGAGATAATAATTGTTTATCAGAATTTATCAAGTTTACAGATATTCTTAAATGTTAAATTGGAATTTTCCGAGATTTATTCAAGTGCGCCACGTTAGGGAACACTCCGCCAATTTGTGCCCAATTTCCGGACGCCACCGTTTTTGAATTTCGGATTAAATTTTATGAAACTGAAATTGTTCACAGAGGTTAAATAGCAAGCATTAATAAGGTAAAAGTACTAGTGTTTTACTGCATGAATTTGAGGTTTGTCAACAAAGAGGTTTGGCAACACTACACGAGGAAAGTCGGGTAAGCTTCGAAGTGCGCCACGTTAGGGAACACGACTATATAGTTCTGCTTCCGATTACATGGCATTCGAAAATAGGGTAGGTAGGTAGTGAAAGTTTTGGGGGGCAGTTTTTGTGTGTGTACGATCATATTGAGGCGTCTGCGTAACGTCAAGGGTAAAAGGTAGTAATTGATAATTTGGGTGTTTTTCTCTCTCATTTTTGTCCATAAAAAAATTAGGGTAGGGGCTGCCAGAATAAGGAAAGTAGGGAAACCGGAAGCAGAACTATTTTTTTTGGTGGCTTTATCCTAAATTCACTTTTGATCATACCCCAAGATACCGTTGTTACAGCACCCTCTTCGTTCTAGAATACGAAGGCCAATTTTGAAGAATCACCGAAGATTCTGTCCTGTTTTAATTTTGCAAGTAATTACAAACTTTAAAAATGTGGCGATCCCAGTTGTAATCCCAGCGATTGGGGAGGAAAAACCCCTCCGCGTTTTGGCCAGGAGGCAGCATGAATTCCAAACCTAATGGACATTCTGAGCCTCCCCCCCCCAAAAAAAAAAACAAGAAGAAGAAGAAACACTCAATTGCGCAACAGCTCTCCCAACGGATTCGCCTTCTGTCTTGACGATATATTTTCTTAAGGAAAGTAGGGAAACCGGAAGCAGAACTATTTTATTTGTTGGCTTTATCCTAAATTCACTTTTGATCATACCCCAAGATACCGTTGTTACAGCACCCTCTTCGTTCTGGAATATGAAAGCCAATTTTGAAGAATCACCGAAGATTCTGTCCTGTTTTAATTTTGCAAGTAATTACAAACTTTGAAAACGTGGCGATCCCAGTTGTAATCCCAGCGATTGGGGAGGAAAAACCCCTCCGCGTTTTGGCCAGGAGGCAGCATGAATTCCAAACCTAATGGACATTCTGAGCCTCCGTCCCCAAAAAAAACAAGAAGAAGAAGAAACACTCAATATATATATTTTCTTAACACCAACCTTCAATCCGTCTGTATCCAAACTGATCTCCTCGACAATTCTTGCTTCTTCAGACCAATCCTCACTCAGGTAGGCCTTGAGCACTGTTCCATTCTCTAAATGTACCACACAAAGATAGTAACAATTGTATTAAGTTCTCATGTTTGAGATTAGATTAGAAAACCAGTTGGTGCACTTCTGAGGAGTTTCATTTTTCGAAAATTGGTTCATAATTCAATTTCATTGGTCATTTGAACATGTAGCTATCCCCTCGCAACTCTACTTTCCCTGGTTCGAATCTCTCTTAGCGCTAACCGTTGGGGAGTATGACTGTTTGCGGAATGGCAGAACAGTATCTCCTTTTGATTGGTTGGAAAGTGTTTTTATGAACTGAACCAGTCTTGTTTCAAGACGTTATGTTTTTAAACTTTTGACGCACTGTGCATTTTGGTTTTGCCATTGACAGAGGGCGCACATTCACTAGTTGTCAGCATCGTAGTCAACCTCGACAGCAGTATAGTGTCTTAGTGTTTTGTATTTGTGGGCGGCACCGGACTAAGGAAATCAGGGCCAATACCAGAACTTTTCGGTCATGTGTAAGCAAACAGTCTTTCGACTGTGTTGAGATTCTGAAATTTTGAGTCAGAATTGGATCTTGGTTCGACTTAGTTCTTTGTCCGCTATTGTTTTTGCCAATGTACTAATATGCAACATCATCCAAGTAAACACATTTAGACGGATGGGTTTGTTTTGAATAAAGACGTTTGTATTTTCTCAATCCCACATTAGTTTGATATACATAAACATGTCAAATGACATTTTGAAGTGAACTTTTCTAATCAGAATCTGGAACAATGTTTACGAAAACAAAAGTTAGACCTTATTAACACCAACATAAGATTGAAAAAGAGATTGTAATTGCCATGGTTGCAATTACTGAACAACCACAGAGCTATTCCCAAAATGGTTTTTCCAAACATTATAAAACTATAAGAATTAAAATTATAATCTTTAATAATTGCACTTCTCGTACGACCGGAAAGGGTCACATGACCTTAACACACATGACCTTAACATTCCAGGAGGTACATTTTCAGTTCAATATGAAGAAATGTGCAAAGAATAAGTGGAATCATAACTTATTGTATTGTGGAGATACGGTGGCCACAATATTGCCTCATCAAATATTCATGACGTCATAACATGAGAACAATATACTACACAGAAATAATATTCAAAATAATAATCTGTTGATGTTGCTTCATACTAACATAAGGTATTAACCCCATCAGATTTATAATTCATGAGATATGATAATAGGGTCTAATATTAACACTCGCAATATATCACACCTGAAGTAAGGGTCGCGTGACTTTGTCATACCAATTTTCATCCATAACACTTCCCTGTCTATATACCTACCAAGTTTGAGATCAATCCATCCAACAGTTCATAGTTATAAGACTGTGAATAATGAACATTTAAATTGATGTCATGTGACTCCTGATTACGTCACGATGACGAAACTTTTTTGATCTTCTGAATAGATGGTTAATGACTATTAAAAAGTTTCCAAAGTAGCTTGTAGAAAGAAGACGTGTACAAAACATATGGGGAAAAGTGAAAAAAAAAAGAAAAAAAAGGAAAGAAAAAAGGAGGAAAAATCCCGACAAAAGCTAAATTGGGAACAGCTAATTAAGGTGGGTTTTAAAGCACCATTTAAGAAATGGCTGGTAATAAATTTGGCCCCCGAATCAGGGCAATGAACTTCTGCTTTTGTCTTCTTTTTTTTTTAAAAGAGCATTTTTCAAAATAGCTGGTTTTGAAGTTAAGCCGGGAAAATGTGGTATTTGATTAAGCAGTTTTGATTTAGGCCGTTAACGCCCTAAATATTTAAGCACTACAATTACGGCGTTATAACGCCCTATTAATTACGGCTTTAATATAAATTGGCGCATCCAGAGGGGGCCCAACGGGGTCAAAATGAACATTTTTTTGGCCATCGCGTAAACTACCCACAAAATTCAATAAAATACATTCGCAGCCCCTCCACTGACTTTCTTTTCATATAAAATTTGGAGCGGAATTGTTTTTTGACCCCACCTTTCTTTCCGGCCCCCAAAAATTGGTAACAAGGCGTAATAACACCATAATAGGACGTTATAACGTCATAAATTCAGGGCGTTATAACGCTGTATAAGGCGTTATAATGCGGTAATACGGTGTTTTACCCGCCGTAAAATTAGGACACCTTTACATATAGCCCCATGATATTAAGGCGTTATAACGCCCTAATGTAAACCATGTGTTCATAGATCAGCCACCGTAGCTTTGACAGCCTTGCCTTGTCTTTTTTTCCGATAGAAAATCATGAAGGCCAAGGTATAAAAATGAAATATTTCTAGTTAGGCCTATACGATAAAGTGAGCGCACTACGCCTGCGTGCTTATTCCTCCACAGGGTGTTTATAAGGCAGTACCGAAGCAGAAGCAGAAGCAGACAGTAAATATATTTTTGATCAGCTGCTATTAAATATAATGACCCAGAGGTCTGAATACTAATTATTTTGAGGCTTGATTCTTTCACGATGCAGTCTTTCGTAGTAATCCATGCTGTACTCAACACACGCTTGCACATCATCCGGCAGACTCGCCAGATCAGGTAGCGGGGAAGGTTCCTCGAATCCCACGCTCTCAAATGCTCGCTTGTAGAAGCCCTTCCTCCTGTTCGATGCTCGGACAGTATTTGCCACGATCCAGGTTTTGGTGATGTCATCACCGTCGGCTTGCAGGACAGCAGCTTGTCGGAGTACGGTATTCCCATCCTGGAGCAGTAGGTCGACAAGATCCCCGCCGGGTCCTGTAGCAGATCATCGGCGTCCAGTATGACCGGCGAGGGGTCGATATTCTCCCGGATGTACTCGGCCAAATCGTAGAGTTCCTTGAAACCGCACCCAGATGGAAACGCTATGGGAGGCAGGGCCCGCATGTCAGGAATCTCACACCCCCACAAATTGGCGAGAAAAGTCTTGTAAGATAGGAAGACTCGGATGGGATGACGGATTAAGAAGCTGTGCTTGAATCCCCGAGGTAACATGTCGTATCTGCCGTGCAGGTACTGGGCTTGATCTCGACACAGAAGGAGCTTCTTGTCGGGGTAGGAGGCTTCCAAGACCTTATCCCGGATCCACTGATAAGACAACATGGTGTAATCTATCCCCGATGCCTTGTCCTTTTCAACTTGTCCAAATCTCTTTATAGTGTCCAGGATTTGACACACTGTCGAGTTGGTCGGATCTGGTTCGGGAAGTTCTCCAGTGACACCCAAGTAGTGCCCAGAAGCATACAGCTGATTAACAACCTGGATTCCGTCCACATAACTCAGACACTTGACCATGGCTGTGGATACGGAACGAGGCATGCTCCAAAGACACGCACGACGGAGCCCATCCGCCATCTTGTTTTTTTTATCAATATTATTGGTAGGGCCAGTATCACAACCCCGTGGTACACAGGCAGGTACCACCTACAATAATTAGTCATACATGTACATGTATTCCAAAGTGCAATTTCGGGTATTGTTTTGATTAGGTTGTATTTTAGGAACCATCACTTTTATAAAGGGGAGGGGGTGTTTGTTTTAGATATATATTTCTGTGTTGAGTTTTGAAATTGTGTAGCGTTGTTTGCTCTGTATTTTTCTTAATTTTTTAATTTTTTTTTTGGACATTGTAAGTCACTTGTGGTGTCTTGTGTATGCGTATAACATGTTTATTTTTCTGAGGAAGTATTTCAATTTTGTTATGGAATTTTACCCTGTCTTTTAATGTTTATATGTTGTTTTTTATTGTAAAAATTGATGCAATTTAGCCATTGGCTACAAGTTCAAGTTCAATTTCAATAAACCATCAATAATAATACACTTGTAGCGGGACATTCCATGTCACTACATTGTCCTGTTGGGTTCACCATACTGAGAAATGCATTGTGGGTAAACTATTTATAGATTCTCTCTCTTGTGCATGCCTTCGGCCATGTTGGCCATGCTTCTATCTTGCCATTGTAGATACTTGTAAATAAACCAATCAAGATGTAATCCAGAGTCTGCGATGAACAATTAATCCCTTTCCCCCTTCCATCCGAACCTGGTAATGATCTTCGGACCGTTACACACTTATGATAATTTATTCGTACGTCAACGGGCCAGTATGTGAACGGGCCAGTATATGAACACACATTGTTGTTATTAGGTCAACCCGTTTTAAAGCATTTTAAGAACGGTTGGCTCTACGGAGCCCCTAAAGGGACATGCATGATGATTTTTCTTTTATTTCGTTCCCTCAAAATATATTTCGTTCCCTCGAAATGTAGGGTTTCCCGGCTATTTTCAAACGTTTATCAATCAAATTCACCGATTCTATATAATGTTCAAATTCGTCAAGTATTGGATTTCGTCTCGTCTACGCCAAAGCTTGTTGTTTAGAAATCAAATTCGTCTAATTGATTTATATAAGACGAGTATTCGATCTCTGAATGCTGCCAATCGGCAACAGCTTAGACGAATTTGATCTGTGACGAATTCTCGACCCGGTGTCTAGAGAGGGTGACCAAACTAAGAAATTGAATGATAAATGACTAAATTGGTTTTGTTAAAAGCAAGTAATTTTTTTCTCGAGCGAATTCGAAGTTTGCATGACTGTTTTGCAATGGAATATTTACAAATATCAAGCAGTATTCACTCTTGCGTGATGCTTGTCCGATGTGCCTTTTATATTCTGTTGCGTAAGCGTCTGCTCTTTAAAAAAATGCCTATGGGGTCTGAATTCATAACATGTGACACGTGTCAGTCCGTGCTTTAATGTATCAACTATACCGCAGCCTATACACGTAACTATACGTATTGGGTATTCATTATTGAAATTCATTATCAAAAGTAAACACCGAGATAAAAGTGAAATAAAGAATGTTTCAATTCGTCAAGGACTATTTCAGTGATATATGTTTACGTCTTCTATGTCTGTCATTTTTTCTCGCAATGAAATTATTATTCCATCATGACATCGATCTGAAATGCGTTTGGGTCATGTTCCCGTTTTCACGCGACCCTTCCTTCCGGTCGAAACCGGAAGTGCCTTATAATTTGAAATTGGCAAAAAATGTGAACAGGCTTTCAACGATGTGAGTCTCTGCCTAGGCTGTACTTTACAAAATTATTACAGGTGACGTCAAATAATGTTAGAGCGCCACAGTGGCACGTTGAAAAAGCCAAAAATACATTTTCAGTTGATGTGTGTGCGGTAATTGCTTCAAACATGAGAGCCGAACACCGTGTGGTTGTTCCTACCTAGTTTATTTCGAAATTGTCTATGTTTCGCAGAGTTGTTCATGTACACAAACCTGTGTCAGAATAAAACCGTAGCTCACACCGTTATGGTGGATGGTCCTTCGTAAAAACACAAAAGGGCAAGCACTTTGAAGTGCTCAGCATATTGCCACAAAACAGTGGTGCATCCTCAAACTTACAACAAACTTAGGTTACAACGAGCTTTCTGAATGGCTTACCCGTGCCAATGAACAAGACATCTGTTGAGTTGGCCACTCCCTCATCTACCACAATCTGTGTGAATCGTTCCCCGTGTGACACGAGGAGGGGGCTGATCCGACTGCACGCCCCCCTGAAGCGGCCCCCTCTGAGGGATGTTCTCTTCCCACAACGGCGAGTGTTTTCCACCGTATCGTCTATCAGTTGAGCCAGTGTGAGGATGGCTTTGTACTCTGCATCAGAATAAGTGGTCGTATCTGGACACTATGAGAAAAATCGACGGGATAGCACATGATCACTTTTCTTTTAATGGAGATATTTTTGATGGAATTCCATGTTAGTTTGACCATTTTTTTTTTTAGTGTGAGTGATTATTTACGTATACAATGTACATTCCTGGTGTGAAATCGAGGATTCTGCTACTAAACAGTCAACTCTCGCTAAATGCTGGTTATAGCAAACATAAAGCCTTGGTTCCGACGTGTTTTATGTGCACAATGAATGGGACCAGCACTCCACTTAATACAGAATTCTGATAAAACAAAAATTTTGCTAGGTCCGGATGTGTTTGTATTTGCCAGAGTCGAGTCAGTCGACTGTTATATTCACGAGGTCGCGAAAATATTCAACACTAGTCGTGAATAAATTCATGACGTTGCCAAAAAAATCACGACATGTTATGTCCCTTATGTCCCTTCAGGGTCATCATATACTTAGGTTCGCAAATCTGAGGACACGCCTGTAGAGAAGAGACGACGCAGAGAGAAGAATTCATGCTTGGGATGTGGCACGGAAAACTCCGATGTACAAAACAGAGGGCGGAGAAAGTGTCGTGTTGTAAACGTGCACTTACCTCAGCTTGTCTTGGACGGACGGGTTCACTCAGGACTTCCATCCACTGCATCAAGTCATGTTCCTGTGCCTTGAACGGGCTCTCGAGGAACATGTTCTGAATCTCATCAAGACGGTATGCGCACACGGCAGAACTAGCCACACCATTACTGTGACGTCATCAAGAAAAAAAGAAACAGGGAAGTTTAAAATGGGGCGAGTGTTTAGCATTTATGATATGACGAGAAGATGGAGATTAGCCTAAAAAGGGGGTTTTCATTGGTTGATCAGAACATACTTTTATTCTCACAAACATGGATATCCAACATTTCTGTAAAGTGGACACCTGAACACAGTTTAACGATAGGCAACAAAGGTACGTAGCAAGATTTTGCAGTTTTCACTCTCAAGATGACTTCTGATCGTCATTTGAATTTGTCCAAGAGCCAGGGGTAATTTATTTTTTGGAAATGACTAAGTGTTTGGTGGGTATTTTTGGAAAGTTTACACATTGGGGAATTCGAATTGAATAGTCTCACGGTTACCTGGCGGTGGACTTGGATACCAGGAGCAGATAAGTGACGTCACATAAGCAGTAATTAGGACATGCAACAGCCGTCGGGTCAGTCAAATGGACTGTGTACGCAGAATGTACGTACGGTATTACTGACCCGGCGGCTGTTGAATGTCGTACTCAACTCAATGTATTTCTACTATAGATTTGTACTGTAGATTTATGTAAATTATTTGGGCTCTAAAGCCGCGGGAACGGGGGGGGGGGGGGGAATGCTGTGGGTACTGCAGCACCCCCAACTTTTTGGATTGGGGTGCTGGAATATACTACAGCATCCCCATACTGCCGGGCAAAAATGTGTTACAGCCAGCAGATACACTGTAAAATATCAAGAGGAGGTATTTTCTAAAGCAATAACCTCGGCCATGACAATGGTGGCAAAGTTGATTATGCTTGCCAGGATTTTTTTCATTCGATCTTTCAATAGGGGCACAAGTTCATACCTTTTCCCTGAGGTTTTTTCTTTTCATTTAAAAGTTTCATTGACGTTGCTAGCATTTTCTGTACTCAGCATTAACAAATAACAAGGTTCACACTCATCCCCAACCCAATAGGAGTGGGACGGCTTTCATTGAAACTAGTCATCCTTTACGCCAATTCCAGTGTAGTTTCGTTTTAATAAAAAAGCTATTCATGTTTTACCCTCTAGAAGTTTTCCCTCATAAAAACTCAGTAGACCGATACATCCTTGCCTAGCCCCAAACTTACCATCTACCGATCATAAATATAAAAATGCATTTGGTATTTTAGTCTTTTATATTTGCCATTCCATGTAAGGCCAAAAAAAAAAAAGTCTCCGGTTTCTGGTATGCGCGCGCGTCGCCGTAGCCATGCGCGTCGGCAAAATGAAAAAGTGTTTTTTTTTCAATACAAGATGATGTCTCAAAACCGCCAAACTCACTGGTTTGACTGGAATCCTGCTGCTGCACAATTTTAACGTGTTTTTAGATGGGGTTATGATCGAGAATAAGCTTTATGTGGCCTCTCTGGACTCCCATATATTTGCACTAAGTTTAGTCGGGCACCATTTGCAGTTATCAGCCGACATTTGAAGCCAAAAAAAAAACCGTCACGTGACGTCACTTATCTGCGCCTGGTATCCAAGTCCACCGCCAGGTAACCATAAGACTAGCCAATTCAAGTACCGCAATGTGTAACCTTTCCAAAAATATCCACTTAACACTTGGTCATTTCAAAAAAATAAATGACCCCTGGCTCTTGCTCTAAATTGATCGCATTGCAGAAATGTCCACGTTTGGGGGGTACTGTGGTCCAATGGTTACCGTGTTCGACTCGTGTGCCGTGGTACACGGGTTCGAATCCTGACCATGAGAACATGGTGCTTGTGCTCTTGAGCAAGGCAAGTTTCCATTATTGCTAAGTCCTTCGGATGGGACGTAAAGCCGTAGGTCCCATGCATGTGTTGTGTAATGCACGTTAAAGAACCAGTAACACTTATCGCTAAGAGAAGGGGTTTGCCCCGGTGTTTCTGGCAGTGGCTGCAACATGCACCGCATCACCTTGTAAACCCTAAGGTGCTACATAATGGGTCCCATATTTCTCATAAACTTCATTTACCTGTCTTTGATAATAGACATAATTTCCAGCGTCTTGAGTACCTAATTGTTGGTAGATACGTGCGCTATATAAGACTCCGGTATTAATATAATAACTTATAGAGTACACTCGTTGACGATGTTCATTGCTTCAAAACAGAAATGATACTATGTGTACTTACGGCCCAGTCGCAAAAACAGCGAATACCACATTTGGGTCGGCAGTAGACTGGTGAATATCTTCTGTTTATCCGAAAGAAATAAAGAATATTATTTGGCAACCATTTGATACTGTCTGGCTTGGCTTTTAATCAGAGAGTTCACAGGAAACTTTATTGAATAAAATAAGCGTGTCTATACAAGGTGAGTCAACAAAACCGAAACCCAAATGTTGGGACCATTGTTTTAGTGAAGTTCTGCATGTAGCACTTTCAAAATATAGGATATAAGAGCCAAATTTATAAGCTTTCTTTTAGTACAAGAATCAATCAAATCACTTACGTACTTTTCAAGTTACAGAATTTTAAACACAACCACCGATTTAAGGTTCTGTCCACGGATCACAAAAAAGTTCAGTCTTCTTTCAGCAAAATGAAAACAAATCACATAAGGATGTGTGTGAATTGTTTTCGTTTTGCTAAAAGAACGCACACCTTTTTTTGTGATCCAAGGACAGAACTTTAAAACGGTGGTTGTGTTTAAAATCCCGTAATTTGAAAAGTACATGTGATTTGAAAGATTCTTGTACTAAAAGGAAGCTTATGAATTGGGATTTCATATCCGAGATTTCAAAAGTGCTAGGCCTACGTGCAGAATTTCAATAAAACAATAGTCCCGACATTTGGGTTTCGTTTTTTTTTTAACTCACCCTGTATAGGACACGAGTTGAGACTCTTGGTTTTTACTGCTCTGTCCAGTTCTAGTCAAGGGTGGTTCCAGGTTGGGGGGGGGGGCCAAAAAGAATCTTTTTTTTGGAAAAAAAATTCTTGAATCATATCCAGTATTGTTTTCAACAAAATAAAATGTATTGCTTTTGTTAAGTTTTGGAGGTGGTGTATACGCAGTGGCTGTAGTTTGCGACGTTGGTTCTAGTCGTTGTTTTGACGGGAGTTAGGGGGAAAATTAATGCTCGGCTAAACTTGATTATTTTCCGAACACTTGTACTTACGGATTTCATTGTAGTGATAGGGGAATTTGCCCGGTATGGAGCACACCAGTCGAGCTTTCACAAAAGTGACCATTTGTTTGTCGGTGTAAGTAGTGAAGGGCTGACCACCCAATTCGTCCTGCACAACCAAAAAATGTACACAAATTGCCATAAAATTGGAGCTTCTGTCTGTCATTAAGAGACCTATGGACATATACACTAGAAATTCGGGCTTCTGCCAAACAAAGGAACATTGTTTTTTTCCCGAGTTCATATTTCAAATTGATTGATCTCCCATTCGCAAGTTTTGAAATGAAATAACTCAACAATATGGCTGCTGATGACACCATCTATAAATAGTCCTATGGCTTTTTCGATGGCCACGGTAGTTGACAAGTGAAACAATGCAGCGTCAGGGGGTCCAATATTACTGTGATGCTATAGACTTCGGTAAAGTGGGGTAGGCCAAGATCTCTTCCAAAGTTTGGCCAAAGGCAAGCGATTCACGTTGCATGATTATGGCTTGATCAAAATTTTCCTATCATTGCATCGTGCATCCAACAAAATCGATCAGTGCATGGTCCGTCTAACTTATCAATCAGTGTTTGTTTTTTTCTGAGTGTTTTCTAGTTTTGATATATAGCATCCGATAAAATGTTCATTGCTCAATTATTAAAATAAGACGGAAAGTTGACGGTTGCTATATAACTCATAAGTTAGATGGACCATGCATTGATCGATTTTGAGGCAAGCAATTACCCTTCATATATCAGTATACACCCAAAGACATACTCGCATAAATGGTGAACAATTGTAAAAAAAAAATCCTGGATCCAGACCCAGATCCGGATCACTTCCAAAATCAATTCGAGTTGTAAACTTGTACCAAGGACCACCCCTAAACGTTTTTGTTTGTTTATGCAAATCCGTCCATAACTTTTTGAGTTATCTTGTTAAAGGAAAAACCAACCAACCAACGCCGATGAAAATTGTGATGATTTTGTGACGAATCGGAGTCAGTGTTACTGCGGCCGTACCTTGCACACCATGGATACCCTTGAATACATAATTCGACCGCTGTTGATGTGCTCCGATGCAAACTCGCGAAAGAAGAAGAAAATGCGGTTGCCGTATTCAATGGGATCTCCAACAAACTGCGGTCCTGCATAACGACAAATAAAACGTCATAGAGACCGTCAGAAATACACGGAATGTGTGACTCGGAAATAATTGCTGATTGTATCGCCATTTTCTGCGGTCATTTCACCAGACTCACATCTTGTTGTGAGACGGATGTTTTCCTTAATAGTGTACCCGATGAAATAACCACTCAAATAGTAATTAAAAGCAACGTTTTTTTCTGAGCCGCATACGTCTGCTATCCTCGCATTAATATTTATAGTGATCCCCAAGGTCTTCTTTTTTTTGTCAAACAAAATCCTTTATTTTAAAAGTTAGTTTAATTTTCTCTCTGGAAATCGGAAATCCAAGAGTTCCTCAAAATCGGAAGGTTCTGCTACCGAGAAGCTTAGACAGTAAAGAAATGTTTTGTAGCCTACACACTCTCAAAAGTCTCAGATTATATTGACCCGGAATCTGGTTTGTATTTGGCCTGACACTTTGGGTCAGAATTGAATCATCTGGGTGAAAATAATACTTCTCTGACTAATTTTCCGGGCCATTCTGACACGGATATCTTGGCAAAAGTTTCATTTTTACCCAGAAAAGTGTCACTTTTGACCCAGAACAGTTCAATTTTGACCCCAAAAAGTTCAATTTTGACCCTGAAAAGTGCCATGCCAAATACAACCCGGATTCCGAGTCAATCTGACCAGGGACTTTTTCTAGAGTGTAACTTGTGTGGAGGAATGCCCTGGCATGATATTCCGGGAAAATCCACGGAACTAAAAAACAACCCCGCCCAATCAATATGTTGCTCCATGGCGAGACTGGAACCCAGATCGGAGCACTCTAAAAACTCCCGGGTCAGATTTGATCGGGAATCCGGGTTTTATTTGACCTGTCACTTTTCCGAGTCAAAATGACATTTTTTTCCTGGTCAAAATGACACTTCTCTGACTCATTTTCCGGGTCCATTTGACCCGGAAAAGTGCCCTTTTGACCAGGAAAAGTGTCAGGCTAAATAGAACCCTAGAGTATATAAAGTCCAGGGCAGTGCACTGCCAGCCTAGACCATATTCCGCTACTGTACAGTAATGTTTAATGCCAACATTCAGCACACGGTTCTCTTGTGCACTGTATTGATATCTTTCGAAATTATGGTTTAAAAATATTACCGTTTTAATGTGGGTCATGACAAAACATAACGTGCTTAAGTTGCCCGGCAGTTGCCCGTCGGCACGACATCACAGGTCTATACTCATAGGTGCACACCAGTATAAAAGTTGTACCCTAAAAATATTCTATATTAGAGAGTTCGCAGAGCCATGGAATTGAGGAATTGAAGAGATATGGCAATGAACGTCTGGCCAAGACTTGGGGCTTCCAGTTCTGAGCATTTTGGATACATTTTTTGGGCCCGAAAATGGCGCTATTTAGCCATGTTGTAGAGGGATCGTTTTTTCAAGATGGCTTCTTTTCCGCTTTGGGAAAACTAAGGGTCGTCTTCTTTCGGTGAGATTTTCTCGAAAAGTCAATGGTCAACCCACAAAAAATTGAAAAGAAAATGAAAGATGACATGTTGATCATCATTTTTCTGTGCAGCCTAATTGCATGTGAGAGTTTTGAGTATTTTTTAAAGAATTTTGAAGTACGGCCATTTAGCACTGGTGTATTTGGGAATTTTAATACAGGAGTGATTCCCCATTGGTCGACATGCTTCACCACACGGTACTCACCATTTAGAACTGTATTGGGACTATCCTTCGTCTTCAGACGAACGTCTATCCCGGTTCTTGGCCGTTCCGGACCGGGGGTCATGGTGTCCAAACGGGCCCTCAAAATGGCCGGTTCCTCAAGTTGGCCAAATGAATTGACCAAGTGTGAACCGGCGAATATTTGGTAGGCTGAGTCTGAGAAAAAACAAGAAAAGGCAATGGACATGACGAGGTAGGGCTTACTACATTACATCCAAATCGGAAGGATTTGAAGATCATATCCATTTATATCAATCCAAATGGGGAGGGGGGTAATTGAAAATGTCACAGCCAATTTTTTGTACATTTTGGTAAAGAAAAAACTTTCCTTTTGAGACGTTTTCTCTTCCAGTTAAGTACCTGTGTCACCCTGCTGATTAGAGTCAATGAGCCATGCACCAAGTTGTTGGTACCAACTTGACGGACTAATTCTCTTGTTGTTTCCATTAACGAAAACTATGGGAAAATTTGATAGACCTTCTAGTTCTAAAAGGGTAGCTAAGGTGTTTTACTCTCCCACGTTGAACGTGATATTGAAAGTTCTCAGCCTCTTAGTCTTACATTTGTTCCAGACATCAGACGGCTGTTGGGATTTGGAGCCAAACGTGGGAGATGTGTAATTTGTTTGTAATGCGGATAGAAACTAGGAAGTTGCCCATCGGAACTGAACTGCGATGCCGAACAGGAACTTTATTAACCGACATGACCTCGGTAATTTCCGGGGCTTGTGAATTTCAAGCACGGATCCTGCACACAGCTCCTGAATACAACATAGACCTATTAACTCCATATAATCCATCAAGGCGATTGAGATCTTCTGATGCTTCTTTGCTGGTTGTCCCTCACACTCACAAATCTTGGGGTGATCGATCATTTTCTCACGCAGGTCCTCATCTTTGGAACAAACTACCGCTCGCCATTCGCAATATCTCATCGCTTTCTGAATTTAAAGTTGCCCTTAAGACCTATTTGTTTCAGACCACTCAGAATATTCTTGTTTAGTTAAATTTAATTGTTTTGTTATTTCTGATTTGATATAATTTTTGTTTGCGCCCTGAGCGTCATTTATGGCGGATAATGGCGCGGTTTAAATTTCCGTTATTATTATTATTATTATTATTATTATTAATGACTCGGCCCAACTCCTGGTTAGACGCGTGATAACGGCCCGTACTGGTGGCAAATACCATGAATACTTTTCAACAAAGACCACTGCGCGCGGTGGCTTTCAGATTTGCAAGGCTCTGCGCCCGATCTGGCCTCGAAGTCTGTCAAGCCAGCGAATTATATTTTTGAATATTCATGAGTCTACGTTTTTGGTCTTTATTATTGAATTCTGATAAGTGATAACTACATAATCATGGTAATGCCGAGCACAATATCTTTAGTTTTAAGATGAACAATGAAATGTCGCTTTTGTTTCATCGGTTCGGCATCTTATCTCTCTAAAACTTTTTAATAAAAGCCTAATTAAAAACGAAATTTGGGTAAACGGTGTTCTCCTTGAAATTTGACGTTTATTTCCCGGGTAAATACTTCATCTATGACGACAATAACTGCACAATACCATCTGTTATATCCTGAAGTATTTACTTTTAAACAATTTTGGAACAATTAAATCTTAAATAAGAGTAATTTTGCTTACAGTTTTATGAATATTTCCGTTTTAGATGTCTTGCAAAAACCCAACACAATAGGACACCTGGAAAATTCGCGATTACGCGCCAACGGGTATTAATGCCCGTTATCACGCGTCTAGCCAATTAAGGTAAGTCCGCTCAGTGCATTTTGTACTAGAGCTCAGAACAGTCGTTTATCCTGGTGTCTAGGATCCGTGTTTCAAGGAAGGCCGGCTACTTGTGGTGATTGCCGGTTTTCCGATGAATATGCTCATCATCCTGTTCATGGTTTCATTTCTTTAATAGAACTTAAGGGCATACTATCTCAATGTTTTCCCAAACCCCAGTAGGCTTTAACGGGCCACGTTCAGCAAGGTGCATTATAAGAATGTATAGTCAATCCGGACACGAAGCAAAATAATTATTGACTAAAGAATTAAAGATCCAACTGACTGGCATAACTCCAGAGATGTAGTCGAGTACTTTCCGAGTACTGTCCAAGTACTTTGTTTGCTACTAAATATTGAGCTGTTTCTTGTAAACAAAGCGAGAGAAACATTGACAGTAGATAGCAAATGTTGTTAGCGTTTGAAAACAAATAAACCTGAGACTTCAGATATATCAAAAATACATTTTCAATTCAAATTTTGGGAAGGAAGCACTCAAAAAGTACTCGGAAAGTACTTGGCGAGTACTTTTCGAATGCTTTTGTCGCAAAAGCTTAGTTTTTACAAGATTCTGATTGTCCAAAGTCTTCAATTCTTTTGGTAAGAATTTACTTTCCAATGTCTGTATTATGCAGCTTGATCCATACCAAAACCATCTTAATATCTGGAAGTAAACATGGTACTCGGAAAGTACTCGACGTAACTGCTCGGACAAAAGTGACTGACATGCCTTGCGGCTTTGCCTATATTCGAATCATCGAATGTAATATCTTGTCTTGAATAACGAGTGTCCAAATACTACAATGCCCATATAGGTGATAGGATTGTGCCTTTGATGATACAAGTATGGAATTTGGCACACGGTCTGAGAATGTCATGAGAAAGATATTTGGCTACAGGGCCATCGCAGGTTTGTCCTTTGAAAACATATAGGTAAAAAAAACAAGCAAAGGCAGCTATTTTGAAAATTTTGAAAATTGCTTGTTATTCTACCTGTTTTTTCCAAAAGACAAATGTGCAATGGTTGTCAACTATCTTTCTCATGACATACTCCGACTGTGTGCCGAAATTCCATGATTGTACCATGAAAGGCACAATTCTTCCAAATATTTCCCCTATCTGCCCCACTAAGGAAAACTCCACCTGGATCGACATGTTTTTGTTGATGTTCTCATGATGTTCTTCTGAACTTTGATCGAGTAAGTTTCAAGAACAGAGGTAACGAAGTTGTAATTTTCAGCTAAACTGCTGAATGACTGTGTGCCCACCCAAAACACGAGGATATGCTATTGCGCGTACAGTGACGTCATCGAAAAATACTTGGAACGGTATATAAAGTTACCAGTTGAAAAAGTCTATCATTATGTTTTCATTCACTAGAGAAATATACTAACCCAAAACCACAATAGGAATTCGTCCGTTGAGATGGTACCAATAGGCCTATGCCACGTGTGGGCCATTGGCTAATGGACTAATATCACGTTATGTGTCAATTTAAATTGTTAGGAAATTCGTTTAGAATTTCGTCTGCAATCGCATGCAAATGAAACGAAAAATAAAACGGAGCTTAGTTGATCAATACAGAACTTCAGGACATATGGTCTAAATTCCTTGGCGTGTACTCTGAAAACATTCTAGTTTAATTCGATTAAAAAATAGTCATACTTGCATCCAGCCAGCTGACCCTGTAGCAGTAGTCAGCTGGGTGCAATTGTAACTCTTTTCTAGTCAATTCTAAATAGGTTTTTTTGAGAAAAGTTGTTTTCTTTTATTTCTGCCCAGAAGGAACGAGAAGAACTCGGTGAGTGAAGCTCTCTTACCTGAGTCTTCCAAAAGCAACCAGCTGGAGTTTTGCTCGGGCAGCGAGGGCGCAACATTGTCATCGCTGAACTCGTATGGGTCACCAATTGTTGTCAACTTTAAAAAAAAAAGTCTAACGGTTCAATTTCTTATTTTTTTCTTATCAATCATTTTAATCACTCGTCATTATCGTAAAAACATTTTAACCAGATCTTACTAGAAAACAAACTTGCAACTTACCTCGATGCCCCCAAATCTTTTTGATTTTACGGAGGCCAAGTGTCCGGAGAAAAAAAATACCTGTCTTCATTTTCAACACGGATGTGCTAGTGCTCTTTTCATGAACTTTGTAACCCCCCCCCCCAATGAAAATGACCTTGCTACGCCACTGTGTCCAGTAACAACTTAAATAGTGGATGAACAATAAAAACGGAATGCCTTTGTCCATGTTCATTTGAATAACTTGAGACTTGAATTGGGACTGGAGGACTTGAGATTGACTTGTGATTGACTTGTGAGGACTTGCAGGGTCTTAAAAGTCGATATCACCATAATCGTCATTATTGTCACTATTACCTACTCTATTGATGTCATCACCGCCTTCATTGCCTGTACAATCCTAGTCATTATGATTTCATCATCATTGTCACTATCACCTGTTGTGCCATTGACATCGTTATCGTAACCTTAATCGTCGCCAACCGATCAGAATCGTTTTTCTCGGTATGACAAACAACCACGGACAGCGTCTGTATATACTTACATCCACAGCCGATCTTTCTTGGCAGTACGGCATTAGGGCATTGGTACCGCATTCAAGCAGCGATCCTCCCGATAACGGCTGAATAATACGGATGAAGTTACCGTCACACTAACAGGAAACAACAATGTCGTTATAAGTTCACTTGTGATCGTAAACCGCTTTCAGGTCCGGTTTTCGGCCAACAGTGAGTGCACAGACTTGTTAAAGGCGAGGATCATTTGCATTTACCCCAATAGTAACCTACCGAATTAGTATCAAATAGCTTACTTGGATGAAAAGTCGTACTGGTACTAAGCACCCCGTGAAATTATTCCGTCTGGCTTAGAAAAAAGAAAAGAAATGTAGGCCCCTTAAGTGATTTCCAACGATCAGTCAATTGACCGATTTTTGGAAATAAAGAGTGCTATTGACGAAATCGTGTTTCGTGATCAAAAGGTTTTTCACTGTTTTCTCGAAAAGTGTAATATAACTCACCAAGCTGATACTCCAACACTTTAAAAGTGGTATCTCAGACACGAATTGGATTGTGTAAATAATATATATAATATATAGTAGCAGGCAAAATTTTGAGGTGCATGCTGTACTCTATCAATAACTGATCTTTTTTTAAATGCTTTTGAAAGTGTGAATAAGTGTGAATAAAAGAAACTTACAGATTTACAGCCAAACTCAGTGAAAAATGAATTCGGTTGAATCGAAACTTGTCGAATCTGCAAAGAAAAAACAAACAAACAAACAAACAGAAGGTTAGGGACAAATTTGTATTTCAAATGCACTTCCGGTTTACATGTAAAACAAAAAGTGGAAACAAACTCTTTGATTTGAATTGTTACTCTTTGTATAATATATTATATATTTCTCGAGTGTATCCTGTGATGGCTGCATTTTTGAACTAGGGCCTAGATATATTTGAGCCAAAACCTTACCGTCTTTACATTTTAAACTACGAAAAAAATCTTTAAAGTCCCCGAGGTACAAAAGACCAAATAATTCTATTCTCTTAATTAATATAAAATTGCAGGATATCTCTTACTATTTCGAGGTTTTCTGTGGCAGAAAACAGTTGAGATTTCCCACCAACGAACAACGTTCCATTATGCAACGTTAGAGTGCGGTAGAACTTTCCAGCGGATGTAGGTCCAGAATCATTAGGTCCATAGGTTACTGCAGACCCCGTGATTTCTGTCGGAAGCATTATAATGACGTATAATAATTAATCCATGTCAAATTGAAAGGAAGACACAAAACAATGAAAACAGCAACAACAGTAAATACAACAGCAAAAGAAGCAGCGACAGCAACGTGAACAACAGGTGCAGCAGCAAAAACATCATTCTTAGCCAGCAGCGGCACATGCACTGCAATAGCCATAGAAGTCGGCCTACAACATAATTATGTTGAAACTGTCACAAAACAATGAAAACAGCAACAACAGTAAATACAACAGCAGCAGCAGCGTCGACAGCAACTTGAACAACAGGTGCAGCAACAAAAACATCATTCTCAGCAGCAGCGGCACATGCACTGCAATAGCCATAGAAGTCGACCTACAACATAATTATGTTGAAACTGTTCAGATACAAAACAATGAAAACAGCGTACAACAGTAAATACAACAGCAGCAGCAGGAACAGCAGCAACGTGAACAACAGGAGCAGCAGCAAAAACATCATTCTCAGCAGCAGCGGCACATGCACTGTAATAGCCATAGAAGTCGGCCTACAACATAAAAGTTGAAACTCGTTTCTGTTACAATTCAGTAACGTGGATTAAATTATACAAAAGCAAAAGAAAAGTCGGATTTTTTACTCCAGCCTCAATGGGTTTCTTTCCATAAGCGTTGCATGAGTTGGTTTGGAAACATTTATTTCAATGATGTCATTCATTACAATTATGTACAATCATGTATAAATTAAGCAAGGTCAGTAGTAATATATATGACAGTTATGTACACAGTGATTACTAATAAGTGTAATATTAAATGACAACAGTTAGGTATAAGGTTAAGCAGACGCTTTTGTGCCCTTACCTATGGACAGACATACAACCAAAGTACTGTAACAAGGGACAAACAAAACACAACGGTAGACAGACAGGACAAGTGTGTGAGACAAGGCCTAAATATTAATGCACATATAACATTTCAATTTATGAATATGTTATATGAGTTGTGAATCTCACAGACCTAAATAATAATGGTACTTAAGTGTGGAATTAAAAGTTCTTAGTGGGAAAACAAGAAAATCTAAGACAAGGCTTTAAATGTTTAAGGGTGTGGGATACGTCCGAGTTCCCCCTCCCCATTCGGCTTTGGAGGGTAAATGCAACTTCACCGTTAGCGATAAGTTACGTCGGTTCTATAGATCTTCACCTTCAGTTGATGTGTCGTCTTTTTCTTTTATGTAACATGGTTATACCATTGACTATATGATCCAACCATCTCAGAACATTATTAGGCTCTATAACAAACTCTGTGTACAAAACCTTTGGACTGAGCCAACTTTCTAATACTACTGGCACTGCGGCCCAATAACGCTAATTTCCTGCTTCCGAAGGATAACAAAGTGCAGTGTGTTTCAGAGTCAAGTTTTGCTCACCTTTTATGTTGAAGCTTAACTTCTGTGGTGGTTGGAAGGTCCTCAAAGGTTGGGGCTCCCGACACGAACATAACGAGACAAAAGTTATAAGACACACTGTCCACGACGAAAGATGACATCTTCGTGCCATGTCTCTTAAGGAATGCATCGTCGGATGCAGGTATACGCCGAATACTGTATGCGCAAATAAACAGCAAAGTGGAAATAAAGGACAAACATTAAAATTTCATCAGTTTGAAACGTAGATTGTTTGCTCAATTTTGGGGGATATGCTTCTGATTATCTGATTTCACTGTCACATTTGGTATAGGCTATGCTATGAAAAGGAAACAGCTCGCCAACCACACATCACGAAGCCCATTGATTCATCAGTCTAGTTCGCTCGCCCCTCCCGATGTCCCAAAGCTTTTTTTAACCAAACTTGCATATCACCACATCAAAACATCCGATGATAAAACACATACCAACTTACCTACGAAGATGAAAGAGGTGGATTACAACTAATTTTTTTGACGTCTGAATCACAGTCACTGTGCAGAAATATGATTTGTTGTGAGGCAGAAATTGTTAAGACGTCTGCCTGGAAGGAAATGCGTGTATACGGAAGGTCGGAAGTGACACATCACTGTCACTGGGTCTACACTATGGCAGGGATATAGGCCCGACTATGGCCTGCCGACCTCAGCGTGTATAGTAGAAACAGGAACCACACTTCCGTGCCCGGTGAACCACTTACTTCTATGCCAACATTTGGTTACTGGAAATGGTTTTTCACCTACACGTTTGAAGGAATTTGAAGGATGACATCAAAATGACGACAAAATGACGAACTCGTTTGGTCGAGAAAACACGTACCCGAAGGATGACGTCATCATAACATGTACATGATTCACTTTGTTGACTAAAAAGGTGCTGAGCCACAGACCACAGATGATTTAGTCTTGAATTACTTCAGACTTTAACTAAAACACCCCATGCATGATAGCGACGCTCGCGCATTACAGAATCACACAGCGATAAGCTTTTTTTATATTTCTAAATAAGGTAGATCAACATTGTAACAATATTTTATGCTGAAGTATAGCTGTCTAAAGCCAAAAATTAACAGAAGACAGGCCACGTTGTTGACATGCGTTGCGGCCCAACTTGAACTTGATGTTGTACGGATAAAACGTGCCAAGTTTGTGATTGAGTCATCCAAGGCCAACCAAGTGTATGAGTAATGTCCTGCCGACGTAAAGGGTCAGGAATTTAGAAGATAGCCATGTCCATGCACTTCAACTTAGGAATGCTCCATTTTTTAGGTTAACATTTAGCCGCAGGTCGACCTGCGATTTGCTTGTGTCACGACGGAACCGTCGGCAATCAAGCAGAAAAACTAATATGCTCAGGTGACAAAACTGAGAAATCGTGTGATTTAAAACGGGATTTAAACCTACGACATTCTGGAACTGCGTGCCGATGCTCTCTTGACAGAACTATGTGTGTTTGAAGACTCCACAATAGAAAGCGTCATTGTCTTGGATCAAGAAGTACCACTCTGAAGCCATGACTTGTGTCATGTACGCTGAAAGTTACGAAGCTAAGTGACCTGGGAGATGGCGGGCTCGTCCCTCAAGAAGATCCAGCTGAGATCAAATTCATCAAAATATAGACCAGAATGCAAACTAACTTTATTCATTTATTTCCCCATTGTGGTTGTTAAATTCATTTCAATATTTACAATATTTACATCAGTTGATCAGAAAACGAGTCTGAACTAATGTTTAATGCGACACAACAACATTATTAATGACAACTTAGTGTACTTTCGATAAATAAACGTGTCCCCATATTTTATTATATTATGTACGAAAATGTCGATCTGTAAATTGAACGCGATGATGTTTAAAGAAGGACATGAACTTAATGAATTAAATTCAATTCGATTCAAACTCACATTTATTTCCATACCAAACGAGAAATAAGCAGATGATACACGGAGGTTTGGGGTATTATTTTAACTGTAAGTCATTACAAACAAGGTTAAAAGGCACCCAGTTCGCTTACTTCTGTTCCCTAAAAGCACGCTTTAGTCAACAGAGGACATTAGGCCAAAAAAAGTCTCCGGTTTCTGGTATGGAGCTTGCCCAAAAAGTGGTGTGGCGACGCGGCTTCTTTTTTTTTTTTACCTGATTTTTTTGCTTCAAATATCGGCTGATGACTGCAAATGGTGCCCGACTAAACTTACTGCAAATATATGGGAGTCCAGAGAGGCCACATAAAGCTTATTCTCGACCATAACCCAATCTAAAAACACGTTAAAATTTTGCAGCAGCAGGATTCCAGTCAAACCAGTGAGTTTGGCGGTTTTGAGACATCATCTTTCATTGAAAAAAAACCTTTTTCATTTTGCCGACGCGCATGGCTACGGCGACGCGCGCGCATACCAGAAACCGGAGACTTTTTTTTTTGGCCTTATACAACGCCTGAATAATCCCCGTCATCTGATTGGTGGGTCGTTGATCACGTGCCATTAAAAACTCATCACTCCCCTACTGGAAATGTGTTTGTCATATATATAAAAGACCATGGTTGACGGGTTTAACAGATATTGGGCTTCCCACTGTGACATCCAGCCCCCCCCCACCCTATTTTGAGAACCCTGGCTACGCCTCTTGAATTGAAGTTACACTGTCACTGTTCATAGTAATACAAATGGAAAGAATAATTTCATTCGGTGACGGATGGAATGTTGATTCCACTCGGCTTCGCCTCGTAGAACCTCATGACATTATTCTTACCATTGCACTCAAAAACATTCATCTAGTCTTGTTTACTATGTCCAATTTGCAGGGGAGGGGGCACCTGGATCCTTTTTTAACTGGGCAATCAATTTATGTTGAAAAGCTGTTAGTATTCCTCCACATTCCTAGAAGGGAAAAGAGGGGAAGTAGGCCCTCAACGCCGCGAACTAGGGGGGACTTAGGCTCCATGTACGTCAGTGGCGTATCCAGCGGGGTGGGGGGGGGGGCAATTTGCCAATTTTTTTGTCAGCAACGATTAACAGAAATGTTTATAGAGTTCTTCTGACAGCATTCCCACAAAAGAAAACCCTTTAAATCACCGTTACAATGAGCCGTGAAAATGTCCATATACTATGTAGTATGCATAATAATGGTCAGTTTTGAAGAGCGCCCCCATTTGTGATTTTACGGAGGCCAAGTGTCCGGAGAAAAAAACGTGTACATTTCGGCGCGGAGGTGCGGTTGCCCCCCCGACATCAAAAGCTGGATACGCTGCTGATGTACGTCCATTAATGTCATTTTTTTCCTTCGAGGAGGAGGCCGGGAGTGAAAGAATGCCCTTTGGGCCAGGTAGAAGTAAAAAAAAACCCCATTTCGCGTTTTCCGTTGTTTTGCAGTGACATACAGTGTACATTCATAATTGGACGCAAATGATGAAATTCTTTTAATACAACATCAATAACTGACACCAGAGGGCGAGTGAATGGGTTGTAGGGTCAAAATATGATAACCAAAATGAATGAAGTCATCAGCGTCTGCAACTTGCAACCTCCCAATTTTTCAAAATATTTATTTTATCAAAATACCCAAAATGGAGTGGTGTACTGGTATGTTGATATCTTCATTCATCATCATCATTCTCGTAATCAATTATGGGGGACGTTGAGCCCCAAACCAACCGATCAGATGCAGACTGCCGTATGCATGCTTGGTAATAAAAAAAACGAAGAGAAATAAGTTCAACTCAAAGTGTGCAAAAACGAACACAGGTATAAAGACCCCCTTACTTAAAAAATATGAATACAACCGTTCTAAATTCTACAAAATAGTGAGGGAAAATAAAGTACATTTTTGCAGTTGACAACATTGCCTTAAAATAGCAAAAGTCGACATTTAGCAATTGAGATTGGAACATTTTGACTGGATACACTAGTAATAGGCTAGACACCCCACATGCCAACAAAATAACACCTTAAACCACCCATTTGTCAATCAAACCCTCACTCGTGTCATTGACCAGCCACATCCCTGCTTCCCGGAATCTGTCTACTTTGGCCTTATGTCCGCGGATACCTGCAGCGTGCATCACCACTGCCGAGTGGTTCTTGTTGTGGGCTAGCGATGCGTAAAACCCGGTTCCCCACGGGAAGAGATTGCTGTCTAGGGACTTAACCTTGACTTGAACAGGTTTGCCGTCACGAATCAGATTATTCATGAACACTTGATCGGGCATGGTATGCCCCCCTTCTCGATTGGCGTCTCGCTTGGCGGCCATTTGCCGAATCCACGCTTTGACGAACTGGAGCGTCACCTTCGTCGGCTTAAAATGAACGAAACCGGCACAGAAATTCACCCTTGGCGGGCTGTGCATGGGCGGACAGTTGGTGTCCTGAGCGTCCAAGTCGACCATGTACATGTCAAACTCGCCGTGGAAATAAGGAAGGGGATCTCCGAACCAATAAGTGTCGGTGTCAGTAAACAGTACCTCCAAGGCCTGTTCCAGCAGGGCAAGGATGTAGGCCTGGCGTTTGTTGAAGAGTCCATAGTACCCGTGGCGAGTGTGAATGGTGAGTTCCGTCCCTCCCGTTTCTCCAGAGTTGGTCATGCGCACATGTATTCCTGGGTCGTCTTGGAGCAATTGGTGCAGGTACTCGTACACCCTCCGGTCCTCGGCGATGATGGTGGTGTTCACGCACAGCCTGATCCGTCGGATGCTCTCCAACATGTTCAGGGTCATGTCCAGGAAGGCGGTATTGGTCGTGGCGAGTATCATGACACCGGGTCTCCGAGCACGGATGTCGGCCGGGGTACAGTCAGATAGTCGACCGCGGGTCTCCGTGATGCGACCACCGATCGCTTCGCCCGATGGCGACTTCCGCAGGTCATTTTCGTCCCACTCGTCGGCGCCACCACCTGATAAATTGATAGACGGTTCGAGGACAGTGACCGTCTGGTAATAATCTGCAAGGGCAAAAATCGCGTTTAATGTCGATAATAGTTTGGACGTCCAACCTTCTTAATCATGTTTGTTTGAAGTATGATTATGAATTTGAGTAATTTTTGACTTCGATACTCAACGACAAAGTGCCACGCTTTAATTAGGAGATTTCTATCGCCAATTCCATCACGGGACCTTTGGTTATGTCTCTTAAAAATATCTACTTTAAGTGTTCTGTCCATACTTATAGGCAATATTAACAGACTGTTCAAGAAAGAGGACATGCATGTATCCTTATTTGAACTGCATTATCTGAAAGGGAAAATAGTAGAGTAAGAACTTACTGCTGATGGAAATGATGAACGACGATAACAGCAATAAGCTCAGGAATTTAAACAGTGTAGTTAGCGCCATCTCCTCAGGTAGGATGACCTTCAGCAACGAAACAAAATGACACAAAATATCGTCAGTGCGTTCAATTTTCCTTCTCTGCATTTATACAAGGTGAGTAAAAAAAACCCGAAACTCAAATGTCGGGACCATTTTTGTTAGTAAAGTTCGGCATGTAGCACTTTTAAAATCTAGGATATGAAAGCCCAATTCATAAGCTTTCTTTTAGTATAAGAATTATTCAAATCACTCATGGACTTTTCATGTTACGGAATTTTAAACACAAACAACGTTATGAAGTTCTGTCCACGGATCACAAAAAAGTAAGAGTTCTTTCAGCAAAAAAACCCCAATTCTCATAGGGATGTGTGTGAACTGTTTGCGTTTAGCCGAAAGAACACTCATCTTTTTTTGTGATCCGTAGACAGAACTTTAAAACGGTGTTTGTGTGCAAAATTCCGTACCTTGAAAAGTACATGAGTGATTTGAATGATTCTTGTACTGAAATAAAACTCATTGATTGGGCTTCCATATCCTACATTTTGAAAGTGCTACATGCAGAACTTCACACACAAAATATGGTCCCGACACTTGGGTCTCGTTTTTTTTTTACTTACACTGTATAACAAATTTAAACACTGAAAACGAAACATTTTTTAGTCTCGGTTGTATTTTAGATGAAACAGTGAAGCTGGAATACTGGACAAGTTAGTACTAAAAAAACCCAATGAAATTACTCTTTTTTTCAGCGAAGTGCTTTTACTTTGTTCAAAATGTGCTCATAGGGATTCTATATGATATTTTGGCGATATTTGGTAAAATATTACTTTAATATCGAAGTATCCAGTATGTAGATATATAGTAGGCCTATACTTGCAGTCAATAACACAATATGTAACACCTTTGAGGGTCTTGCCTAGTAGAACGTCAAAATTTGCGGCGGTGGATTTTTTTATAGCAAAAATGCCAGATGATTTTCCTATCAGAAAAAGGGTTTTATTTGAAGAAACTTACTCGCTGAGAGTTGCTAAGCTATTACTACCAGTGCTTCTCTTCCGTAGTTCTCTCGTCATTGGCTTCCAAGTGCACGAGTTGTTACCAGAATGAGATACATGAGTCGAGTAGCTTCGCAGCAGAATGTATTGGTGACTCCACAGATGATTGTATCTGGAACATCGACTTTATTTATTTCAGAGGCGTTGCAATCAACTGTGGTGCAAGCACCTGTGTATACTTTCAATTTCTGTTGATTTATATTTGAATAAAGGGAACCGTTTTGAATCGGTGTAGCATATTACCATGCCAACGGTTTACCACTGTGAAGCAACCGTATAGAAAGTGGTATTTTCGATCAAGATAGTTAAATAATTAACCACGCAGCTGCAACATGGGTCAGTTCCGACGTTTATTTCCATACCAAATGAGAAATACAAGCAAATGATACACGGAGGTTTATGGTATGTTTTAAAACTGTAAGTCGGCCATTACAAACAAGGCTAAAAGCCTCTCAAGGCCAAAGGCTATCGAAAAAGGAACATAGTTCGCTTACTCCTGTTCCCTAAAAGCCTGCTTAGTCAAAAGAGGACATTATACAACGCCTGAATAATCCCCGTCATCTGATTGGTGGGTCATTGATCACGTGCCATAGAAAACTCATCACTTCCCCACTGGAAATTTGTTCGTCCTATATAAATCATAACAGATATTGGGCTTCCACTGTAACATCCAGCCCCCAGGGAGGAGGGGAGTAAAAGAATGCCCCTTTGGGCCAGGTAGAAGTAAAACATAGCCCATTTCGCGTTTTTCCGTTGTTTTGCAGTGACATAAAGTCTATATTCATAATTGGACGTAAATGATGAAAAAAAAATCCAACATCTAATTCTTTTAAATAAAACATCAATAACTGACACCAGAGGGCAAGTGACTGGATTTTAGGGTCAAAATATGATAGCCAAAATGGTTGAAGTCATCAGCGTCTGCAACCTGCAACCTCCCAATTTTTCAAAATATTTGTTTTATCAAAACACTCAAATGGAGTGGTCTACTGGTATGATGGGGATGATGATGATGATGATATCAACATCATCCCCATCATCATCATCATCATCATCATCATCATCATTCTCGTAATTCATCATGGGGGACGTTGAGCCCCAAACCAAGCGATCAAATGCAGACTGCCACATGTTTGCTAATAAAAAACGAAGAGAAATAAGTTCAACTCAAAGTGTGCAAAAACGAACACAGTTATAAAGGCCCCGTACTTAAAAAATATATGCATACAACTGTTCTAACCTCTACAAAATTAAGTGAGGGAAAAAAGGACATTTCTACAGTGGAGAACATTGCCTTAAAATAGCAAAAGTCGACATTTAGCAATTGAGATTGGAACATTTTGACTGGATACACTAGTTATAGGCTAGACACCCCACCCCACATGCCAACAAAATAACACCTTAAACCACCCATTTGTCAATCAAACCCTCACTCGTGTCATTGACCAGCCACATCCCTGCTTCCCGGAATCTGTCCACTTTGGCCTTGTGTCCGTGGATAGCTGCAGCGTGCATCACTACTGCCGAGTGGTTCTTGTTTTGGGCCAGCGATGCGTAAAACCCGGCTCCCCACGGGAAGAGATTGCTGTCTAGGGACTTAACCTTGACTTGAACAGGTTTGCCGTCACGAATTAGATTATTCATGAACACTTGATCGGGTATAGTATGCCCCCCGTCTCGATTGGCGTCTCGATTGGCGGCCATTTGCCGAATCCACGCTTTGACGAACTGGAGCGTCGCCTTCGTCGGCTTAAAATGGACGAAACCGGCACAGAAATTCACCCTCGGTGGGCTGTTGGGCGGACGGTTGGTTTCCTGAGCGTCCAAGTCGACCATGTACATGTCAAACTCCCCGTGGAAGTAAGGAAGGGGATCTCCGAACCAATAAGTGTCGGTGTCAGTAAACAGTACCTCCAAGCCCTGTTCCAGCAGGGTAAGGATGTAGGCCTGGCGTTTGTTGCAGAGTCCATAGTACCCGTGGCGATTGTGAATGGTGAGTTCCGTCCCTCCCGTTTCTCCAGAGTTGGTCATGCGCACGTGTATTCCTGGGTCGTCTTGGAGCAATTGGTGCAGGTACTCGTACACCCTCCGGTCCTCGGCGATGATGGTGGTGTTCACGCACAGCCTGATCCGTCGGATGCTCTCCAACATGTTCAGGGTCATGTCCAGGAAGGCGGTGTTGGTCGTGGCGAGTATCATGACACCGGGTCTCCGAGCACGGATGTCGGCCGGGGTACAGTCAGATAATCGACCGCGGGTCTCCGTGATGCGACCACCGATCGCTTCGCCCGATGGCGACTTCCGCAGGTCATTTTCGTCCCACTCGTCGGCGCCACCACCTGATAAATTGATAGACGGGTCGAGGACTGTGACCGTCTGGTAATAATCTGCACGGAAAAAAATCGCGTTTAATGTCAATGATAATGTTGACTTCCAACATACTTAATCATTACATAGGGTGTCCCAAAAACCACTTTCTCCAAGCCCCATCTTTTTTTACACCTTAAAAGAAATACATCGCACATATGGATACCAGTTTGGAGAGAAATAGTTCATTAGCTATTCAACAACGAAAAATCTTTCCAATCGGGTAAATATTATTGAATTATCACCAATTAAAAAAAGGGCTGATTTTTTACTTTGTCCCCGGTCTCCATTATTTTATGAGGGACGTAATGGATTTAGGGTGAGGGTAGTTTTTGCTTTCGTAAATTTTTAATCGTTCTTTATTTGGTTCTTTGTTATTTTTCATTTTTTTTGCAACATTTATCATTTCTCCTTTTGGAAGAAATGTTGAAATGGTAGGCCTAGTCCTGGAAAGGACTGTTTCGTTAACTTCTTAGATGTTTACTGTGCTGCTCTGCCTCTGCCGTGTACTTGGTAGCCTTTTTCAATGATGCGAGTTTTGGCCGTGTTCGACATTCCAAATAAAAAAGCGGTACTTGTTTTTAATTCGCAATAACTCAATAAATAATTACCCGATTGTGGAAAGATTTTCTTTCGGTGTTGAAAAGCTAATGAAATTATACTCTCTAAATATGCATCGATTTTTGCGATGTATTTTTAAAAGCTGTAAAAAAAGACGGGGCTTTAAAGGGAATATACATCATTTGCTTTTGCTGTAATTTTCAGAAATGGATGGAATTGGGGGGTTGGAAATATATAGCTAATATAGTTACACTGACTTTTTTGAGGTTTTGGGTTCAAAAATGCTATAAAAACCAAGAAAAACAATCATTTTCCTGTAATCTGGTTCCCTGACTCCATTTAAGAAGAAACAGAGCAGTTTACATACATTGGGGAATTGTAAGGTCAGGGAACCAGTCTAGCTGGCTTGTACCCGTTCATAGGTGTGTAATCGATTGCAAACAAGTGCGATGGTCAATTGGGGCCAGTATTTGAAAAAAAGCCAGTTTTTTCCAACGCTGATCGGCCGATCAGCGTTGGAAATTGATACAAAAATACCACTTTTCTTGAAAATGACAGTATACCAGGTGCCATGATTTTACAGGATGCTTTACACTGTCATTGACTAACAGCCCAGCAAGGTATTGCAAAATGATTTGGTAGTTTTATTTTTTGATGTTTGCAAATGTTGTATTTTCCCTTTAAGTGTTATTTTTGGGGGGACACCTTGTATGCTTGATGATATATCAATTTGAGTAAACTTTGAATTCGATTCCCAACGAAAACGTGTTGCACTTTTATAAGGAGACGTCTATCGCCAATTTTATCAATGAGAGTTTGATTATAAACAATATCGACTTTAAAAGCTTTACTATCAAACTAAGTACAGTGTTCTGTCCAGTACTAACAGAAAATGAAAATGACTAGATTTTGAAAAGAAAAGAGCCGAAATATCATAATTTGAGCCGTATTATCTGGAAGGGAAACAGTAGATCGAACTTACTGATGATGGAAATGATGAACGACGATAACAGCGATAAGATCAGGAATTTAAACAGTGTAGTTAGCGCCATCTCCTCAGGTAGGATGACCTTCAGCAACGAAACAAATGACACAAAATATCGTCAGTTCATTCGATTTCAATAAGGTCTGCATTTATCACATTTGTAAACACTGGAAACGAGAGATTTTCTCGTTATACTTGCAATTTAGTTCAAACGGAAACGCTGGTATATATGAACAAGTTAGACTAAAAACAAAAGCCAGAGAAAGTACTTTGTTTCTTTTAAAGTGCTTTTACGTCGTTCCAACTGTGTCCACACTCCACATGTACTCTTTATCACATTAAAATATTTATAATTCCAGATTTCATGCTGCGGAGAATTTTTTGGCGAAATGCCTTATGAATATTCCCATCACAAAAAAAGGTTGAATTGGAATTGACTTACTCACTGGGCGTTACTTAGCTCTTAGTACATGTACCAGTGTTTTTTCTTGCGTGGTTCTCTCGTCGTGAGCTTTCAAGTGCATTGAGTTGTTACCAGCATGAGTGTCTAGCTTTGCAGCAAAATGCATTGGTAACTCCACAACGGGCTCTATCTGGAACACATGTATATTAATTTCAGAGGTCTTGCAAGCCACTATATATAATGCAAGCATGTGTGTATACTTTCGATTTTCTGTTGATATAATTTTGAACAAATGGAACCTTTTTGAATCGGTGTAGTATATCACCATGCCAACGGTTCACCACTGTGAAGCAACCGTATAGAAAGTGGAATTCTCGATCAAGATAAGTAAATAATTTACCATGCAGCTGCAACATGGGTCAGTTCCGACGTGGATGAAAACGTTCATTGTTAGAATAACTTTCAAAATTAATTTACTTTTTTTTAAAAAGTGGCTCGCGCGGTCGCGTCACCTAACGGCCAGACAGCAAAGACTTCTGATGAAGGGAAACGATGTTGCTCCAAACGTCAAGAAAAAAAACTAAGTTAATTTGATTGTGTAAAAAATAACGTATTACTCGAAAAAAATGTGGGAGCACGGAAACATGCGTACGGAAAATTCAGTGGTGTACTGAATACCACTACACAAAGTATCGCTGACAGTGGATGAGCAAAATAGGCATATTTGTGACGTCAAACAAATATTATGGCAATAAATACTCGTAGAAAGCCTATACCCGCTTTGACAACAGGTGGCCAAGTAGAGTATTGTATTTACCTTAACAAACAGAACAGTAACGCCACGTGTTATTTTAGTGATGATTTTTAAAGTTGATTTTACACGTAGTTTGCGGAAAAACTGACACGTAATTATAACCTTTGACCTATAGGTAGAAATTTCAATCTGAACAGGATATAGACTACTTTAAGCATTAAATCTATTACATGTACACACCACCCAGCCTTTAGTTATATTGGCCGTCAAAAGCCGCGGATGCCAGTATTTGCCGTCGATCTAAATTACAAAACCGAAGGCAAAGAAACAAATGACAAGATTAAAGGTTATAACATATTGTTTCCCAATGTCCTTGTTACCATTTTTTTTTTTACATTACCGGTACTTCAAATAACCGCATTTGCATTCGTCATAACCAGCCATCCAGCCTCACATTCTACAAAGAAACAGAACATGTCAGGGTCTCGGCCATGAAATGCAAACTTCTGACTGGGCCATTTTATCAAATACTCCTGGAACTAAAAGCACCCCCCCCAACAAAAAAAAATCATCTGATGAAACACAAACTGTCTATCATGTATTATTATGTCAAGGTCGGTACATGGCATAAATCTTTATTCAACAATTATACTTTACACAACGTCCTCATTTCGTTGTTTGTACAAATAAACACAATTCCAAACTATTTTAAAACAAGTTTATCAATACGTCATGTGCAAATTATTATGAACAAGCAACAATGAATACAGTCCCCAAGAAAAATTTAACGAGTGGTTTTACCCAAAACATATTCATTTTATTGAATGTGGGCTTCAATCTCCAAGGGATGGGACCGAAAAATTAAAGTTAAACTGTCTTATAAAAAGCCCGCTGATCTTGTTCCCATTGGTTGTGTGCCCTCTGTACCAGCACCCTGCCTGCCGTCAAATGGCCATGTTCTTTTACGAATAATCCTACTTTATACAATGCTTGAATAAATCCCGTCATCTGATTGGTGGGTCGTCATTGATCACGTGTCAATGAATTATTACATGGAGATCAGTGGTCCCAACCCAAAGCCCGGCCGCACCGCAAAAATAAAAGTTCCATTGCACGTCACACTAATTACCAATCATATGATTTATTCACGCGTTTGTCTTCACAAATGTATGTTTCCCATTCGTGCAATGGAAGGAATAATTTCATTCAGTAACAGACTGAATGTTTCATTCCACTCGGCTGAAACATTCCACCTGTCACCTCATGAAATTATTCTTACCATTGCACTCATAAACATTCATCATTTGTATAGCATCCTTCATATGGATACATTTGACAGCCTTTAGTTTTAAAGGCAGTTGGCAAGCCTGTTCCAAAACGAAGACACAGCACAGATTCAGCACCAGAGCACTTGAATAACAGGTTCCATTTGGACATACAATGTAGATTTGGGCAATTCCAGCGCTTCAGAGCCCAGTGAATAAACATAAAAATATATTGTTTTTTTTTTCAAATCTTACACATCCATCCTCTAGTACTGGTCAAGGAGATTACAGACGAGGAGTTTTGGATCATTTCTCTGAATCATTAATTAGATATCGTGGTTAACTGGCTCTGTCACGAACATAACTCTTCCTTTCATAACGCTGAAAAATTGCCCATTTTCTAATGATTTTTCCTTTACACGTTTAGGATATGTACGATTTTTATTTTTTGTACGAGCCACTTTGGTCCTTGGGTAGTCTCCAGTTAAAAAAGTAAGATTAGGCCAAAAAAAAAATAAGTCGGTCTCTGGTCAGCGCGCGTCGATTTTAATCATGCGCGTCAATCTTCTTTTTTTTTCCCAAAATGTTCCGCGGTAGCTCCAACAGCGCCCTCTATTGCCGCACCTCCTCAATTTTTTTTTACCAAAGAGCACCAAGGAATGGGAAATTGCACCAAGGCAAATGATCGAGAGCACCAAGGCAAATTATGGAGGACACCAATGTACATGAGGACACCAAATAGCAAAATAGTACCCCACCTTGTCTGTACAATCAAAGCTTTGAAGAAAAAAAAAAAAAGCCAAAAAAAAGAGCCGCGTCCCCGCGTCAATTCCGGAACTTTGGTCTGACCAGAGACCGAATATACGTTTAATGTTTGTTACATTGATGCCAAATATACAAACTGCATTCATTCTGCTTCCATTGATATTATCACGTCACACTGAACGATTGTTATAAAAGTAAAAGTCTGAACAATATTGAAATAGGGCAATACCAACCTCGTCCCCAGGGTGTCGAGCAGTACGCACCCACCACTACCTGCTCTCTCACCCTGGTATTGGATCATTTGCATGTGCAAGATTTTTGAACACGTATGCAAATTAGGAGTAGTCTGGTGCCTGCCTGTGCGTTACATTTGCGTTTGTTTTTGTATGCGGTGTCTGGGGTAAAAACAGAATCAATTCGTCGCAGCGCGAGCATGGCGTGAGTTTCGAAAACATGATTTTATTTTAATTAAACTGTTGCGATCTTAACGAGACAACAGGCAGTATCACATTTCATATTAATATTAACAAACTGGAAAGGAAATGAATATTTTCGAGAAGGCGTGGACGAATGATCGCGAAAACACGTACTGCACGTTGTGAATAACAACACCAAGTACACGATATAAATCCATTTCTAGCCAATTGCGGTATCGAACCGAATCAGGATGCAGGAAGGAAGTTTCCTATCCAGGGTTTACTATTGGAAACAACGTTGGAAATAAAGTAAGCACTGGGGACGAGGTTGGGGCAATACCTGTTACGTTTAAAATGGATTTTAAGTGATTTTTTTGCTATTAACATCATTCGCTCGTACCCCCCGCCCTGCAAACAGGACGCTGGGATACTCTGATGAATTCAAGCTCTGATTGGTTGGATTTTGCGCGACCAGTGACCTGCGCGTCATCAAGGTCATGACTCTGCAAGGTTTGAAACGGCCGTTAAGACTGATTCATTACTCTTCTATTCCATTTTAGAGATGTTTTTTTCTCGTTGGAAAGCGTAATAATGTAGGAAATTCTGTAAAACGTATCTGTGATATAAATTTACCATTCCCGTCACTCGCTCAGGCTCCGTTTCGAATCACGAACGGTCGGATTGCATTATGCGACGCTCAAAATGTTGTCCACATGTTCCGCAATGAAACAGAAATCACATCCGGTATGGAATGCGCGCAATTCTATGATTGGAAGTTTTCGGATAGCATTTGCGCACATTGTCTAACTGCGGTCTTGAACAGCTGCAGCAGATGCTTTATACATAGGTCATAGGCCACTTCCTTCACAAGATTCTGTGAAGCTCATCAGAGTATCCCAGCGTCCTGTTTGCAGGGCGGGGGGTACGGGCGAATTAACATCAATACTTTTTTTCTGACGACTGAGGGCGCCGTTACTATGAATTTCGTTTGAACCAAAAGCGCTGAACATGTTCAGATGAACTAACTGTGATGTCACTTTAAACACACGCTTTACAGTGTAGAGGTTTTCTGAATTGTTTTTGTCAAAGATGAACCAAATGATGAAGGTCACTGTGTGCTGAATCAACACACACATGTAAACCAGATATGAATGACAGCAGCTGTAAAGCTTTGTCTGTAACAGACTTTACGTCTACGGCTATCCAGGTGATCATCAACTACAAAAAAAATCTAGTCGTAGACACAATATACCCGAATATTGAAATATGAACAGTAACCCTGGAGCTATAGACTCCTTGCGCGGTGCGCCCTCACTGACGGATGTTTTGATATTCAAACTCAGTGTCAATGAATACTCAAGTGTATACTTATGTGTTTCAGGGGAACAAAGACATGCCCTCAGTTGAGACGTCAAATGCAACAGGTCTATGCTTCCTAAGATCACCTTAGAGATGGCTACTGAGTGAAGATTTAAATGAAGTTAAATTGGACACACTTCGAATTAAACCCCGTTCTCGAGTGACCGGCGAAGTGTTAATGTTCTCGCGTTGCCGATTTCTACACCCGAGTGCGTGTGGAATGCAGCTGGGCGAACATTTGAGGATGGCAGCCGCCATATTAAAACGCCGAATGAATGATCTTACGAAAATAATTCAAACCCGGAACAGCTAAAATAATTGGCAAAGATAAGCCCATTCTATGACCACGTGCAATTTTATTTGTCATCATTACTGCTCCAGCACTGAATATTGCTTTCAATTTTATGCACAAAAAGTGAACGCAAGTTGCGGTATAGGGTAGGGACCTTAGTCCGCCATCTTTGTTCATAACGTTCTTCATCTACTCCCCAATAACTTAAGTGGGGAGCGAGAATCTTGTTCGCGAAGCTTGTTCGCGTGTTGGCGTATTGGTTCCCGTCATTCGGAACCCCATTCTCGTGTTCATTCAACACGAGAACGGGATTTCGAATACGCCCTTTGCGTAGCGGCCATCTTAGAGGGCATCTTTTGTTATTTAACAGTGAATGTGCCAAAGGTTCGCCCATGCATATCAGGGGCGTAGCAAGGTTATTTTGATGGGGGGGGGGGGGGGGGTTACATTTTCGCTACTGCAGACACGTTTTTTTTCTCCGTACACTAACTTGGCCTCCATAAAATAAAAAAGCGGGGGTGGGTGGTGTTACCATCTATCGATGGGGGCGCTGTTCAAAACAGACGATTATGCACACTAACGGACAATATATGGTGTTTTCAGGGCAATACATGCACCAAATTCAAACAAAGGCACCCCTAACGGCCGCTGGCACAAAAAAAGGCCATGACTTTAAAAAAGGGCATTTGTTCCGAAAAAAAGGCACTTTTTAACACAAGAAGAGCATTCTTTACAAATATTGGGGGGAGGGGGGGGGGAGCGCGGTTAAAAAAGGGCATTTGAATGTAAAAGGCAGTCTTTACAAAATATTGGGGGAGGGGGGTAAATACCCACCTTACCCCCCGCTGGCTACGCCTATGCATATCCAAGCAAAACAAACGCATTGCCCTCTCAGATGCTTGCTATCGCATAAGGTCTATACGCTGAAAGAGAGCGCTGTGGACAACCTGCAACAAATTCGATCAGGCCACAGATTGAAACTATTTTAGCTACAAACGCTTTTTTCAGAGATCAAAAAATAAATCAATACCACTTCAGAAAATAAAATTTGTTTGTCTTACAATTCAAAACTTTGAATTCAATACAATAAATTTTACACTGCAAAGAGCTTAATGAATAAAATTGTTTACAGACAACATTTCGAATAAGAACAGCATACTTGAAATCAATGGAAAGTAATGAGTAAACCGAACAACAGAATACAGTATACTTATATCCGAACCCCCTACGTTTTTTTTGTAGGAAACTTCCCGAATCCAACAATCAAACACTGTGCAGTAATCCAATGGCATTCTATACTTGGACCACTAATCTCCATATAAAAATCTGGACAGCCCTTTGGCTGTTGGGAGCGAAGTCACCGTCCACTATGTTATCACTCCACCAACAATAGAATGTATAGAAAGATATCTAATTTAATTGACATGAATTGTACACTCTTCACTCAACAAATTCTTGTTTTGTTTCCAAAAAAATAAAATAAAACAAAATCAAAATTATACTTTTTAAATAAAATTCCTGTTTAGAATTTTTGTTTTTAACATACTTTAAGACGATTCTAGTTTAATTATTTTGAACAATGGCAGTGGTTGAGGCTGGTTCTATTGTAGTGTTTTTTTTTCAAATCGAGCTCCGGAGCTCAGTCAAGCGGATGGAATAAAGCCGTCCGTGGACAACAGGTTTGGCACATGAAATGTTTCAACTACCAAATCTCACAGACAAAATATGCATTTGCAATCATTTTTTTCGTCACTTATGTTTACAGATCAATATTTTTAATACCATCCATGTATGCTCAACAAGTAAGTAAAAATTGCTGTCAAAAAGAGGGTTTCCTTCTTTTTGCTCCACCCTGTAGAATATGTCCAAACCAGGTTTTTGTTTTTCAGATGTGATTTACAAGACGTTTAAATACAAATACATGTACGTCCCTATCCAGATGCAAGAAAATCCTTTTACTCATACTAATCTACTTACTTCTCCTAAATGAAAACTTTCTGGATCTAAATGGCACAATAGAACGTACAATTTCATCTGCAATCTAAACACTTTATCAAAGTCAAAAAATATACATTTTTATAATATCAAATCACTAAGTCAAAGAAATACTGCCCAATGCATGTATCCTCTATCCATAAAAAATGATTATGGTAATATTGGTAGCCTTTCCATTTTCACAATGGAAATAATTATGCGACAGAATGATGTCACACTTTATAAAAAAAAAGTTTTATAGAAGTACGGGTGCAACGCGGTGACTAGGGAGATTGTATTCCTTCCATACTAAAGCAGAAATGTAATAAAAGCGTGATTGTGTTGTGCCCATTCTTGAAAATCACGCATTCTCGAGAATGGGCATGCACATTCTTGAGAATGTGCAACTGGATCCTTGCTCAATCTTGGCAAAAAATAACTCTTCCAGATTGAGCGCACATTCTTGAGAATGCGCGACAAGATAACGGTCTTGTCGATGCCGAGCACCGGCTGCGCTTGGCAAGTCTAGCTGAATCCTCGTTCACTGATTCTCAATAATTATACTGTTGCAACGCAAGGCGCTGAAAAGTAGAGTGGATATGATAAGTAAAGGCGTATTGATATGGGGGGGGGGGGGACCGGGAAAATATAAGAGACATAATAATACTAGTGCAAAGAATTCAGATTTTTGGGATAATAAAAGCGGGGGGGGGGGGGGGGGGACGTAAGAATGAAGAATGTGAAGAATGAGAATGAATACTGTGACATCCCATAGTGCTAATGCTATTTCCCATTTAAATTGCCACCAATTTATTGTTCACATCCCACCATAACGTCGCAGAGCTGGATTCTATCTAGTTAAAAGAGCAATTTTGGCAGCTTCTGGACATCGTTTTTTTTTCGTGGCACGCATATGATACATGCAGGGACTTGTAACTTGTCTAGCCTAAACAAAGCACTTCCCAGACTAGTTCCCAGTCCTCCGTTATTACAAAACTTCCCATAGTGGGCAGAAAAAAGCAATAATAACAGGTTTAATTTGATTCAAATTATCGTAGTTATACGAGTACAGAAGCATAGCACATTTTCTTTCCTCTTTATATGAATTGTTTCCCTTTTAACCGCTATACAATTCATTTAACATAATTATGTCGTGCAATGTTTGTTAAGATTGGGCAAAATTCATAAATTGTGCACGTGATATTCCCACCCAATCTTAAGAATGAGCGCTCATTCTTAAGAACGCGTGCTCGTTCTTAAGAATGGGCGCTCATTCTTAAGAATGCGCGCCCATTCTCGAGAATGTGCATGCCCATTCTCGAGAATGCGTGATTTTCAAGAATGGGCACAACAATATCATTAAGTCATAGTCTGCAATGTTAAGGCGGGTTTGGGCAATAATACAGTGTACATGGACAATTATTCAATGGCGGATGTAGCTTTCTGAAAATGCATGGAGATGGGGGCGGGGATATAGGTGAATGCGTGCCCCTGATATAGGGGGTCTGGCTGCATGCCCCTTCCACCATTTTTCAGGCAATTTGAGAATAAATTTAGGAACTTTAAGTCAAATTTCATTATTTTGCCCCATTTTACTAGTATTTTTAAAAACAAATACTGCAGTTTAAACTTGCGTGATCCCCCCCGGCATGCTGGCAGTATTTATACATAGTTGGTAAGCAAACTTTTCAGTTGACCACACCAAAACAACAATGACCACATTTGAAACCTAGATGACCTTTGACCTCAACTGTATTAAGTCATTTGAAGTCCCCCTACCCAAAGTTTATTGTCACCAAGTTTGGTTGAAAGAGAAGTATGACTTGTCATACAACAGCACTTTTCAGCTTCACTAAACAAAAACAACAATGACCTCATTTGACCCCTAGATAACCTTTGACCTCGAATGTCTCAAATCATATGAAGTCCCCCTACATTATTGTCACTGGTCACTGGGTTTGGTTGAGATTGAAGTCTGACTCTTCATAAGACAGCGCTAAACAGTTAACCTACATGTAACCAAAATGGAACACACAGACACACCGACAGAAGGAATGTACTATCGTAAGATCCCCCTTTCTTGGCTAAAGCCAGGGGGTAAAAATTAAACAACTTAATGGGCTAGATCTGCTGCTCAGATTACTCAAGAGTCCCAACCTGAACAATCTGAAACCTCGAACATTGAACAATAAGATGGCACTACTGTAATCAAGATAACAACTTTTTACATTAGCGAAAAAAGCTGGTGAGAATCCAACAAACCGACGCCCAAACAAAATCAATTCATGTACAACAAATGCTGTAGATGTAGATACTAAGGAAATCAAGGGGTGCTGTTTGCTCAGCACGTGGCTCATCATGCGCAGTCCATTTTTCTCGAGGCAGTGAGGCAAATATCTATCCTGTTAATGGAGGCAAAAAAGTCACCATGTGCAGGCAACCTGAGCTACGCGCTGAGCCAAAAAAATTAACTAGCCAATGAAAGCACATACTCTGTTCACATGATTTCAAGATGGCAGCCCCCAACGAAAGTGTCAGCAACGTCGTCAGCGACGACATTTTACTAGAGGTTGTTGGTTGTTTTGTGGTCAGATTTTTCTTGTTTGTCGGTTGCATGATTAAAAAAATTGTTTTGCAAAAATGATTTCAAAAATTTTTGAAATATTGTTTTGCAATTCCTTCTAATGCCTGTGGGCGCTTATCCCGATTTTTGAAATTGGGTGACCAAACGTCATACAAACAAGGATAATCTGGCCACAAATGGACCAGTTTCTCTTCTAAAATATAGTTGCCAACACTTTCGTTGGGGGCCGCCATTTTGAAATCATGTGAACAGAGTAGTATGTGCTTTCATTGGCGAGTTAATTCTTTTGGCTCACCACGTACATGTAGGTCCGGCTGCCCCGCACACGCTGAGTTATTTGTCTTGCAAGGCGAAACAAATCAAACAGGAAAGATATTTGCCTCACGGCCTCGCAAGGCAGAAAAGGCAGCAAAAATTCACCTCACATGGTGAGCTACATGTACGTTCTGAGCAAACAGCCAGGAGTGCATTTTTGCTCAGCAGATAGCTCTCGTGTGCGGCAGGCTTTAGAAAACTTCCCAGAAAAGTTCAAACCAGTATGCTCTCACTAAAAAATGAACAATCACAGTGTTTTAATACTGATGCATGTAGATCACCCACAAGACACTACACATGCTGAACTAATTAAAGATTCCACATGGGTCATCTGTCCAAAGTGTGATATTTTTTTCCCCCTGTCCATGTAACCTTCGGTTACTTTGTAATTTGCAATTCAAGTATCATTAAAAATGACTCTAAACTATTGTTTATTTGTTATTTAGGCAGTTTGCTATTCATAATCACTCTTGGAGGATGACTGCATTCAGGCCTAGGAGTGCATCAGAAAACAAAATCATAGATGTTTAAGGTAACAAGGACAGGAAAAAAAGTGGACCCCAAATTTATACTTATAACACACATGGGCTTACATTACTTCAGGACACTGTGTAGAGTATATCCCTTCGGCTACATGTATGTGTACATGTATGCTGACTGGGCGCAGATAATAAGGAAAGCAGTATATTTGTCCAGCTTTTTCAGGGTAAGGCAGAATACCAGAAAGAATATTTCTTGACGGCAACGACCCCCTGTTGCAGCACTTCAATCTCAATCATCCAGCTCAAACATGACCTCATTGCTTAAAGTTACAGCGCTCTGAGTCCTGTGATCTTGCAGTTCCAGAGGCACTTCCTCGTCCTTTTCACCGTCATTCTGGGATTTATCCTCTTGTTTCATGGACTCTGCTTCTGGTTGGGCTGGATAGTCAACTTGGTCGAGTGGTACCATTTCATCCTTTGCACTGTCATTTTGAGACTTCTCCTCTTGCTGTATAGATTCTACTTCTGGCTGGGCTAAATTCTTGATTTGGTCCTTCTTTGGAGGCTGTTTGTGATGTTTCTTTTGGGCTACGGCGGGATCCCCTGACTTGTCCTCAGTGTGGCTTATGGATGCTGGCAGACTTCCCTCAGATGAGGCAGTGCGGAGAGGATGCCTGGGCTCAAACCATGCCTCCTTCATGCCGCCGTTGTCATCGTCAAATGCCATGGCTTTCTTGGCAGCATTCATCTTCTTCCTTTGCCGCTTGTTGGCTTTGGGTTTCTTCTTCTTACTACTGTCCTGGACCACAGCTGTGCTCTCGCCCCCGCTGGAGTCACTGCTTGTCTGCCGATCCACACAAACCCATTCTGGAAAGACCACCTCCTCTAGGAATTCCTCATCTTCGTCCTCCTCCTCCTGCTGCCTTCCTTTAGCTCCGCCCCGATAGTGGACCTCGGAGTCGCTGCAGGTGCTCTGGTTCTGGGATGTATCTCGGAGCTTTGTGATGAACCGTCGGGGTCTGGGTGGCTGGTGCCTATTGTTCTTACCTTTGGTTTTGCAGGGACTGCTTCGGACCATGGTCTCCACCACGACGTCTTCGCTGAAGCTGACGGACCGCTGGGTCCTGTGGCTGTGGTTGCCGTCCTTGAGGGCGCTTCTCAGGCCAGACGGAGAGCACGGGGTGGAGGGGGTGGAGGGGCTGGAGGTGTCACTACCCGGAGATGAATCCCCATGCTGGAGATCCAGCTTGAGTGAGGCTGCGGTGGTAGACAGCTCTCCTATCACTGCATCTACCACTGTGTCTGTGACAGTGCCAAGTGCCGCGTCCGCTACCTCATCTTCTCTACCCACATCGCCGTTTGTTTTAGCCTGATAGAGGACAAAAGATGTAGTTTTCATAACTTTTCTCTTGACAATCAAGAATTCTGTCCGTCATTCAAGAGACTTTGTATAAATAACCCTTATAAGAAATAATACATGACGACAGGTATAATGTTTCCTTTCCCAATTGCTTGACCAATTACATGTCTTTAATAATTAACTGAATGTTTCCATTGTGAAGTTGGAAATATAATTAACATACTATGAGTGCACTCCCCCCAATCCCCCCCCCCCCCAAACATTCAGTTCATAATAATCTCCCAAACCTTGAAAGAAATCTTTGACAAGCTGACATTCATCAGTCATCTACACCACTGCACCGCAAATTTGTCAAGTTAAAGTAATTTCACTTTACAAGCAATGTCTTATTGTCTTTGACGGTTAATGTTCATTGCAAATTTTTGTTCAACCCCTAACCTTCCCAACTCCATCAAAATCTATCCCCATTTGGGGAAGGGGGGGGGGGGGATTATGGCAGATACGTTACGTGTACCAAGTCACTAAAAATCAATCTACCGGTATAGCAATGGTGGATTTTGTGGTGGATTTCAAGGGATTTTGTCCTGAAACTTTAATATGTCAAGCAGAGTCAGTGATGGATTTTGACGGACTTGGTACTCTACTCCGTAAACTCAGTAGGGTTAATCAACCAGTTAGGGTTAATTGTACTCTTACAATTAAGTAAAAAACAAAAAACAATATACACGTAGAATAAAAATTTCAGTCTTTGACATTGAACCAGTGCCGGGAAATGTCATTTTTAAATTAGGTCAAAGTGTTTAACCCCTTACCCCCGGGTTTTTATGCCTCACTGCACACAGGCTTACATGCATCACTGCACAGTTAGCCTATGCGCAGTAGGGGCAGGGCGGGGGGGGGTTACTGCACAGCCAACCAGCTGTACACAGAGGGCATTCCACGGCTGACCACCGCATTCCGGAGTGTGGCTATAACCATCAGCCGTTGTGAAGGGGTTAACCTTAGGAAAATCGGGCTCCATTCAAATTGGTTGTCTTCAAAAAGTAACAGTCCTACCCTCTTCCCCAACCCACAAATTGGGAATTTTTAAATTAAAGATAAGGACCTCAAAACTTAGCAGATTACCAACACTGCTTTCAATTTTTTGTTTTTCAGTTTGCATTTTTGGCCACTTTTTTTTTTCTGAAGGGGTTGGGGGGATTTCTAAATGTTACTTCATTGGACAAATTTAAATCTTAACTGCAAAAAGTTACCTCCAACTCGATGACCAGCTTATTGTTCGAAGCCTCAATGACACCGCAGTCCATGCCACTGTTGCCAGCAGACCTTGCACGTTTACCTCTGTGTTTCCTTGTCATGTCGCTCAGGTGTTCACGTACATTCTCCTCAGTCAAAAAGAGTTTAGCCTGTAGAGATTAGTGGGAAAACAAAACAACTTTTTACTATAATAATGAGCTCCGGTCCTTCGCTGGGCGCCCGGTAAGCTGGGCGTTCTACCCCGGGAGAACGGGCCTATTGTTGGGTTTAGTTAATCTCTGTCAGAACAGGAGGAACGCGGGCGCTCCCGTCAGAACGGGAAGAATCCTTTTGATCTCTGCCCTAAGCATCACAAATCGTCAAAAACCAACACCGGGGCCAAATTTCACAGACCTACTAAAATAATGTTTTGCAGATTTATGTGCTGAGCATGAATCAGCAGAAGAATTGGTCCCAAGCAAAATACATGCATACATTGTTTGAGGTGTGGCTGGTGACCCGTTTTCTGCTAGGTAAATAATGTTTGGTGCTTATCAACTGAAGTTGTCGCCAGCCTTTGATTGATTATATAACAGAGTGGGATTTGACATCCACGTTACGTACATATTGCAATGAATAAGCCACTGGTTACTGCACATTGTCTTAAATGTGGCTTCTTTGGAAAGAAATACATGTTTTCTTGAGAATGGCTCGTCTCATTTAACTATGCAAACCAACATCCCAGTAGCTTACCAAGAGGCAATTTTAAATTTAAAATTTGTAAAGCTGAAACACTTAGCTTTTAAAAGCAGAATTAATAAATACACGTGACTGTATGCTCTGGAACAATTAGGCCCTACTTTTACTTCTACACAAATTGGACTGCATTTAGACATGTACATGTATGAGGGAGTCCAACCTTTAAATACAATACAGTTTCAGCATCATACTTTGTTGTTCAAAACTGAAGAAATTACGTGCACTCTTTACAAAATTTGTCGATTCCAATTTCCGGCTCTTTTTGGTACAGCTTAACATGATTTTCAGTTACATATAATTATGTAGATATTAATTATAATCTGTAATCCTGACAGATTTATAAGTTTTCCTAATTATTAGGCCCTATATGTTTAAATGATAAGATGTAAACACTATAATAACGGAATTCAGGATGAACTCAAAGTGGAAATTCATTGGCTCTTCAAATGTTAATCATCATCGCTATAGTATAGAGTGCAAGAGGTGTGTAATTATATTCACGTATTGATCGTTCATGAGTTGATCGTTCAAAAGTTATCAACCAGGAAGCAGGCTTTTGCCCTCGAAGTGGCTGTTCACCCGCAAAGCCTAAGGCCAAAAAAAATAAGTCTCCGGTTTCTGGTATGGAGCTTGTCCAAAAAGTGGTGCGGCGACGCGGCTTTTTTTTTTTTACCTGACTTTTTTGCTTCAAATGTCGGCTGATGACTGCAAATGGTGCCTGACTAAACTCAGTGCAAATATATGGGAGTCCAGAGAGGCCACATAAAGCTTATCCTCGATCATAACCCCATCTAAAAACAAGTTAAAATTGTGCAGTAGCAGGATTCCAGTCAAACCAGTGAGTTTGGCGGTTTTGAGACATCATCTTTCATTGAAAAAAAAAAACTTTTTCATTTTGCCGACGCGCATGGCTACGGCGACGCGCGCGCATACCAGAAACCGGAAACTTTTTTTTTTTGGCCTAATGCACCATCCCCAGGATAGGTAGCGAAGCCACCTACCCAAAAAGGAGGGGGGGGGGGGGGGGCGAGGCAAAGCTTTGAATTATTATAGCTCCACCTGATAGTACTATTCGGGTCACGACTGGGTCAAAAACATCGAGGATTCAAATGCAACAATTTCACAATTTGTCAAATTCTTTTGGGGTATAAACAGACCACACATTAGGAAAGTACAGGTGTAATGTATACATCACGTACATTATGGTTTTGCAATTACTTCCGTACCCTTTGTCCCAACTTTTCACAGATTGAGACAGCAACTGCTTCCTCCTCAAACTGCAGTGTTGAAAACCACAAGCCACTAGAATTGTGCCTGCTGCAACTATCAACCAAGTTCTACATGTGCCTTACAAACCACTGAATTCTCTACATCACATTCAGAGTCATAAAGAACTGCATATTGTTAAGAGTTGACGTTGACAAAGTTTCAATGTAAAAAAAGCAAAAACACCAACTACCAGTCAGCACTAGAAACTTGTTCAACACAGAGCTATTCTTGACACAACTCTATTGTAGCTGTCGCAGGTTTGTGGGTGTGTGTGTCGTTGACCCAGCCATGTGTGACACTACGTATGACTGATGATATTGTACTTTTCCACGGATTGTGTTTGTCCGCCGGTTGTAAATCCAGCACTTCCAATCAATGCATTAACATAAACATGTAGGAAGCTCAAAGGTCATTTAGTCATATTTTGCATACTCTGTCATGCTGATATGGAAGGATAAGCTACACACAACACGTATGATGTGAATCAACAGGAAACGATTATATTGCCATAATTTTAGACTTGGACCATTTTTTATGCGTATACTTTAGAACAACTAAGCTTAAAGGGAATATACATCATTGGCTTTTGCTGTAATTTTCAGAAATGAACTATTTGAGGGGTTAGTATAATAGATCAAATATTGTTACACTGACATGTTTGAAGTTTTGTGTTCGTAAATGCTGGAAAAACCAAGAAAAACAAAACTGCTCAAGTAGTCTGCTTCCCCGACTCCACTAAATATAAAATGGATCAATTTAGAGATGCCGGAAAATTGTAATGTAAGGGTACCAGTCTAGCTGGCTTGCACCTGTTCATGAACAAGTAACCAATAGCGAACCAAATGTTGACTGAATTAATGGTGAATTTGGAGCAGTAGTTAAAAAATAGTTAGGTTTTTCCAACGGTGGTCGGAAAAATACAAAAATACCATTTTCTTGAAAATGACTTCACACCAGGTGCCATAAGTTTACAGGATGCTTTAGACTGTTATTTACCAACATCCTATTAAGGTATTTTATAAAAACTTGGTAGTTTTATTTTTCGATGTTTGCAAATGTTGTATATTCCCTTTAAAGGGCTCATGCAATGTAATATTTTTAATGGAACCTTGAAAATACAAACTTGTCTTTGTGTCCTATTTAACCTCATTTTCAATTTTCGTTTTGCCATTTTCAAGGGTATTTTGGTGCCTTTTTGACTTTTATACTGATGAATATTTCCATATTCATGAGCTAAAGTGTGATTTTATTTCAGGCAGAGACCTCAATGTTACAGCTATTTCAGCACCAAAAGTTGCCAGAATTTTGGATATTTTGCTGTCACAAATTTTCTTTTCTTTGGTGATTTGTTGTGGAACTTGTGTCAGACACAAAATGTTTTCAATGAGCAAATGTTTGGGTTCACAATTTGAACAGAAATCCCCTAAACTGAACATGCAAAAGCATGGGCAATTTTTACATATGTAAAGAGGTCCACTTTTCAATACAATTAACCAAAAAGGGATGTCAAATAGTTTTAATACATGTTAAGGGGAGTAGAAAGTTAAAAAGTTGAAAATGTGAAATTCATATTACGGCATGGAATACGCTCAATTGGGCTACAAAACGCATTTTAAACGAAATGATATTAAATGGAAAGAGCATTTTAAAGGAGAAAATAAACATCAACACAACCATCCTTTAAAAACTGGGCATTTTTGTGTAATTCTTGCGAGAATCCTGCGAGAACGAACTTCAGGGGTCACAATTTCGTCCCGAAAAATCAAGCTGTTCAGTGCTAGTTGTGACTCCAGCCATACAGTGTTGGCCTTCTGCAGACGTATAACAAACAACATTTGCGCATTGGTGCTGTGTGTAATTTGTGTGACACACACAACGTGTATCGTACATTGAATGAAAACAGCAGGAAAAATGTATGCGTACTCCGTTTTGTCCGATGTAAACAACCAGGTTTTTGTTCATTGTAAACATCCTTTTAGCAGGTTAAAGGGAATATACAACATTTGCAAACATCGAAAAATAAAACTACCAAGTTTTTACGAAATACCTTACTAGGATGTTGGTAAATGACAGTCTAAAGCATCCTGTAAAATTATGGCACCTGGTGTGAAGTCATTTTCAAGAAAATGGTATTTTGTATACATTTCCAACGGTGGTCGGCCGACCACCGTTGGAAAAACTTAACTTTTTTTCAACTACTGCTCCAACTTTACACTTTTTTTCAGTCCAAATTTTGTTTGCTATTGGTTAGATGTTCATATGAACGGGTGCAGGCCAGCTAGACTGGTTCCCTTACCTTACAATTTTCCGGCATCTATAAATTGATCCATTTTATCTTTAGTGGAGTCAAGGAACCAGACTTCTTGAACATTTTTGTTTTTCTTGGTTTTTCCAGCATTTTCGAACACAAAACTTCAAACATGTCAGTTTAACAATATTTCAGTTTAACAAATAGTTCATTTCTGAAAATTACAGCAAAAGCCAATGGTGTACATGTACATTCCCTTTAAAGGGAAAATACAACATTTGCAAACATCAAAAACTAAAACTACCAAATTGTTTTAAAATACCTTGCTGGACTGTTAGTGAATGACAGTGTAAAGCATCCTGTAAAATCATGGCACCTGGTATACTGTCATTTTCAAGAAAAGTGGTATTTTTGTATCAATTTCCAACGCTGGTCGGCCGACCAGCGTTGGAAAAAAACTGGCTTTTTTTCAAATACTGGCCCCAATTGACCATCACATTTGTTTGCAATCGATTATACACCTATGAACGGGTACAAGCCAGCTAGACTGGTTCCCTGACCTTACAATTCCCCAATGTACATAAACTGCTCTGTTTCTTCTTAAATGGAGTCAGGGAACCAGACTACAGGAACAGTATTGTTTTTCTTGGTTTTTATAGATTTCTCGAACCCAAAACTTCAAAAAAGTCAGTGTAACTATATTTGCTATGTACTACATGTACCAACCCCCCAATTCCATCCATTTCTGAAAATTACAGCAAAAGCAAATGATGTATGTATTCCCTTTAAAGCCCTTTTACTGTTATAAAAAAAAAGAATTATTTACTGCAAAACACTCCAGCATCCAATATCGATTGCTGCATGCCAATTTTAACTAGCACTCTTTGTGCAACTTTTCACCGGTGCAGCACGCAGTTGCAGCTGGCAGTTTCAAATATTGGAATATACAGTCTCCAGTAATCCAAGACTGAATTATTGGAAAAAGGACAGCCCTATACACGCTATTTGAATAAAAAACGAAGGAGACAGCCCCCCTCCCCTTTTTCTTTTCCCAATATGGTGACTTTTTTAAGACGGTGAATGGATTCTGCCATTTTTCTCGACAGTTTTACTGATGCAGAATTGTGTCCAAAGGAGCCGTCACCCTTTCTACATACATGTAGCTACAATTTTGTTAGAAACACGTAAAAAGACGATACATTGACAAAATTTGCAACATATATTGCAAACGTATGAATTAAAAGCAGACAGGGGCAAGAAAGTGGTTTATTTTTTATTTGGCCCAACAACATCCCCCAAATGAGACCCTGTTCCCTGCCAAATGGTTACGCTAAGTGTTTTGCAAATGTACTAAGCGGTTGAGTCTGACGTTCACCCTACCTCCTCGCTGTGAGATGGTTAAAGGTAAAAAATGGTCTGGCTCTTTCTGGATGAAGAGGTTTACCTCCATCTCATATAAAACTGGGACCTTGAGTACTGAAAAAACATGCAAAGCAAAACCAGGCAAACTTTACCCCCTCTTTAGCCATGTTAGCCGACAAAATTTCCCAAAATTTTCATGAGGCAAAGACGAAGTCCTTAGTATTTCATCAACCAAGTTGGAAGTCTCAATTCAATTTTTAAAGGAGACTTTTCTTCAATATTTTGTACCTGAGAAGGAAGTCAAGTGATATCAAATAGAGGCCAAAGGCTGGACTGGTACATGTCCAACCATGGTCCAACTGTTTGAAAATATTGACCTCTTCGTTAGTCTGGTGGCTGACTTTGGAGAAATGTGTAGAAATAGAGACCAGTACCAGACATGCCAGATGTTTCTTTTGGCACAGTTGATTGAAGACTAGTACTGAAGAGGTGTTGGACTGGTTGTTTCAGGTGCCAGTCTTTTTTCTTGTGTTGCATGTTTTCAATACCTTAAGTTTTACGACTCTCATATATACAGTATTAAGAGTTCCAAATTTTAGGCCTAGCTTACCTCCAAGTCACTGAGGGATGGTCCAGCCTTGAATTGAGACCATTCTCCACGGGAGGCTGATGCTTTGTGCAGGAGAAGAACGGCTTCTGTTTGTTGCACGTCCATCTCCATTCCTTCAAGTTGGCATTGGGGCTCAAACACCACACACAATGAGTAGGGCAGGGTCACTGTTTCTGTTTATCCAAAAAGAAAACAAGGGAGAAAATTTAGAGACATTTATTGTTAAACTGTTAGGTTTCAGGCTCAGTGCATGAACCCATCTTCCCAAATCCTACAAAATCCTCTTTGCAAAACGGAGGATTTTGCAGGATTAAGGTTATGGCAAAAATGTGCAGCTGATTAGGCCCCCAAAAAATTTGTTCTGCTTCCGATTACATGGCATTTGAAACTAGGGTAGGTAGGTAGAGATTTTTTTAAATTTTTTTTTGCAACTTTTTTTGTATACTATCATATGGAGGTATCTACATGTACCGGTAGTCAAGGGTAAAAGGTAGTAATTGATGATTTTCGGGGGTTTTCTCTCATTTTCCCCAAAAAATATATTGGAAGGGGCTGTCAAAATAGGTTAGGTAGGATAACCGGAAGCAGAACTATTACTTTTTTTTGCCTTATGGAGGATGCACCTGTGTCAAGATCTTGGGCCGGACCTTGTGTTATTCATGCTCAGCCGTGCACACCTTTAGCCCTAGATTATACTTGAAATCCTTCGCACTGCTCCAGGATGTCACTGGCTCTGCCTCAACACATTATTAGTGATTGCCTGTGATTTTGCAGGATTGAGGCAGTGGTCACCACTCATGGGAGGATTGAGGGTGTATGCCTTTTTTTTTTTTACATGGAGGCAGTTGAAGGATTTTGCAGGACTGAGGTTGCATCCTAGCAAGGATAGTAATCCTAGCAATCCTAGGGAGTTAGGGTTAAGAAACGTCTTTGTCTGCCGATGCATTATTATATCTGCAACGCCAGAGACGTTTTTTTTTGTTTACAGAGCAATTGTGATATTTTGACATAAAACAGAATATCAAAAGTGTGGGGAAATAAACAAATATAAGAACTCTGGCAATGTCATCGTCAACACAATATCAATTAAATACACTATAAATCTGCAGTCTTATGAGCAATTAAATGGCATATTTTGAACTGTGTAATTGCACTCAAATTAATTCCTTACATTTTTACAGTGTATTCAATCCCCCGCAAACAAAGAAGAAGCACGGGGTATATATGTTTTTAACAACTATGCCTCCAGGATAGCGGTATACATATGTTGAGCGAGTTTGTTGCTTCAAACGAGCAAAATGCACAAATTACAAATGATGGACTACACCTTTAAAGAAATTGACTGACTAAACCAAAGGCCATCATAAAACAGTATTTATAATACCTCCATTGACGATGAATTTGCTTTGGAATTTGAGTGATACTGTTGTTTTGTCATCAGAAATCTGTTTGTGAAGATTATCTGCATCTATTTTGGCCACTTGCAGAATGAACGATGCAGTTTCATCATCTTGCCTGAAGGTGTAATCTGGGCACTGTTCTGCATCACTTTCCATCTTAGTCGGAACATTTTGCGAAGCTACGCTATGTATGTCGTCGGAACTTGTGCTTTCCCTGCTCTCCTCTATGCCATTTTGCTGTGGAGTTCCTTCTTCTTGACTTGGCTGCACGTCTTGACGGTTTTGATTTTGCGTCCCTTCCTTATCATTTGCAGCTTCACTCCTAGAACAAGTTCTTGACTCATCGACCGAGTTGCTGGGGCCTTCCTCATTGGGAGAATCACCTTCATGGTTGGTTGTTTTACTTTTCACTTCACCTTCCACAGAAGTTTCACTAGGTGCTTGGTCCAGATCACCGTTCTGCTGGATTTCTTCCACAAGAGAGACATTCTGTGGCTCAGGGGCAAAGGTCGGAAGCTTCGGGATCTCTGGGGGCAGGACCGGAAGGGTGATGGTCAGGCAGGACTTGCTTTTGTCGAACTTTGCAGCTCCTTTTTCCTCATCGACAGGATAAGGAAGAACCAGATCAAGCTTGTACGATGCTGGCTTCTGACACTCCAGGACAACCTGCTTCTGGAAGACATCCAGCTGCACCGTCGCTATCGACTTCAAGAGAGGCAGCTGTATCTTGAGAACGAGTTCTTGAGGCCTGGTGGTTGGCATGGAGTCGGGAGCATTGGTGAAATGCTGCATGTCAAAATGGCCCCTATGGATGATGCTGTACTTGGGTTCAATGGGACCAGATGGGTCCTTCTTGCTGGTTGCATTGCGGGATCCTGAAATCTTTGTTGCCGACTTGGCTGGAGGATTGCTTTCTCCCTTCTGGCTCTCATCAACTCCTTTGTAAGGATAATCTATGTTGAAATCCTTCAAGGCATCGGTTTCACCCGACGGCCCAGTTTTACTTTTAGTCCGTATCACGGTTGGCCTCGGCTGTCCCTTAAATTTCAACTTGGTGAGTTTTTTCACATTTGATCGATCCAGTTTAACACCAAGATTGGATTCAATGGAATCGAGCACAGTGTCGTCCATCAGCTTCACAAATCTTTTATCTTTCTCTGCAGCTTGGAAACAATCGGGATGAAACACACAATCGTATACCATACAATTCCCCCCTCCCTTGTCAAGATCTTCTCTGGCAGGTGCAAGGCTGTGCGGCACCGACCACTGCGTGCCAACCTCGCCGTTGTCACGCCGTACATCTGTAGCAGTTGGCTTGGCCACCTTATCGCTCCTGCACACGTTGATGAACGCCTTCTGTTCCCCATTCACGTTTGTTTTGATCACGTATCCAGGCTCGGGGTGAACGAACACCACATCGGTGCCGCGATTTTTCTCCAACTGAGAAATTTCCTCCTCGTATTTCTTTCTGTTTTCGGGATCAGATATTTCTTGAGCATATTCGAAAAAGAGCTGCCTGAATTTCTCGTCTTTTAGAGCCTTGGAGATACGCTCAACTTCTTCGGGAGTCACATCCAGGTCCCCAGACGACGCCATGTTGATGTTGTATGATACGTTTGGATACAGAATTAAGTACACGCTACTAACGTTGCAATCATACAACAGTCGTTGAACAGTATCGACGCGCCATATCGCATAGTTCTTCGAAAAAGGTTCAATAGGTGGCGCACTTTCTATGTTGTTTCTAGAAACTTCGCGAGATGTCTGATTCATGAAATAGCCACAGGATTTCTTTTGGAAAATGCACCAGTTTAGCTGAGCACGGCGGCCGGTCACGCGTAGTCATTATTATTTTGCCTACACTGCGGTGCAAACCTACATTGTACAATACAATTTCCATAGCAAGTGCTAAAAGCCCATACTTCAAAATTCTTTTTAAAATACTCAGAACTCTTACAGGTATTTAAGCTGCACAGAAAAATGATAATCAAAATGTCATCTTTCATAACAAAATTCTTTTAATTTTTTGGTGGGTTGACCATTGACTTTTCGAGCAATTCTCACTCGAAGATGACCTCTATTTTTTTCCAATTAAAGCGGAAAAGTAGCCATAAAAACGATCCCTAAAACATGGCAAAATAGTGCCACTTTCGAGCCCACTGACATGAAATGGTAGAGTAACGGCGAAATTGTGAGCAGTCATTCTGTGGGTATATACACACCGGTATTAAATAAACCCATCCGCCGAGCTCTCAAAGTAGAGAGTTCTGCCAGAGCCATTGAAATTGGGGAATTGAAGAAAATGGCAAGGAATAAGTGGCCCGGACTTGGCTGGGCATGATTCCGTGCATTTTGGATGTAATTGCCAAAGTGAGAAAACCCAAAAATTCCTTCCTCGAGACGAATTCAGACAGAAAATGTGAAAAGTCGAGTCGCACCCAAGCCTTGAACCTTGGGTCCGGGTTGCTGCATCACATAAGCAGAAATAGGCCGCCTAATTTCATATCGTGACAAACCTGTAATACAAAAGAAGTCGGTACGCGTTTATCATATCTGACTAGGTCGCACAAAACGAGACTTTTCAGTTTGACGACACTATAATAGTCCGCCCTACAGTTTCTTGAAAATGGAGTTTTGGTGTCAATCTATAACGTTTCAAAAAGCCAGTTTTGTTTTTGGGGAACAGTGGGACTCTCGCTGTTTGCTACGACGGACAATGGGAGGTACCTAATTTGTTTAACGTTGTAAGCCCGGCTTTTGTTTAGGGAACACGCAGTCTCTTGCCGTTTCCTTCGATGGACCATGGGAGATACCATTTCGTTTCTACTGCCAAATGAAGCACGTGGAGAAAAATAGGTTTTACGAATAGAAAATGGTAGATTACTTTAATCTGAACGTCAGTACATCATGAACCACTTCCAACTGTTAATGAAAAAGGTCTTGAAAAAAGCTGAATTTAAGAACGCACTTTAGCATATTTATGTAATGCATGAAGGTAAAACGATGATCACATCTGACTAAGTTGCACAAAACGAGCGTTTTCAATTTGATGACAACACAGTTTCTCTTCAGTGGAGTTTTTGTGTCAATCTTACTTTTCAAAAAGCCAGTTTGGCTGAGGAGTATCAAACACGCCAATCTTCTTTTAATTGACTGTCTGAATGCAACATTATTCTCTGGGGCAGGGTATTCGGTTCATCTCTGCATGAGCTTGCCATTCGCTCATGAGTTCACAGCAGTGAACTTCTGACGGTGCCGCGCCGCCCTGTGAAGCTTCCGCTAACCGCATAATCCTTTCACCGCCGACTTGTGTTGCCACTCACCAGCCAGGGGGTACAGGTACAAGTCAGGGGCGGTACTTTGGTCTCTTTTTCTCAATCAGTCCTGATTAGGTTACACAAGCCTTGTGATTGTCAACTTGTCATTCGATTGCAGATTCTCATCTGTGAAGACACCTCAATTATTCTGCTCTGTTCCCTTGTAATTCAAGTTTATCAATCCGAGTCCTTATACCATGGATTTCAAGATCGCTTGCGCTTTGAACCTGTCCCCTGAGTTGGTATGGTTTAGTCGTCAGTCCTACGACGAAGAGTTATCATCATCATCCGACTGTGGGCCCAATGGTTGGCCGTGTCACTACGGCGGATACTTCCCTGAGATGCCGCACGACCTGGGCAGTGACGGAACTCAGTCTCCGGGACGTGACGACACCGATGATGAGGCAGAGAATGTCAGAGATGACTTCTCTCTCCGTCTCTTCGATCTGGAGAAGGTTATCCGAGATGTACATGATTTCGGTGAGTGCAAATTTTCTATGTAGATTTAATCCCCCAGTTTTGTATTTTGATTTTCTGCTCCCAAAAGAAGGCCTAAATTGTGGAATTTTGGGTCATTCTTAAAATGTGTACTGCCAGCCTGATGTATCTTATGTTGTTTCAAATTTCGTACTGCATTTCATTAAGTTTTCAGCTCAATGATGTCGTTTAAGTGCCAAAAGTATGCACAATTATGGAATCAAAATTTTGCATCACTGTCACGTCTACGTTCTGCGTTTTAAAATTTCATATGTATTTTTTCATTCATATATTTTTTTGGTTGGTATTTTCAGGTGACCAGATGGACGATCATCAGCCAGCATCTCCTGTGCATTGCCAGCTACCGCTTCCCGTCAGGCCCTCTGTCAGCCCAAGCTACCTACCCTCTCCAACATCATCATCACCGGACTGCAACTCGCTAGCCTCCTTGATGGAGACCAGCTACCCGTCGTCACCGAACCTCCACAGCCCTTCTCCCTTCCCTGAGCTGATGATCGCTACCTCCCCAGTCCAGATGGAGACGCTTCTCACTCCCGTGACAGTCTCCACTCTCCGGACATGTTCGCCGGTTGAATAGTACTGATTAAAAGGCATTACAGCCATGCACTTCATCTACGCTTAATTGTAAATACTTGGGACTCATGTAGATACAAACATCATTAAATTATAACCATTTTCATTTTGTTAATGATATAGGCCTAATGTTGGTAATAAGTTTTCTTTTTGTTTGGTTGCAACAGCCATTAAGCCGTGGAACTTTGGTCCACGATTGGAATTCGCAACAGAAAGATATTTACCTCAACCATACAATTGTCTTAAAAGACTGATAATGTACGTTATTTGAGCATTGTAAATACTACTTTGTGAATAATAAAATCGAAAAGAAAACTGTCCGTTAAAAATCTGTGTTTGTTTCGTTTTGTTTTTCGTCATGATGTAACCACATTTTGTGCAAACTGAGATAAAAAGTTAGTTTGCCATCCTATAATTTAAAATGGAGGGGTAAAGTTAATGAAATGTTTTTAGCTATACTGCCTCCTCCTCTCTCTTATTTGGGGCTTGGATACACCTGTTGGTTCGCAATTAACTTTGTCGATCACCTCAAGTTATTATATAACAAACAACTATTTTCAACCAATTTCAGAGTAAGTAAATTTGTAACAAAAAAGAGGGAGGGTTTGCTTCGATGGACCATGGGCGATACAATTTCGCTTCTGCTGCCACATAAAGCTGTGGGGAAAACGGTTGTGTAAAAAGATGATCCCGTGGTCCATCGAAGGAAACAGCAAGAGACTGACTGTTCCCCAAACAAAAGTTGCGTTTAAATCCTGAGACCGGCGAACAAGGGGAAGTCACATAAATGGAAGGCTCATATCCTTTTCTTGGTAGGCCCTATAATTGCTGACAAACTTATAATACAAAATTTAATCATATCTTACTTCGTCGCACAAAACGAGCCTTTTTAGTTTAACGACACTAGTCGTCGGCCCTACAGTTTCTTATCAATTGAGTTTTGGTGTCAATATAACTTTCCAAAAAGCCAGTTTTGTTTTGGGGAACAGTGGGTATCTCGTCGTTTGCTTCCACAGACCATAGGAGGTACCTTTGTTAGTTTATATGACGTTGTAAGCCTGGCTTTTGTTTAGGGAACACTCATGTTTTTAGTCTCTTGCCGTTTCCTTCGATGGACCATGGGAGATACCATTTCGTTTCTACTGCCAAATGAAGCATGTGGGGGAAAATAGGTTTTACGACTGACTGTTCCCCAAACAAAAGTTGCGTTTAAATCCTGAGACCGGCGAACAAGGGGAAGTCACATAAATGGAAGGCTCATATCATTTTCTTGGTAGGGAGAGAGAGATGTAGCAAGGGGCGTCATAGGGAAATTACCCTTTTAACTATTAGCATTATCTTGCATCACCTCAAGTTATTACATAACAAACAACTATTTTCAAACAATTTAAGAGTATATATAAGCAATTTTTTAACAAAAAGAGGGAGGGTTTGCTGCGATGGACCATGACAAAAGTTGCGTTTACATCCTGAGACCAGCGAACAAGGGGAAGTTACATGGATGGAAGGCTCATATATATAGTTTTCTTGGTTGGGGTATACGTTCATAATGACGTGAGGGAGGGAGAGATGTAGCAAGGGGCGTCGATAGGGAAATTACCCTTTTACGTGCGAGTAACTGGTTGATTTTTGACATTATTAGCAACGAATCGTGAGAAGTTGGCCCAGTGGGAAATGACATGAAAATTATATTATAATTCTTTGCTCGCGGATAGAAAGTCACTTTCTTTCCCATCTTCTCGTTTAGACGCAAAAATATCGGAAACAGTTGAATTCTGCGGGGAAAATAGTATAATTGGGCCAGAAAAAGAAAACATGCCAAAGTTTAATTGGAAAGGCGAAAACACTGAATTTGGATTTTGAAACTTCTTTTCTTTGCCACATACGATAAACCTATTTACAGGTCAGTGTTATTCGGTCTGGAATGTACGATTAATCAGCATACGTCAGAAGTTCAGTGAGGTTAATTCATGCATGGACGGCACGCTAAGAGATGAACCGAAAACCCTGCTCTAGAAGAACGCTGCATTCAGATTGTCAATTAAAAGAATGCGTTTTTGATACTCTTCAGCCAAACTGGCTTTTTGAAAAGTAAGATTAACACAAAAACTCCACTGAAGAGAAACTGCGTTGTCATCAAATGGAGGCTCGTTTTGTGCGACTTAGTCAGATATGATAAACTTGGTTTACCAGTTTGTAAGTTTGTTAGTTATAATGTGAAAAAATAGTAGGCGGCCTAATATGCTTTAATAAAATAAACAAACTAAACCATAATCCATGTGCATGAAAAACCGTGTTCGCTTAAGTGCGTTCTTACATTCAGTTTTTTTCCAAGACCTTTCTCATTAACGGTCCGAAGTGAGTAAACACTGATGTTAAGTACAAAATATACCAGTTTCTATTTATAAAAACTGTTTTCCCCACAAATTCATTTGGCAGCAGAAGCGAAATGTTATCTCCCATGGTCCAGCAAACGGCAAGAGACTGCAAGAGACATTCCAAACAAAAGTTGCGTTATACATCCTCAGGCCAGCGAACAAGGGGAAGTTAAAAACAAAAGGAACAAACAAAGTTTGTAAGTGCCTTTTTTTCCGATTTTAATATTCACCAAATCGTATTTACAATGCTCAAATAATGTACATTCACAGTCTTTCAAGACAATTGGTTTGTTGTAGTAATTATCTCGAAAGTTCGAATTCGAAAGTTTAATGAATGTTGCAACCAAAAGAAAACTTACTTCCAACATAGGTCTATATCATTTACAAAATGAAAATGTAAAATACAATATGCTGATTAACTTTTACCGCTGGAAGCCTGATATAAATAATAATAATGTTTATATCTATACATGCGGCCCAAATGTTTACAATTAAAAGGCACTGCAATCATGCACTTCATCTACGCTTAATTAACCGGTGAAAATGTCCGCAGAGTGGAGACTGTCACCGGAGTGAGAAGCGTCTCCATCAGGACTGGGGAGGTAGCGATCATCAGCTCAGGGAAGGAAGAAGGTCTGTGGAGGTTCGGTGACGACGAGTAGCTTGTCTCCATCAAGGAGGCTGGCGAGTTGCAGTCCGGTGATGATGATGTTGGAGAGGGTAGGTAGCTTGGGCTGACAGAGGGCCTGACGGGAAGAGGTAGCTGGCAATGCACAGGAGATGCTGGCTGATGATCGTCCATCTGGTCACCTGAAGAAAAAAAAAATACTTTCATACTTTGGATGTTTTAAAAAAAGCAGAACATTAGATAGGTACTGCGAGATTTTGATTCCACAATTGTGCATCCTTTTGGTTCTTAAAATGACATCACTGAGCTGAAAACTGATTGAGAATGAAATGCAGTACGAAATTGGAAAAAAATAGACACAGTGAGGTTTGGTAGTACAATCCTAGCAATGCCACACATTTGGAGAATGATCCAAGATTCCACAATTTAGGCTTTCTTTAGAGAGCTATAAATTAAAATACAAAAATGGGGGATTAAATCTACATCGTAAAAAATGGCACTTACCGAAATCATGCACATCTCGGTTCACCTGCTCCAGATCGAAGAGACGGAGAGAGAAGTCCTCTCTGCCATTCCCTGCCTCATCATCGGTGTCGTCACGTCCCGGAGACTGAGTACCGTCACTGCCCAGGTCGTGCGGCATCTCAGGGAAGTATCCGCCGTAGTGACACGGCCAACCATCGGGCCCACAGTCGGATGATGATGAAACCTCTTCGTCGTAGGACCGACGACTAAACCATACCAACTCAGGGGACAGGTTCAAAGCGCAGGCGATCTTGAAATCCATGGTATAAGGACTCGGATTGATAAACTTGAAGAACAAGGGAATATTATAGAGCAGAATATTTGAGCTGTCTTCACAGATGAGAATCTGAATCGAATGACAAGTTGACAAGATTGACTGGCTTTTTATCTCATCCCGTAACAATAGCTGTCAATCACAAGGCTTGTGTAACCTAATCAAGACTGATCGAGAAAAAGAGACCAAAGTACCGCCCTGACTTGTACCTGTACCCCCGGCTGGTGAGTGGCAACACAAGGCGACGATGAAAGTATTATGCGGTTAGCGGAAGCTTCAAAGGGCGGCGCGGCGCCGTCAGAAGTTCAGTGAGGTAATCTCATGCGCGGACAGCTGGCTCAGTCAGAGATGAACCGAAAAACCTATCCCAGAATAATGCTCCATTTGACAGTCAATTAGAAGAAGATAGGTTCTATACTCTTCAGCCAATCTGGCTTTTTAAAAAGTAAGATTGACACAAAAGCTCCATTGAAGAAAAACTGCGTTGTCATCAAACTAAAAAGGCTCGTTTTGTGCGACTTATTCAGATATGATAGACTTGTACATGTACTTCTTCAAAAATTCTACCCTGGCATTTTCGCGACTTGTGCTTCCATTCAATAATGCTTATGCGCATGCAAAATTAAAGTTATTTGTGAATTGTTTCATAGTAACGATGACCAACACATGTCATCCCACGGATTGTTGAAAAGTATCATTGTTTAATAATTCCTCGGCCACTTTTGGCTCCTTTCCCTCTTCCCTCCTTCCTGTATTATTGTAATTAATTTATTTCTTTCCTTGTAATATTACCTGATATAATTCAGTCTAGTGTATGACATAACTTATTAGCTTAATTTGTAATTACGGGTTCCAGGTCTTGTACAAGCATACGCTTTTTACCCGGATCCCTCGTATCATTTCTGTCATCTTGATATAGATGCTTGTTAATTATGTTTTGTGCCATGATATAAAAAAATAAACCATAAACCATAAACTTATTTTCAGGGGTATGGGTTCCAGCCCTGGTGGGTGAGGATCATGTTGTCTGTGTTCTTGGACAAAAAGACGCGTTGTCAGGGACTTTTTTTTATTGTGAGGAAAATTAGGACCGAGTTGTGTGGGGGCTTTTGACCACCCGCAGAACGGAACAAGCATGTGTGTATCTTCGAGGGGATATCCCTCGATCTGTCTTTCCTTGACCTGCTGCAGAAATTCGGTATGTGACAGTAACTTTTGTTAGTTGCATTTTTAACATTAAACCTACAACCACACATGATGCCGGCACCGTACTAACGAATATACTATTTGTTTTACCTTGTCTCGGATAAAAGGCATTTTTTTTGAAAAGGTGAGGACAAAAGAGAAACATAATACCGTCGTGTAAGCAGACTTGGCTACTGTGTTTATTTATCAACTACCTTTTAATGGAAACAGTTATTTAAACTTATTTAAAAAAGACATGATACCATAAAGTAAACAACTTTGGAATTTCCCGTTCCGTTGATGCTTACCGTAATAAAAGTAAAAAAAGTGATTATATATGGAGGGATAAAGTTTCTCCAAATACAGCAGTGCTAAAATACACAGAACACTGAAGCAAGGAACAAGGGGAATTACATGCCAATAAAATAAAAAACAAACAGAAAAACGAGGTGATTTATATGAAGGGATCAAAGTCTATCAGTGTTTAAGTACCCAGAACATTGAAGCAGGGAACAAAGTTCATAGCCGATAGAGGCTCAATTCACAATCTCGTGCCACTATACATACGGAAAATGTGTTTGAGTCTGTGTATAATACCAATGGATTTTGAAATCTTACTAGCAATATCATTGATGTGATGAGTCCATGTCAACTTGTTGTCAAGTATTACACCAAGGAACTTAATTTTGTCAACACGATGAATTGTTTCGTTTAACAACTGAATAGTAAGATTGGAAATATTGCAGTGTTTTCTTTTACTGTGGAAAATCATAAAACTACATTTCTTAATATTCAGAGAGAGAGAGTCGGTTGGCTTTCAGCCACTCACAAACATTAACCAGATTTAGATTGGCATTATCAAATAAGGTAGGGAGGTGCTTATCAGAAAGAAATATGTTAGTGTCATCTGCATATAGAATAAATGAAAGTAAATCAGAAGTAGATGAAATATCATTTATGTACAAAATACAAAGTAACGGACGCAGGAGTGAGCCCTGGGGGACACCATGAGTAATTGTATTAAAATCAGATATGTTATTATTATATTTGACACATTGAGAACGATTGTGAAGATAAGTTTTGAACCAATCATTTGCTATGCCACGGATCTCATAGTGATCAATCTTCTGTAAAAGGATCTCATGATTAATGGTGTCAAACGCTTCGGATAAGTCAAGAAAAATCCCCATGGCATATTTGTTGTCCTCAAAAGCATCGATAACCTTGTTGGTTAAGTCAATCAGTGCTGAAGACGTTGAATGGTTGCTTCGGAATCCATACTGGCTGTCACAGATTACATGGAACTTATCAAGAAACTTGATTGTTCTATCATACACAATTTTCTCAAGAAGTTTGAATAAACAAGACAGTACCGAGATTGGTCTGTAATTGCTTAACTCGGAATGGTTACCACTTTTATATATCGGCGTCACTTTCGCTGCTTTCAATCTACTAGGAAACACACCACAAGATAACGAGCTATTAAACACATGACATAAAGGCTTACTAATCGCATGAATAATAGATTTGACGACTCCCAGGCTAAAGTCGTTCACACCTGGAGCCTTGTTGTTCTGAAACAATCCTGCATTTCGAATGATTTCAAGCTCACTGATTGAATTGAAATACAGAGACTGCATGTTTGAATTTGTGAGATAGTCCCGGTAACTGGTTTGAGCTTGGGGGATTTCACTGTCCAACGTCGTACCGATCTGAGTGAAATACTGGTTGAATGCGTTTGCAATTTCACTCTGGTCACTGGTTTGCTTACCACTGCATTTAAAAGTGTAGTTGCGAGATTTCTCAGAAGTGGCAGGCTTCAGCATGGAGTTAATGATATTCCACGTTTCTACATTGGATTTAGCTTAAGAAAACTTGCCCTCGAAGCAGTTGATTTTTGCTTGCTTGATCACTGCATTTATTACGGTAAACTTTGTAGGTTTTTTCATTCTCCGCATTAGGCCTTTTGAGGACCTTCTGATGGTACAACTTATTCTTCGATTTGATAGACTTTAGAATGCCGTCTGTCATCCAGGATTTCAACTTCTTTTTGGGTTGAACTTTCCTCAGCGGGAATTGTTTGTTGTAAATGTAAGAGAAACGAGATGTAAATGCATTAAATCCATCGTCAGGATCATCAATAGAATACACATCGTTCCAATTAACAGTGGCCAACTGAATGATGAAGTAGTATGCTTAGTAATGTTCTTGTAGTAACACTGTGAAACATCTCTGATAATACGAGGTGAGTCATTCATCTGAGTGATTTGAAAAACTGGTAAATAATCAGTTGTATCATCAAAGGGAATACCTTGTTGTCCCTGTAAGTCATAACTATTACTAATGATGTTATCAATAAGCGTTGCAGAAGAGCTGGTTATATTGGAAACCCCTTCAGAAAACATTTTTTTTTGTAGTTGTGCCCTACTGGCAGTAAGACATATTACTATTAAAAGAGGTTGGGTAAAGATCCTTATTTGGGGTTAAAATTACATGTTTTATTACGGAGAGGCTTTACACTTGAACATTGTTTTGGCAAAATACATTCCTCTTCACGGTATTAAAACAATCAGACAATTTACTCGGGTTAATAAAGCGCTCTTTTTACAGTTTACTTGTGTGAAGAAAACGCCCGTGTCAGCCTTTTCACGGGGGATGACTCATTTCCTGCAAGCGCTGCTGCAATTTTGTTGTGATGTTTCCGTATTTGTTCATCCTCGAGCCCATGATTGCGCAACTCGAAATCGTAAGTTGAACCAGCAGGTCTGAGAGCAATAGCTCTATCAATGAAGCCATCTACTTCAGATTTCAGGTCTCTTGGAAGCCTGGATGTTTCGGGTTTGAGAAACCTTTCACAAATGCGACTGCATATGTGTGTCGAGAAGAACTTGATCATGCCGTACACTCCGAGATCGGTTGGACCGTAGTAGCCGTATTTCTTTTTCTTACAGCTGTGGATGGCTGGATCGGTGAACTTGTAGCTATTCCCTTTTTGAACCCCTTTTAAGTCGGTAACGAGAAACTCACCGTTAGACTTATGGTAGGTGTAGTGGCAAAATGCTGATGGGAGTTCAAATTTTCTTGGCTCCAAGACGAAGGAGGAATTACTCAGGAAGCACAAGTAGCCATCAAGGAAAGGTTCGATGATTAATGACGCACCTTTGTAGACCACTCCACGCTCGACCGAGGAACACTTTTCAACTTTGGTAAAGCCAGGATAAGGAAAGTTGATCGTTTCGTGGCTTCGTCTGGATTCATTAAACTGCTGTGCCATATTCATCGCCATTTCCGTGCGAGCTCGTGGCTGCCAATTGTATTCGTTCGCACTTTTTATCCATTCTTTTCTGTACATTCTCACAATGCAATTGTTGCCACTTTGGAACCAGTAGCTATCGATGGGCTTTATTATTCCCCGGAAGGTTCGTCTGGACTCTCCTTCCAAAATCCAGTCGTCTTCGTTGAATCTTGCGCACACCTCTCTTCCATTGAATGAAAACTGTTCAGATTTATGGCTTTGATCGTTACCCATCCTTTTATCCTCTGCGGATAAGATTGAAATGCATTTCATTTTACTTCGCGATTTCGTACTGAAAAATGTTTTGCTTGACGAATCCTGGCACATGAATACTGTACAACATTAGGCCCCATTCAATAGCGACACATAAAACAGCAACTGCCCTATGACGGAGATATCTAAACAATAGCTAGCGCAATGCTTTCGCCATGGAAGGTTTTTTTGTGTGATATACTTGATAGCAGGATCGAATTGATATATATAGCTCTTCTTGACTGAGTCACTGACTCACCGACTGCATAAATATCAAATAGGATTATGCCGCGTAACCCCAATGGATGTGCTAAATCCGGCCTTTATGCAATGCGTGTGCA